TTTTTAATGTGTATTTTTTAAAAGAACCTTTCTCCCTCGCGAAATACCTCAGTCCACAAACTCTAACCATTCTCTCTACCTCTCGACATTCACCTTCACCGCCCTCAATCTCCGGCCATCGCCCACTCCCATCTCCGACCATCACCGTCGCCGCTCCCGTCTCAAACTAAACTTATTGAATTTGGTTGTTTTATGTATCTTGTTGACATTTACTATGACACTATTTTGGTATTTATTTTTTAAACTATGTTTACTATAAAATTTATGCACTATATATATAATTTTTATTTATTTATTAAGGTGCGCACGCTTCATTCGGGCGTCACCTTTGTATTGMCTCTCGCCTCAAGGCGATCAAAGGACTTGTCGCTTTGAAGTGCGCCTTGAAAACACTGGGTAGGAGGGGGTTTTGTCTAAACCCTCCCTTTCGAGATAAGGGTATAATCCTTCGGCATGCATGTTTTCTTTCCTTCATATTTTATGGGGTATTTTGCTTGAGAGAAATGGTAGAACTTTTAAAGGGCTTGAGAGGTCCTGGGAAGAGGTGCGGAATGTGGTTAGGTTCAACTCTTCCCTTTGGCTGTTCGTCTCTAAGCCATTGTCTAACTATCCATTTTGTAACTATGAGTTAGGCCTTATGTTTTCATATTGGAGTTATTTTCTGTATAGCTAGATTTTGGACTCCTTTTGTGGGCCGGTTTTTGTGTGCTCTTGTATTTTCTTTCATGTTTCTTAATGAAAAGTTTGGTTTTTCATTTAATAAAAAAAGGAAGAAGAAATCAGGTGACATATAACTTTGGAATATTGAAGGCTATAGCATATGATTGAATCTAGTTATGCATTCCTATAATTTCATCATTGCTGTCAAGCTGTGAAGACTATGTTCTAGTATCTCAACTATTCTGGCGTTCATTTTAGATTTTTCATATTGTAGGTGGATTATCAAGCATGTTTTTTTTAGATAAGAAACAATTTCATTGATTAATGAAATTTTAAAAAAGAATGGGGAACACTCATTTCTAGTCCATGGAGTTAAAAAGAAAACAAACAAATAAATAGAAGACATCTCCAATTGGATGGAGTGTTTTCTTTTCTCTCTCTCTCTCTTTCATTCTCGTCCATATCTCTTGGTGAAAATGGAGTTTCATTTTGAGTTTCCATCCATTTTTATTAGGTGTAGCGTGGAAATAAATCTGTCTTCATTAGTTGAGTAGTTGTTTCACTGGGTTTCTTGATTAAGTTCGAAGAAAAAGAAAATTCACCTCTTTTATATTAGAATTGTAATGGACGCGATTTCATCTGTTGGAATAGACACTGATGGATCTCCTTCAATGTCCTTTAAAGCTTGGTTTTTCCTGGAAGAATGGTCTGATGAAGGGACCATTTTTGTTTGGAAAAAAAACTCAACTCTTTTTGGGTGATTTGTAGAGATGTCTACCATCTCCATGGAGGATTTAACAAGAGTGGTTGGATTATGTATTGGAAAATGTCTGGAGATTTCTAAAGGAAGTGTGTAAAGGGGAGGTGGTGGAAGGGATTTCGGTTAGAAATGTTCCTTAAAAGGAGCCTCTTTGCTTGGTAACTTCTCAAACATCACTGAAAAGTTGGGTTATGTGTAAAATAAATAAGAATAAGATCCTATACTTCCTTAGGACTTCTCTGAATATATTCAAGAATCTTTTATTTCTTTCACTCCATGTCCCAAGGAATAGCACAAGAGTCACTGACCCAAAGAACTATTCTCCTTTAATATGTTTCCATAAAGAGAATCTTTAAGTCTTCTAGGGGCTGCATGGCTTCACCCTGATTTGAAGATGCAAAATAAGAATAAATATAATTTTGAAGCAAAAGATCAAATAAAGAAGAGGTCATCCATATCCTTGGTTTTTTTAATTAATTAATTAATTTTATTTATTTATTTATATAATACGACACACACCAGCTGAGGCTTATGAATCTATTTGGACTTCTGGCTTGAACAAAGTAATTTATGGATTATATGTCTGTTGTGCGGGACTCAGTTTTATGACTTGAATACGTAATTTGTTACAGACAATTGGAACAGCAGGTATGTTCCTTGCCTGTAAGATTGAAGAGACACCACGGTTTCTGAATGATGTTGTTGTTGTGGCTTATGAGTTGATATACAAATGGGATCCTTCTGCTACAAAAAAAATTAGACAAAAAGTACGTTACTCTGCCTGTTATCTTATTTACCTTTATTGATGCTCCTTGTATCATAAAGGAAATTATTGAATGGATAAATGCAACATTCTGCTTGTAGGAAGTATTCAACAAAAAAAAGGAATTAATCTTGATTGGGGAGAGGCTTCTATTGTCAACCCTTGCATTTGATGTTGATATTCAGCTTCCCTACAAGCCACTTGTTACTGCTCTAAAGAGATTGGGACTGGATGCTGATCTTTGGAAGGTGGCCTGGAATTTTGTAAATGATTGGTAAGGCTCTTCATCTTACTCATCAAGATTCTGTTTACTTGGTCCTAGTCTGATGTAATATTTTTGTGAATTTTGGTTTATCGTTTAGAGGTTAATTTCAACGTCATGGAACTTGTAGGCTTTGTACAACATTGTGCTTGGAGTACAAACCCCATTATATTGCTGCTGGTTCGATATTCCTTGCTTCCAAATTTCAAAAAGTGAAATTACCTTCAGAGAAAGGAAAAGTTTGGTGGATGGAGTTTGATGTTTCGCCAAAACAGTTACAAGGTTGTTGAAATGAATCTTTACAGTTTATACTCGTATTTTATTCTCTCTTGCCAGTTATTGATTCCAAATAAGTATGATATATATGATAGCTTAGTAGTACATCAGTGTTCAAAAGTTAGTAATGAGTGATGACATTGAACAAGGTTGTTAAAATGAATCTTTATACTGGTATTTTATTTTCTCTCCTGTCAATTATCGACTTCAAATGAGCATGATATATATGATAGCTCAGTAGTAATCAGTGTAGAAGTTAGTAATGAGTGATGACATTGTTCCCTAATTTTTTCTCTCAAAGAAGAATTATGGATATACATGTTTTACTAAATAAGGAAAGAGAATGTAAGTTATTTGTGCCATTTTTCCCCTCGAGTGTTTTAATCTGTTGCAACACTGCTACTTCCAATTATGACATATTCCTCTTACCCTTCTATTCATTGTTGCTTCTTGAGGGCATTTATCATTTTAAAAAAAATTTCTTTCAGAGGTCATACAGCAAATGTTGAAGTTATTTGAGAAAGACAGAAAACAAAGCCTGCCACCTTCTAAAAAGAAGACTCATCAGCCCGAAGTTTTAGATGGACAGACAAGGGTTGATAGCTCCCAATCATGTGTATCCAGCGTGTCAATTTCTGATCAGCTTGATAGTCATGATGTCATGGCGGAGGCCAGTGACTGCAACAAGTCTGTAATGCCTAATTGTTGCCACAATCAGGAAAATATAAATTACTGCATCAGTCCGGTGGAAGTTTTACCCTGCCAGACAAGTGATGCTGGGAGTTCAAGTAGTGTCATTGACAATGGTGATACTGGGATTTGCCGGAGCACTGAGGACAATTATCCTGATCAGATCACACAATCAACAACTGTTTCTATTTCTGCTTCTAATGACTACAATAAGATAAACTTCAGCCGAATCAGAGAGACAATAAAGAGAAGAAAACTTTGTAGAGCTACAAATATAAAGGAAGTACAACCCATGAGCCCAGATGTTGACAGCGAAGCATGGATAGAAAAGGAGCTGGAACATGGAATAGAGCTAGAATATGAATCCTCATTGAAGAAGAAAAGAAAGGCATCTTGAAGTTGGGAATGCAATTCTATTTACTGATAAAGTATCGTCAAAATTTTTCTTGTCGGAGCATTTGATTAATTCCAGAAATTCTTCTAACTGTAAGTATTAAGAGGGCATTTTCAGCTTATTCTTCATTCTTTTGATAGTTTTTGTTTTCACCATTCTCTTATGTAGTCTAATAACATACAATTCAGTTATCTCACGCTTCATTGATAGTAAGTGTACATGTTTATCTGGAAGTGTATTTATATCACAACTTGGTATTCGTTCTTCAATGAACATTCTGCAGTCGTATCATTATTTCCACTTTGTATCAAATCTTAGTTACTCTTGTGGTCTCTTTTTCTAATGTGAGAGATATAAAGTAGTTTTAGGATTTCCCCTTTTAGCATGTAATTTATTCATATAAATGTAGTCTACACTGATGATTTCTTGCTACAAGATCCTTTCATGCATTTATTTTTATTCAGTTTCGTTGCATTGGTTTTTGGTTTTACTTTGTGTTTAGATTTCTTGGATCAAATTTTCAAATAGTGTTGTTACCGTGATTCTTTGTTTTAATGATAAAATGTCACTGGTTTAAAGAAGTTAAGTTAGGTTTCTGAATCTCTGGGGAATCTGATCACAATCTAGAAGGGTTAGGGGCTCAGGAGATTCCCTCCATGCATGTGGCTTCAATTGTTCCCTTTTCAATAGGATTTAGTATATGCCACATTAACTATGCTATTACTTTCTGTCCTATGAATCTGCTTGAGGCCCAAAGCCATTGACAGATTCAGTAGAGTAATTTATTTACTCTGGATTCCTTGTCCAGGCCAGAGGAGGAGATAGTCAAGCCTGATGAAACACCTATGGTCCTGAATAGCTAAGATTAATGAGCGTTTGCTGATTGGGCCTCAGAAAATATTCTTTCTTCCTTTTCACTTTCAGAGATCGATCGTTCATAGTGCTGTAGTGGACTAGTAGTGGGACTCACTGAGGACTATTTCATCTCACTCTCACCAACTTTTCTCTCAAAACCTTCCTCTCTCTCTTCTGGCAAAAGTGAACCACTTAGAAGCACAGCAGGTTTGCGTATTGAGTGTGAAATCCTTTATCCTTGAACAAACATAGTAATTGGATTACGTTGGTCAGAAAAACGACACCACCATAGTTATGAAAGAAAATAAAGCCGGATTAGATTATAGACAAGGCTAAGAAAAGTGGTGTCAAAGCATTGAGACACGAAGCTTTAGTGTGGGGATGCATAAAGATATCAATCATGTACATGGCTACCCATGTCCTTCCATTGCCACTATTATACAAACCTGATAGATAGCAAGGAGGTCAGGAATCAAATTGTATGAGGCAACGCTTTTAGCTTCTTTGGCGCTTGTGTTAAAAAGAAGAAAAAGGTGGGGGGGGGTCGTGGTTATGGAAAGGCATACCCAGGCAAGGTTTGGATTTCATCCCCCTTTCTTGAGAAAGCGTACTCTCTCTCTCTCTCTCTCTCTCTCTTTCTTTCTTTTTTGGTTCAAATGGTTTGTCTCTTCCCAACACCTTTAAATCTTGTTTGCTTTAAACCTCCTTTTAAAAACCATGGAGAAAAAGACTTTTGACTCAAATAGTTCATGTATTGAAGTTGAAAAGGATGGTCAAATAATTGGACTAATGAGATTTTGTTGCAGGGAATAAGAAACTGAAACAATGGTGAAGCAGAACCTTAAGCTGAATGCTATTTTATTTTGCTTTCATGTGTCAAAACTAAATTAATGTCACCACATTCTTCTGAGTAGGTATGAACATTGTGAAACTCACCAGTGAAGGACCATAGAGAGAAGAAAAGGCAAGCTTGCTGGAAGTATCAAACTATAGAAGAACTCTGCAGCTTTGTGCCTATACCTTAGAGCAAGCCAGTGAGTTTAACTACGCCAGTGAGTTTAACTGTCTCTAACATAGAATTTCTTTTATCATTGTTTATCTGTCTGCCACTGCCTGTTTGGGATTTAGAAGAGAAAGTAGTGGTAGAAGAAAAGTAGAATTGGTATCTAGATTAGTATGAAAAATGTGGACTGAATTTTGAAATCACTTCATTCATAGAACAGGAATAAGAAAGAGACCCCAACTAATTTATGTTCATATGAATAATTGTAGAACAACCCTAAACTATTTGTAAATTCATCAAGGATACTTGTTTTTTGATTCTTTTATAGTTTGGTTCTTTTTTTTACCCTAAGTTGCAGCTATGACTTTGTACTTTATAAAGGTACTGCTTTAATATTCTAAACGATGGACCCATAAGCTATAAAGTTTTCAATCATAGCAAATTGCTTTTTTGGGATTTGTTGAAGTTCAATTCTTATCTTGATAAAACAATCATAGCATGTATGACTTTCGTGTTATTATGTTCATGGCCTGCTCCCACTTACGTACAAAGAAAAGAACCCATCCTAAGTCAGGTGGAAGAGGCCAAAGAGATCTTAAATTATTAAGTTTTATGCTCGAGGTTTTGAATTTAATTTTTAAATTCGGTGGAGATTTGAACTTCCGACTTTCTGATCGATGATATGTCTTAACTAGTTGAGCTATGTTCAAATTGTCTTCAACAGAATGAAGCTTAGAACTATAAAAGGTATGTTTAGAACAAATGTTCGAGTCGTTAAGTTATGAAACAAGGAATTATTCTATGTTTCTTGTAATGAAATGATGTTATGGGGAGGTGCACGAGTGGAGAAACCTTTCACAAATAAAGTTATGAATAAAGCAGTAGAGAAAGAGAGAGCTTTAAATAGAGAAAGAGAGAGCTTTAAATAGAGAAAGAGAGAGCTTTAAATAGGAAAGAAGGAAAGAAGAGAGAAATATGGTCAAAGATATAAAGAGACTTGAGGGCACCATATGTCATGTTGCCTAAAATTGGATTTTTTAAAAAAGTTTTTATGGAAAAAAGGAAACCCTTTAAAAATTTTGGTACTTTAATTATTCTTAACTTTGAAGCTTTAATTTATCTAATTGACTTCTAAACTTGAATAATAACCATAAAAGTATTATCTATTAGACCCCAAAATTGAACCGTAAAAATGGTTCCAAGTTTTGCAAGCAATAATTTTTTAAGGAAAAAAAAAAAACTCAAAATCCAATGTCAAAATCTCTAAGTTTAGTTAACTAAATGTCCATGTAGGGGTACAAGGAAAAATTGATCGAAATGCTTAAACTGAAAAAGCTAACCGTAATCGATGACAAATTAATGTAATATTAATAGGTTCGTTTCGTGTTAACTTGTACAAATCATTTAAATCTGAGTCGATTGATAATAGCATTCTTTCTTTAATAAAGAAATAATAAATAAAATCCTTTGTGACCGCTTAGAAAAATGCAATTTAGAGTTGACAGTTGCATGTAGTATCACAAGAATTAAAATTTTTTTCTTAGGCAGGTTAATTTTTCTTCTTACTTTCTACCTATTTTCATGTCTTAGAAGTTTATTATTAGCTCCATTAAACATCCACTAACAAAATTGATACAAATGAAAATGTTAAAATGCACGAGACTAAATTGAAATCTTTGAAACAGAGACCAGAGATTGAAAAAACATTCCAACATTAGAAACAAAAATAAAATACAATTTTCTCAAAAATTAAATCAAAACGGTAAATATTGGGTGGCCTAGCTTATGCAACTTAGTTAAAAATATGGTTTTTTTTTTCCTAATATTATAAAAATGTCCTCAAATAGGTAGTCTCACAGAATAAGACTATACTTTTTCTTTTTCTTTTTTTTTTCAAATTACAATATTCTATCTCAAATAAATGGTACATTATTATAACATTCTTTACAATAGCTCTTTTGACCTCTCACATTTTAGTGTGAACTTTAAAATCAACTACTTTTACTCCAAAGTGGAAGATTATAATAATTAAAGAAAAGAGGCCAAAATATAATTTTCATTTTTTTCAATGACAATATTTTTATCAAAACACTTTTTACTATTAGTGATATATTTATCTTATAATTAATAAATTTGTAGATATTATTTTAAACTTTTTTCTCGTAGAAATTTTATATTGGATTATATCATAAAGTAAAAAGAAGCGGTACATAATCCAATTATTAAAAATCAATTCATTGGTCATAACAAAAGACTGTCCTTCAAAAACTTTGTTTTATCCATTATTTTAGATCCCCAAAGAGAGGCATTATAAAAAGAAGGTATCCCCTAATAAGGGAATGGGAGAGTTGAGATTGCCTCTAGTTTTCAACAATGGATCTCTCTGCAAATCTCCATCACCAACTCCTTCAACTTGAAAACCAGTTGCTTATTGGTTCCGGGAGCAGCCATGCTTGGACCCCCGACATCCCGTTGTAAGTATTCCCGATATTGTATTTCTATCCATTTGTCAATCATTATGGTATGTCAATTGTTGGTGTCGAAATTTGATCCGCTGATGTGGTCAATGGAGGATGATGTGACCTGCAAAATCAAACTCAACATTGGTGTGATGCCCTGCCAAACACCCTCTGATACTCAAGTTAGAACTTGATTGGGAAGAACTAAGAGGAGGGCAAGAATATGGTGCAAGACTTTGCAAGTTACGCACATGCTGTCACACCATCCTCCATCGACCACGTCAGTAGACTGAACTTTGACACCAACATCAACAAATTCTGCTTGCTTACTGTGATTCGAATTTGGGTTTAGCTGCATCGGTAAGGTAACCGTTCTCGAGATTTGATCGCAGGTCTCCGAGCGGTGATTTCGAGCCGAATTTTCATTTTCAAGACTTGAATCCAGGCATTGATATTGCAGAGAGCTTCACAAGCCTGCAGCCCTACCATTGCAGCAAATTGGGCCAGAAATTTGGAGAAACCAAAGAGGAGGAGGCCTCAGGTTCTTCTCCCAAATGCACTGAAGATTTGGACAAGTTTTCTCAAAGCTGTTGTTGCAGCAAGATTCATCCTACTGTTAATGTTTCTTCAAGGAAGCCATTGATGGCAGAGTTTTCAAGCTCTTTGGGATTTGACCAAAGCCTTTCTTTTGCTTCTTCACATTATCTTATGCAACAATCAAGGGCCTCATCTCTTCTTACTAAAGTGAGTTATTCATTCTAATTATATTTCAAAGTTTAGTCCCTTAATAGATTCTCCAACTTAAAAGGCTCTAACAAGTTCTAAACTAATCATAATTCAATATCTAATCGGCTTCACGTTTTTTAATGTTTAAATTTTGTACCCAATAAGTTAACGAATTTTAAAAAATGTTAATGAGGTTGGGATAAATTGAAAATTTAAGGCATATTAAAGTTTAAGAACTTTAACCTATTACTTTTCACTATTGAAATTGATTTTCATTCAAATATCTTGCCTTGATTCTTTGAATTTTGTTAAAAATTTGGTTCTTAGGTTTCCAAATAAACTCTGATGCTAAACCAATTTGAACATAATCAAGTTTGAATTTTCAAACCATGTTGTTGAACTTAAAGATATAAAAAAAAAACTTATATAGGTTAAATTTACCTACATTCATCCAACTTTCAAAATATAAAAACTAATGCATGATAAGTATGATAGTTGGTTGATTAAAAAAATTTAGACCTTAATTTAATTTCTTTCCAATAAAAATAAGCTTTTTTGTGTCATAAAATTAGTATACTAGATATAAATAATGGAATTTTTCACTAAATTTTGGAATTTTGGGAAGAATTTATATACCTTTATTTTTTTTATTCAGGAAGAATTATTTACCTATTTGAATGTCCAAAGTTGAAATCCTAAAAAATGACTAACCAATCTTAGAATTTTCCTTATATAGATACAATATTTATATATTTGTGGTTTCTTAAAAAAAAATTTATAACGAAATATTTATAATTATAGCATGTGAGATTAATATTAATAATTTTTTTCTAAAAGTTAATGCCTAATAATGTAATTTGCAGATGCCAAACCATGAAATTTCCCAAGCAAAGAGACCTTGTACCCTGAAGCAGCAAAAGCCAACTCAAGCCACTCCCAAGAGAACGCGAGTGGAGCCACGCGCCACTTGCCCTCCTTTGAAGGTATGATGAATTCCCAAAAAGAAAAAAAAATTTAATTTTGGAAAAAGATTTCTTTCCTTAATTTAGTTTCTTTTAAGTTTCAAGGCCTAAATTTTGAGTTTATTTTCATTTAGTTTTTTTCCTTCCCAATTTCATACTTTCACCTCTAAATTTTCATTAACACAACAGAATTATTTATGTCCTCGATGAAATACTGTTACAAATCGTTATTGAAATGATAAAGAGAGAATTTGAAAATAATTATTTTTATGAAAATGTAATATATATAATAGTCTCTTTGATCGGTTCATTCTCTATAACAACAATTTTTTTCAAATTAAGGTGAGTGGTTATGGATTGAATCATGTAGAGTGGAATAGTTCATTTGAGTGATTAGTATATTAAACTAAATTAAGTTAATATAATATTCTCGAAGTAAGCTAATCAAAACTTTTAATTATACTTTTTTGACACTCTTTTCGTTTGTAATTTTTAATTGACAGATTAGGAAGGAGAAATTAGGAGATAGAATTGCAGCACTTCAGCAATTAGTAGCACCCTTTGGTAAGGTATGAAAAATCAAACAAAATTTGTTTAAAATAATGTTTATTTTTAAATCTTATTTTTCTAAGTTACGAAATTGCCCTTGCAATTTTGGATAATGTTGCAGACTGACACAGCATCAGTTTTAATGGAGGCTATAAGTTACATAAATTTCCTTCAAAACCAAGTTGAGGTATTACTTCCATTTTCATTTCTAAATAATTTCTTTTTATTTAAAATATAAATACTATATTAATTAAAAAAATTATAGATTTAATAGGTATTTGTATCTGTTAAGTTATACTTGCATGGGCTAATATTCATGATATTGGGTACAGATGCTAAGCCACTCTTACATGAAATCATGTCGTCACAGAAACTACAAAACGATGTGTCGGGTGAGAGCCTCAACTCAAAAAAAATAAATGTCGACTTATCTTTCATAGACATATAAAAATTTTGATAGAAATTAAATTTAATTATACGCTTTTATGTACTATTTTGCAGGATGGGCTAAACGAGGAGAATAAAGAGGGTGAAAGTGATCTAAAAGGTAAAGGATTATGTTTAGTGCCATTGGCGTCGATTTTTGATTTGCCGGAAGAAACTGGCGGTGGCGGAGGCGGAGGCGGTAGAATCGGCGGCATTTGGGGGCCGTTGGCGGTGGCGAACTTCAATCGGAGAACATTTTGATGTTAAGTATAAGGATTTGTAAATATTTGAGAAGTAAAAAATTATTAATGTGGAGTAACTTTGGTCCTCTTTGAAATAAATTAGGTGAAGATTGGTCCAACCATGAGCCATTAGTAAGTAATCGATGGTTTTGTAAATGATTTCATACTGCAACTATGAAGATATGTTTGATGACTATTTTATGTTTTTTGTTGTCTAAAATTTTAGATTAAAAAAGTAAAAGTTTTATATAAATTTAATTATTCAAATTCAATATTAAATTTTTTATGTTATATACACACACATGAGAAACAGAAACAATTATTAAACAAACCAAAAGCATTTAAAAAAATTTCATTTTTGATTTGATTGTCCATTTTATAAAGTTGATAATTGTAGTTGTATATTGCTTGTTTCCACGAGACTGTTAGAGTTTGAAAGGAGTGTTTCAGTTAAGTTTCCAGCTTGCTCTGTTGCTGCAAAGAAGCATATTGATTCATCTACAAGGATTTTGGATGTTGAAGGCGTGGTATAAATTCTATTCTAAATTTATGATTATGTTGGTTCCATTTCGTATCAGTTGCCATCTGGATGACTCTGGGAATGAATGACTTTTGCTGCTTTGTTCTTGGATCTGCCATGGAATCCTGTGTAGATGGTGAGTACCCAGAATCCAGCTACATACAAGTAATCTAATCTAGGGAGTAGTGGCAGTGGGGTCTGAGAGATGATAAGGATGTAGAGTTTTGTCGACACGGTGAGTTTATCCGACGTATTTTCGTGTACATCCTAACTAGTCATTGTCACGGTACTTAGAAGTTAGATAGCCATTGTTGTGATACCTTAAGAATATTGAGGTCCTGCTAGTTTGAGTTAGGATGAATTAGTATAAATTCTGGAGTTAAGCTTTTCTTTTTCAATCTTGTATATAAATTCTGGAGTTAAGCTTTTCTTTTTCAATCTTGTATATGCTTCTATCTGTGGAAGGGAAACTAGTTAGATTCTACGTGCTCGATTTTAAAGGATTATCATGCCACCACCGAGGTAGTAAGATGCGATACTTAGTATTTGTTGTAGGATACGACGAACCATCGAGTGTTTGAATGCAAGTTGTGTCTGGAACCATTGTGATTTTATTAGACAATTAAAACTGAAAAAACAAAATATAGAACTTAAAAGGAAAAACAGAGTAGGGATTCTAGAAGCCAAATTTTACTTCACTTCTAATAAAAATAATCAAATCCGTATAGACATGAAGCTAAAATGGAGGAGAAATCAGAAACGTGATCACTCAAATTTTGTCTTCTGCCAACTCTGTCCCTTCTTGTCTATATTGTCTTGTCCTTCCCTTCAGAACGTAGAACATTATGTTACACATGGCTCCCCTACACTTGCCCTCATAAAATTAGGGCTCTGTACAATTTATCATCTCGACGCCGCAGCGCCGCACTGCAACGTGTAGTGTGCGCACCACTACACCAGCTACATCTTTTTTAAAAAGTTTTCTAATTTCTTGGTTGATCTCCATTCTTTTACATACCTGCAAAAGGAAGAATGAAGGACATAGAACCAATCCAAGTCAATAGTCAACTAGCAAGTTATGAGCTAAAATAATGATTTACATGATGAGTCAATAGAACTAAAGCTTCTTTTCTCGTAAAGGGTAAGTCGACGCCCCAACCCCCAGGATTAGTAAASCAGAGGTGGAGGAAAGCTAAAAAGAGAGCGAGTGCATGAACGTAATGCCATATGTATGGTGAGGGGCAGGTATAGTTGAGGGGTTGTCGCACAAAATTTCATACATAGTCATCTTAATCCTTCTACACTATGTAGCAACACCAGGGCGTTCATAGAGACTGAGTGGGTTTGATGACCAAGAAGTTATTCTTTAGCTAAACATTCTTTCTTACAGATATATCCGATCCCCATTACCTGCAAAAGAAAGGAGAAAGAATTTCATGTTCCTTCTTTTGCTTCCGAGAATGGAGGATTAAGAGAATCCCAAAGCTTCCTTTTTTCCTCGGGTGTATCAACAGTACCTAAGAGCTTCCTTACTCCTAAAGGATAAACAAAACCACAGTTTCTACGGTGCTCTCTCATTTCACAAGATGCCGGGCAAAATCCTCTTTTCTTGCTCACTTCCACATAATTGCAACCATGCTCTAATACAGCTTCTTTGTGGATCCATTTTTAAAGGTAAGGCCGAAATTTTGTAGGTGAATGCGGGGAAAAAAAAAAGGTCATGCTTCATTGAGAAGAACAAAAGAATACAAAATGGCTTGCAAAAAGACAGTCTAACAAAAGGGGCCAAACTAAAAGGAGATGCTCCGATCTAACAAGATCAAGTCTAAGGGGTAATTACAAAACACTTTGGACACCAAGGCCCGAAGAGAAACATGAACCAAGCAAGAGCTCCTCCCGCACCCACAGAACAGCACAAAGTCCTGCACACCACAAAAAATGATTCCTTGTCCCGAAATGAAGAGTGAAGGAGAACCTCTTCCAACAACAAACTACACTCTCTAGGGCGAATAGAACAAACCCCAAAACCCTCAAACAAACAATTCCAAACTGAGGAAGCAAACTATCAAGACCACAAGGGATGATTGAGATTCTCTGTGGCACCTCTACAAAGAATACAACACTGCAGCCCTATCAAAAAAGAAGAATGTCTCGCAACACGATCCAAAGTATTAACCCTGCTGTGTAAGACCTACCACAAAAAATCTGACCTACTGTAGAATCTTAACCTTCCAAAGCAAAGAAAAAAGTGGAGCAACAAGAGGGGAGAGGATCCACAATCCATGAAGGATTTACACGAAAACAATTCGGAAGAATTAGGTGACCAAAGACGAGAATCCTGCCTGCCCAAGCTCATAACGAAGTACCCCACCCAACCTAGACAATAAGGCCACAAGATCCAATGTCTCCCTAGCGAACAAAGGACAATGGAAACAAAAAATCAAGGAAGAAAAGGCAAAACGGAAGCCACCAACCAACCCTTTGATGATACAAGCAACGGAACAAGGAGCAAAAAGGTTTTTCCTCAACCAGCTATCCCCTCAGAAGTAGGTATAATTCCCCTATCCCCCACCAAATAATAAACAAACCGAGGAAAGAAGGGGAATCCAGAAGAAATAGCTATCCACATATTCCTAAGAGTGCCATTAGAACCCCGCCTACCACCCAATCAAAGGGATGACGACCATACTTACTCACTGACCCTACACCACAAAAAGTCCAGCTCCTATGAGAAACGTCATAACCATCAATGAATCCAAGAATATCTCTTCATTGATAGAAATCAGGTCTATAGCCCAACAGTATTGCAAAATTTGATGGGGGAGGAAGTCCTCACGATGGAGAGTGATCCTCCACAGGGAGGCAGCAATGGAGGAAATAGTTAGAGACTGGAAGAAAGGGATGGAGGTAGAAGGAGTGGGGAGGGTATAAAAGTGAATGCACGTGAATATGAATTAAGAAGATATTTCAATATCATTAAATTGAAAATAAGTGAAAGGCAAAATCACATGTACCTCTTACTTTTAGACTAAAAAAAACAACCAATTGAAGGCAGCACCATACAAGAAATGCTTCCAAGGGGAAAATGACAGCAAATTGTTAGGACTGTATATACCATAAAAAGCAACATTTATTTTCCAAAAACGTCTAATTCAACTGGATTATTCAGAAAGCCAAACCACTTCCAGAAAGACTGAATTGAGAGAAGCCATAGGTGATCCTGCGGGTCAAATCTATTGGAGAATCGGCCATTCAACTAACATTAAGAACCCTTCATGCCCATGGGTATAGCAAAATGTATACAAGCTCCTAATGGAAAAATAAAAATCAATGAGGGTTCGCCTACTCATCTCATATTTGCCACACTAACCGGCTTTGTGAGAGACCTTTGTTCTCCTTGACGGGAATTCTTGAGAGATTTTTCATGCAAGCAAATAAATACAAATAAAGTCAAAGGGAGATAGTGACCTTTTCAATCGCTCATTTTTTAGGGAAAGGTACAACCAAGAGCAGCCATTTCATTGGACCATTATACACAGCACTCAAGCATGCCCCACAAATCCTTATCCGAAGGTCCAGATATAGACTTGGGCAATACAAACCCTCCATCTCCAGTATTCTGTAAACATTAATGATAATCAATTATATTAAAAATATCAAGCAAGTATAACCTTCACGTGAAAAATGTAAACATTTCCAGTTTGCTGGTAACACAATTTCAATGTTCTGACACTAAGCGCTAAGACAATCTTCCTAAAGATGATGCAACTATGGGAAATTAAGACAAGAAGCCAGGTAAGCAAGTAAATTTACGGAAAATCAACATGTTAATCATAACCTCCAAGGGTGGCCCTATTAGTAAAGGCTTCGGATATTTGGAGTTACTCGCCAGTCTCCAATGACCTAACTCAAACTTACAAAGTGGAAAATTTAATAATTTAAACTCCTTATTGTTTCCTTGCTAGCACAGGCCTTGGGGTGGGCAAAATCTACTCAAGGATTAGTGGGGTGGGACATGATCATTCATTATGCGAGGATTGGAATTCAATACCTTGGTTGTTAAAAATCTATAATAAAACATCATAAAACATGTTGATTCTAAAAAATCCATGGTGACATGTCGTATATTTTGTTCCAACACAGAATCTTAAGAGCCATTAAAAAGAAGAGACAAATATAGTACAATGGTAAATATAAATTACCGTGTAACTAACACTCCAAAACATGCACTTCACTTTTCATGGCATTCGTACAACAATAATTATGGCAAGGAAAGCAGTCGGAGTATTGGACTTACCACATACACAAATAAATCCTCAATGAGCAAATTATTCCTTAATATTGCATCTACTTTCCAAACTTAGACTCGTAAATTTTGCATTTGAAATATCATCTACTTTCCCTTTCTCTACCATTTTCCTGTAGAGACCCACTATCTTCTTGTCCAATTCATAATATTCTTCCATCTTCTTCATAGGTTTCAGATCCAGATCAATAAAGTATACCTGAAATATTGTAAGCATGTAATTTGCCACCTACAAATAATTGATACCATACAGTTGAGAAAGACCTACTCAAGATACTGAGAATTGCTTCTTTTAGTACATTTAGACTTGGACTGAAGAGGAGTTTCAAACAAACGGTGTATTGAAGTAAATTCATAACTGAAGCAGATGGAAAATATGTTACACAAGCCCAAAGAGATACAACATTGAAATACCATTTAAAAGAAAAGATCAGTATATCTTGGTGAGACCTGATAAATTATTAATAACACAAGTTACATAACCAAATCTTATTATGATCACATCAAATACTTGGCATGATGCTTGATTTCAATGTTCATAACTGTTTCTGAAAGTAAATTCTCTTTTTCCTATATCCCTCAAAACCTTACTCTTGAGTGGCAAAAATATCAATTTGAAGAACTGTAATATAAAATGCTTTTAAATAATCTGGCATCCCTTTGTAATACACTGAATGAAAATAATGAATTACATATACCTTATAATCGAAAAATTGCCCTGTTGATTCAAGGCGTATTGTGTTGTTTGAAGACCCCCAATCTTCACCTCTTGGCCTAAAGCTAATCATCAAGCTGCAGTCTTTAGCAGTAGCAGCTATTAAGAAGTTTTTGACAATCTTCAAGCTTTGATCACGAGGGAGGGAATGCAAAGAGGCATATCTATGCAATTCTTCATCTTCGTTTAGCTGTCCACAAACTACACAAGGCTCCGAAATTACATCATAATATGCATGAATAGCACCTTCTATGTCCAAACTATCAAGTTTCTGGACTTCAAGAAGTCGATCCAGAACTCCAGATTTATATAAAGTTTCAGTGACAAGCTGTAGCAAGCTAATAGTACACAGCCCATCATCTGCTAGGATGACACACTTGAGTGCATCTTCAAATGCTTCTCCAACAATCACATCAGTATTTTCTGCAGAACCACCCAATGCCCCAAATATAAGAGAGCCATTCAAGAACACCCGAAAGTTGTTTTGAGGGGTGGAAAAAAGATCCTTAATTGCTTTAAGTATACGATCCTTGGATCCAGAGAAGAGATCTAGTGGATCATAATCACTGAACTCCGATATCTACAAAGTAGAGTGCAACCATAGTGAAAATTATATTAGGAAATAATAAATTAAGACAGCTTAATTAATTAAAACAAGTAACTCAAAACTAAATTTTCAATCACAGGAGTATGCAAGCATAATACCGGATCACTTTTTAATAAGAGCCACTAAATGTAAGGAATACTTATCATAATTTAGCCTCTAAAAGAATTGATGAAGAAATATTATCTCTTTTTTCTTTTTTAATAGGAAACTTAAGAGATGTATTAATCACACAAAAAAGAACAACCTAAGAGCAAGGGGTAAAGGACCTTCCCAAAGAAACTAAAATAAGAGGGCCTTCCAGTTTTGAAGCATCAAGGAGAGGGAGTAGATATAAAAGAATTTGCTATATGTATACCACCACCTCGAAGTAATAAGTTGTACATTACTCCATCGAATAGACAAATCAAAGGAAATATTACCTCTTCTTGGTGCAACTTAAGCGCTTGGTGCATTCTGAAACGGGTCATACACCTCTTAACCGCATTGACATGGGATATGAACCTTGAGAATGGGAGAAACCCACATTTTGGCTTTGGGGGTAAGGAAAACAAAAAAATAAAAAATAAAAAGAAACCACTTTTAATCATTCATTTGGAGTAATGCTGGCAGAACTAAACTAAACAATGCCAACAAAAAAGAAAAGCAAAATAAATAACATAGCAGTGAGACATACCTTTATCTCAACAGATATGCAAGGCTCACCTTCTAAAGCACCTGAAATAGAGAGGGTAAAAAAATTTAATCACCAGAATGATAGAATAAAAACAAGTGAAAAACTAACAATAGGGGCGGGGGGAAATTAACAAGGACATCTCCGCCTGAGATCATGTCTGCAAGTGAGGCCAGACAATTGGTGTGGTAACATTTCATTCCAGCAGAAACCCAGAGCCGGAAACACATATATGTTTAAATATTCTTCCTTTTTTAATCCATTGGCTTGTATTTTTCAAGAGCATGCAGAAGATGGAGACAAATTTTAATCAACAAAATCGTATACAGCACGAGAATTGACTATTCATCAAGATCATATGATTTGAATATCTAATTATTAACAATAAACTATAATAACAATTTAGAAGATGCACATTTTTCTATTTTTCTTAGAAAAAAGAAGAGAGAGAAATCAAAGTACCGCAACAAATTAGACAATGATAAAACAGGGAATTAGGAAACCCTTTCCACTCCAAAATTGGCCCTCCTACACCATGAAAACTCAACAGATTTAAAATAATACACATAAGATGCCAAAATATATCAACAAATTTGACTAAACTTTATCAATAGAATGCTTCTAAAGCTAATCCACAAACCAGTCCCAAATTCCAAATGTTACCCCTCCCCCTCTCTCTCCAAATAAAGGAAAGGGGGGAGGCAGACGATGAATATTGGGGGCAGAGGTGCTGGATTGTAGATCCAGGATGGATAGAAGATTAATTTTTCCATCTTGATGAGAAACTAAAATTAGTGTTGGATTTTTCATTTTAAACATGAGGTAGGTAAAGATAGGGAGGTTATTTTATTTGGGGCAGTGGAAGATGAATGTTCCTGGATGGTATATAATTCTAGTACATTTTACGTACTTGAGGGAAAGAATTCACAATAGATGTAGATGGCGAGACTGGTTGTTGCTGACTACCGCAGGTAGGTGGTGAGTTGAGATAGGTACGGGTGGTTAGGCTGCCATATACATTATGCTAGTTACTTCTATACATCTGCTTTTTTCTTTTTTATGAGGACCAACCAGAACTACAAAAAGGACAGCCACTAGTTAGTTAGCAGCATATTAAAGAAGAGAAGAGAGTGGAAGCAGACAGGAAAACAATAAGAAAAAGGAGGGTCCAATTTCCAAAGCACCAAGCCCAAGCCACTTGAATGCTTCGGGAAGCTTTGTAATATTCCTAAAAAAACGATGCAATTCTTTCATTTCTTAGTTTCTAACAGCTCGCCACTTAAAATAAATCAAACCAATACCAAGTCAATAGTTTTAACTTTTAAGTTTCTCTTCAGATGAAGAAGTTACTATGACGGGTAACCTACTAGGCAACCCTGTTCGGAATTCGGAAAATGTTCAAAAGGTTCTATCTGCCGCCTTGATTCACTTTTCAGGGAAAAGGACTATTGGGAATGGGGAAAAAAAATGCTACACTGAAGGGGAAAAAAACATGCTCCTTTGAAGGGAAAAAAAAAGTAGTACAATTGCATGACAGACCCGTCTATAATAATTTTACTAGTACACAGACAGCTTCTTCGCCTTTATTTGTTAAGTGGAAAGATGACAAGTCACAGACTACACAAGCTAACATGCGGGTTGTCCCCTTCTTTAAAAGAAAATGCAGGGGTACAATGGTACTTAATAGAAAAGTACAGAAAAACTATCATTACCGTGAGGGAAAATGGAATGATCAGATAGAACAAGAACATAATCACGTTGTGTATCAATCTTTCCAGTATTTACTCTCCAAGATGGGCGTTGGCTACTTACATTCTTCTCAGCCAACTCCAGAAATTCTCTGCTTACCAAGACAAGTTTCTGCGAATGTAAAGGGGTGCTGCGGTCAGAAATTTATATCATGTCTACAAGGTAAGTCACCATAGCCTCAACAACCGTTTGTGTATTCAAATTTTTGCAACACTTTAAATTATAGAATTAGACGACAATCAGCTGTATTTCTGGAATTTATCAACCAACTTAAAGGGCAAAAGAAAAACATACACCAGCATCAACGTGTTTGGAACCCAATAGGGGGCTCATTACATGCTGCACGTAGGTTTGGGCAGCAGTGTCTCTGTCAGTGGATGACATAAGGTTCCCTATGTCACCCCACAACAAGTACTCGTACTTGGAAAATGCCGTCGGACTCCTACAATTTGATCCATTGATGGGAGCCTTTTGTATGCGCATAACTTTTCCAATCTATATCAAGAAGAATAGTTTAGTCCCCAAACAGTTTTAATTCTCAATTCGATCTTCTCTCTTCTTTAGGTTGAATTTAAATCGTCTCTTCATTTACATTCTTATATGATACGTATAGAACAATGGTAATTCTCAACAATTCCCTAGTTATCTGAATGCCCCATTCCCTAGTTACACATGCAACTACAGAAAAGCATCTGCACCACCCTTTGCTTTCTTTCCAATCATTAACGTATAAACTGCAAAATTAATTCTAACGGAGTAACGAAAACCATTTTTTTTATTATGTTCAACGTACAAAAGCTGGAGAGGAGCCAGTATAAGCAAGAACAAGATTAGCGGCTCCTTCGCCTCTATAAACCCAATCCGCAGCGTCCTTCTCTTTTAGTACAATCTCCATCCCGTGCGTTTGTCCTCTGAGAGAGAGAAATGGCGAAATAGACATAAATAAAGTTCCAACAAAAGAGGAAAAAGAAACAAACAGTAGCGGCAACGACAGCCTAATCAATCATCCTCAGAATCGAAAGAAGATTCAAATACCTGATCTGAAAATTGCATATAGTCCGTAACTATCCGGTGATATAAACCTTAGATCTTCTGAGAAAAGCCACATTCCACAATGCAGCTACAATTGAATACAAAAATCAAGCAATAAACACGGCGAGAAGGTGAGAAGTGAGTAATGTGAAAGCGAATTGAACCAGGAAAACGGAGTGGATAGTAATGATCGGATTTTGGGGACGGAGGTGCAAGAATCAGCTCAGCGGGACATGAGAGAAAGAGCTGCGACGGCTTCGAGCAAACGCAGGGTATGAGATCTGAAAGAGGGAAAGGCAATTTTGTTTTACAGTGTGGGATTGTTTTTGTTCTGCGAAATCTGGTGGGGTTTTGGGGAGTTTTATCATATGAGAAAAAAAATAATAAAAAATTATATCTTTCTATGAAATAATTGAAGATCCACTTTGAATGTACCACCGGGTCCTTATTTGTACTAGCATTCTTGAACAATGTATTCTATTCATGAAAACTATTTTTTAAAATGATTGTATCTATTCAGTTCCATATTTAAAAAAAAAAAGACTTTTAATTTTGTGTTTAAAAAGTTCAAATCGTTAACATCATCGATTTAGTATTTTCATGTCATGTTTGATATATTATGTAACAAATTACGTGACGAGTTAATTTAGATMTTTGATGGATATGTAAAATTTTTTAAGTATAGACTAAATAGATAACATGAGTTTAGCTCAACTGATTAAGACATTTATTTCTAACTAAAAGATCATGAGCTTGTACAATATTCGCTCCACATGTTGCATTGCCTATTAGGATCCTAGTTGATCTCATACTTTGGTTATTATGTTGAGTTGGATTCAGGCTTCAAATACATTTTTGTGAGTATCAGTTCAATTGAGAATAACAAAAATAAAGTTGTGTCGCATCCTAGGTCTTTTCTCTTATTTATCGAGGGAGTTTCATCAAGTCGGATATGATCTGGTCGGGTGGTCACCTAGCTAGCTTAATCCAGACAGTTCAATTTACGTTGCTTCTTTAACCTCGTTTCAGGTAAATCTAGTACTATAATTTCAATCATAACATTATATTTGATTCGTCGTGTCAGGATCAATGATGTAAACTTTTGAACATTGTGCATGTTAGTTTTTTAAATTTAATTGACTTAACTTTTATGTGGATTTAGATGAATAACATGTACCTAATTAGTACAAGTCTCACATAGATGTTACGAGAGGAACTAATTAAAAGCATATTAGTTTAGATCAATACTTCTTCCGACAATTTTTGTCTTAAAAAAAAAGTCTTAATAATTTTTGTTTGGCATCATATCATATCATTTATTTATTTATTGTTTCTACACAAATTAAGGGCATATTTGACCACAACTTTTAAGTTAATATTAGTCGTTAAAAACACACAAAAAAAGAAGACCGAGTTGTTTTATTATCAATCCCTTTTTTCAAATTAAAATAATAATAATTAGTACAGTAAAAGCCCCCTTTATTTCAAATTATCACCAATGACCAAACCACGATGCTAATTTTTTCACAAACACAAATTATAGCAAACTCGATGTTAACTTTACCAAACAAAAAAGATATTTATAAATATAAAAAAAAAAAAAAGATATTTATGGAGAGAACAGTCAACTATTGATCAAATCCACCCTCATTACTCCTCCCTTGGAAAATACTCTAAGTACTCGGCACTTAATAGTCTTTTTCTACGTTCTGCCACAAGTCACAAGTATTTTGCCACATATGGTCTATTAGAGCTCTCTTCGTTCTTCAACCCGTTCATGGCTAGATACATCGTTTCAAGTCAAATTAAAAGATTCCACCTCTAAAAAGCAGTAGCTCAAATATTGTTGTTGTTTTTGGTTGCTTCCCTCAGCTAAATAGTGAAGAAACATTTGTTGGTGGCTCCATTATCTCTATCTCCATCGCTCCATTCCACTTGTGTCGGCCATTTCACTTCTCTTTTCTCTATCTATATAATACCAAACAACTGCGCATTGCTTTCTACGAATCCGAATCATGCCCTGCCTCTCCGCCCTCTGCTTTTGCTGCCTCGGCGCCGCCCTTCTCTTCCTCCTCCGATCACGACCCAACAGGAGCACCTGCCCTTCTCATTCTCCTCCCGGAACCACCGGATTGCCTCTCGTCGGAGAGACGCTCCAGTTCATGGCTGCCATTAATACCACCAACGGCGTTTACGATTTCGTCCGAATCCGCTGCCTCCGGTAAACATAAACATCCATACCCATTCTTTATGTATTTATATTTAAATGATAAAGTTGCCTCCAAAATAACTATGAATGAACACATTTTATATTAGATTTGATCTCCTTCTACCGTCATTTCCAAACACAATCTAAATGGCTTATTCTCCATATTTGTAAAACTTTATAGATACGGACGGTGTTTTAAGACGCGGATTTTCGGAGGGACGCATGTGTTCGTTTCGAGCACCGAATCCGCGAAGCTGATACTGAGCGACGGCGGAGGGAAGTTCACCAAGAAGTACATAAGCTCGATCGCCGCCCTACTCGGCGGCCGGAGTTTGCTCTGTGCTTCGCATGAGTACCACAAATTCTTGCGCGCCCGTCTCACCAATTTATTCTCCGCCACTTTTTTGGCGTCCTTCGTCCCGCAGTTCGATCAACAAATCCTTTACGCGCTTCGGACTTGGGAAACTGGATCTACCATTCTCCTCCTCAACCAAGCGCTCAAGGTAAATTCATTTTTATTTTCTTTTTTTAACCTTACTCTAAATATGTGCTCATTTTTCAATTTAGTCAATATGTTGTTTTCAAAATTTTAATTCAATCCACATTTTTCATGAAAAATGTTAAAATTGACTAACCTGATATAATATATAAGCTAAAGTTTCATAACCATTAAACAAAAAAAAAAATATATATATATATATATATATCAAGGTCTTAAAAATTTAGGAATCAAAAAGTAAAAACCTTAACTTTTTTCTTTTAGTTTTGATATATATTGACAATAATTTTGTGACTGTGAAGATAACCTGCAAGGCAATGTGCAAGATGCTGATGAGCTTAGAGAGCGAAAACGAATTAGAGGTACTGCAGAAGGAGGTGGCTCATGTATGTGAGGCAATGCTCGCCTTCCCATGGCGGTTTCCCGGGACAAGATTCCACAACGGCCTCAAGGTTATATCCACTCCATTGATCATCACTAAATTCAAAAGCTTAATTGATTGGTTATAGCAGTAAATATAATTTTAGGCAAGAGAAAGAATTATAGAAGTGCTCGAAAAGGTGATTCGGGAGAGACGGAGATCTAAAGCCCAACACGAGGATTTCCTACAACGACTATTGAAGGAGGAGGAGGGCGGAGGCACGCTGTCGGATGCAGAGATTGTAGATAACATTTTGACGATGTTGATCGCTGGCCAGGATACCACGGCGAGTGCCATCACTTGGATGGTCAAGTTCTTAGATGAGAATCAAGATGTCCTTCAAAATTTAAGAGTAAGCCTATTAAAATAATCAAACACAAAAAAATCATATCATCTCATTCAAAGGTTAAGTAATGAGTTACCATAAATTTAATCGATTGGACTCATTTAAAATCTTTTGCTTTTGTGTTATACATTTTTTAACCCATTTAAGCCTCTGAACTAAAAGGAAAAATATATCTTAAAAAATAAAATACTGGAGAATAGTAATTTAAAGATGGATTATTATTATTATTATTTTTAATTGAAACAGGAGGAACAATTAGAAATATTGGGTAAACGAGCTTCTTCGAGTATCCTTACGTTGGAGGATCTTGGAAACATGTCTTATGCTGCTAAGGTAATTGGCTAAATATATCCAACGCTCCCTTTTAAATAATTTTCAATTAAATTTTTAATCCAGTAAAATTTATTACTATTACGTTTACATATATATTGGATAAATGAACATGGTTCTCATATACCATATGATAAATAAAATTCAATCAGTTGAATAGAAAAATCCAATTGAGAATCTAATTGAAAATTTTGAAAGATACCAATTGAGAATTACCTCAAATATTAGGGAACTATTTGGTATATTTAGTTCTCTATATTTTGATATATTGAAAATAATGTTTTTTTTTTTCTTTGAAAAGTAATGGTCCCATTTTATACATGATAATCAGATAGTAAAAGAATCCTTGAGGTTAGCATCTGTTGTGCCATGGTTCCCAAGACTAGTCCTCCAAGACTCTCACATTCAAGGCAATTTCACTCTCTCCTCTCACTTTTTTTTTTCTTTTTTTCTTTTTAAGAATGATTTAGGATTCGTTTATTCAAATAGTCATTTATACTATTGTTTCATACTTTATTTTCTAAAAAACTAAAAAAAATTAATACTCTTTTTGTCTCGGTAATTTCGACTTTGGTTTATTGTGGTACACGTACTTTCAAAAATGTGTATTTTGGTTCATGTACTTTCAATTTTAGTTTATTTCAGTCAATGTACATTTGAAACATCCATTTTTGTCTTTATATATTTAAAAAGTGACCATTTTGACCAATTCATTTTTATTTATTTCGGTTTTACTTCACTCACTAAATTTCTTGAATAGTCGTAAAATTGTATTAAAACTGTTTCATTGTATATAAAATTTGTGCTAAAATTTTGTAAATAGAGACCAAATTGGTCCATSAACAAGATTTAGAAAGTATAGATAACAAAATAACAATTTTTATAGTAGATAAATCAAAATAAACCAAATTCAGAAGAAAAAGAACCAAAAATAGCCTAACAAAAAAAAGTTTTGTTCTCTCTAAATCTCAGTAATATTTTGAAAAATACAAAAAAAAAAAAAGTTAGGGTGGAATGTCAACATTGATAAAATATGTATAAAGAATTTTTTAGAAACATAAAATAAAAATAAATTATTATGGAAAAAAAATGTTAAAATGGTGTTTGGAGACAGGTTATAAAATCAAGAAAGGGTGGAACGTCAACATCGATGTAAGATCACTACACACAGATCCTTGTGTTTACAATGATCCTGCAAAGTTCAACCCTTACAGATTTGATGTAAGAATAATAAATTTTAATTTTATATATTTGTTTGTTTATGGAATTTGATTAAAATTTAGAATTGATTTTAAAAAGAAAATAAAATTGGCGCAGGAAGAGGGAAAGGCGTATAGTTTCCTAGCTTTTGGAATGGGAGGGAGGCAGTGCCTGGGGATGAACATGGCCAAAGCCATGATGCTCGTCTTCCTTCACCGCTTGGTTACTTCTTACAGGTGACTCACCAATTACACACTTTGCATTTATATTTATGGCTTAAATTCTACTTTCTCACTGTATTTCCCRACGTTGCTTTATTTTGATTCATGTATTTTTAACCTAAACCCTTTCAATTTTTTTCTTTTTCATTTTAGTCCAYGTAATTTTTAAACATCCATGTTGATCCTTTCTACTTTCAATCTTTTGTTTATTTTGTTTCTTTGAAATACTTGTTTTGTTTGTTTTAGTCTCCGTACTTTTAAAAAGGAACTATTTTGATCTTTTCATTTTCATTTGATTCATATACTTTTAAAATATATATTTTAGTGTTAAGAGTATTAGTTAATCAATTTCAACTCGTTAGTTAAGAGCCCTTAGTTTTTGCTTTGTTATTCGATCATTCACCAAAGCTTCTCTTTCTGTGTGTGTGTATATATAAGGCAATGTGTATACTTTTATAAATTAAAAAATAATATTTCATAATTTAGTGAAGTGTTTTAATTTCGTCTACCTAGTTTCAACTTTCAATTTTTGTTTATTTTAGTCTATGTATTTCTAAAAAATTTGTTTTTGTTTACGTAAAAACAACATTTCGATCCCTTAAATTTCATTTTAATCTCATTTCTTTCAATTACAATTTTTGCACGACATTTCATTCACAAAATTTCACGAAATGTAGCTATAAATTTGTGTTAACAAGTTTCCCGTATATATAAAATTTATGTTGAAATTTTACAAACATAGACAAAAATGATATTTTTTTTTAGATTACAGTAACCAAAATCGATATTTTAAAAGTATAGAAACTAAAATGAACAAAATTTGAAGGTATAAAATCAAAATAAACATTTTAAAAGTTATATTAACCTAATTAAAATTAATGTATAGAATCAAAATAAACGTTTTAAGCCAAAACGAGCATAACTCAACGGTAATTGACATATATTTCAAACCAAGAGATTGCACCCCTACCTGTTCTACTAAAAAAATAATAATAATAAACGTTTTAAAAATTGTATTAACCAAATTAAAATTAAAGAAACGAAAATAATGTTAATTAATTAAATTGCGCAGATGGAAGGTGATGGACTCGGACTCTAGCATTGAGAAGTGGGCTCTCTTTTCAAAACTAAAGAGCGGTTGTCCAATCGTCGTCACACATATTGGATCCTAGACGACGCCGTATAGCCCCCAATAATGCAATTTAAACTTCCTTTTTTTTTTTAATTTTAATAATTTTCTCGCTTTCGAATCTTATTATAATTAAATAATGCCTGGCAAGAACCAAATACTATGTGAAATTATATGAAATCATTTTAATTATGTCTCAACAACTTATTATTGACATGATGTATAATAATAATTTATCTAATTAATTTAGAAAGTTGAAAATTGCACGTCTCTCAAGTCAAGTGTGTGTATAAAAATATTATATTAATTAATCTTTTAGAAAAATTAATTGTAGACTTTTGAACCTGTTTCAAATTATAGAAATATTTTATTTTATTTTTTGATAAACATAGAAATATTTTATTGATCATTGGAAGAAATAATTGTCAATATATCATGGAACTTACAGAATTGTCACTACCACGTCCTGCCATTAATGGGGATAAAATGGTAAGGTTTGATTTTGATTACAACAATTTTGTTACATCCAGAAGATTTAGAAGACGATTATTCAAATTGAAAGTTAGGTACTACTGCAATTGAGGKTTTTTTTTTCTTTTGCAAACTTTTTCTAATATATTATAAATTACATTTTATATTCATTTTCTTTTTTCAACCTAACCACAAATGGACRCAAAAGCCCTCCAAAACACCATTTTTAATTCCACCCCAATGCAACCCAAGGGATAATGTGGGATTGTGGGTGGTTCTTCCCTCACAACTCAAATCCCAAGAAGAAGAAAAAGAAATTAAATATATATAAAAAAAAAAAGACAAAATGATTTCTTTAGCCATTTCAATTCCCAAGGTTATTCGAAAGCTGTCGGAAAGCTTGGAGAAAACGACGACGGTTTTGCCAATCATGAGCTTGTTTTTGGACTTTGCAGCTCTAATAATTGTGTTCCATACCTACAACTACAATAGGTCACTATTAATATAATCTTTTTGATTTATTACACCTTTTTTTTTCTAAAAAAAAAAACACTTAAAGAGTGAAATTCAAGCAAACAATATAAGGGAATCATCGTGTATTTACTAGTTTAATCATTAATAATATGTGCATGTGGTAATTGTTTGTCTATAAATTGTAAAATTGTGTGTCTTAGATTTGTTGCACCATTAAAAGGTTTTGGCGTTTGTTCTTCTCAGTTTAATTAGGTAATTAGTACTGTTAATCTAAGTTTTGCTCAACTGATTAAGACATGCATCTTCGATCAAAAAGTCATGTGTTCGAATTCTCACCTATATATATATATATATATATATATGTTGTTGTACTAAAAAAAGGTTGGTACTTAATTGAGTAATTAGGAGATAAAGGAAAAATTGATTCTCGAGTATCATTCTTTATTTTTTTCAAAATGTGTATGCTAATTAGCGAAAGTCATTTCCATGCAGTAAGAAAGTATACGTCTTTTTTTTCTCCATTTAGAGGTGGAGAAAATTGAACTTCTAAACCTTTTATAAAAACATGATTAAGTGCATTATTCTTGGATCCATTTCTACCAAAATTGTTAAATATTGGAGCACAATATAAATAAGTTTAAACTTGACCTATTCAACTCAGGCATAATAATGCTAAAAAAACAAAAAATAAATATGTATTTTGAATCATAGTATAAAATTTAAAATTTTACAAAAATAACATATCCAAATCAAAATTAAACTCAAATGTAATGTAAAGGACATTGAGAAAAGTTTAACCTATGTTATTTTTGAGACAACAAAAAAGAAAAAAGAAAAATAAAATTTATGATAATTAAATAAGATAGTCATTCAATATTCCAAATTATTTGAGGTGCATAGTTAAACAAGATCTGGACTCTCATTCATTTTTTTTTCATATATAACCAATATAATATATTCACATCTTATATATCTGTGGCCCAAATGTTTATATTTCATCTATTAGATCCAGCTCTTCCTTCCCATCCTATGCATACATTATGATACAATATTCACAAAATTAAAGATATATCATTCTCATCTTATTATAGAATAAAATTTAATAATTTTATTCAAACATAGAGAAATAAAACTTCTAATTAGAGTCAAARCGAGCATAGCGATAATTGGCATATACCTACAATTAAGAGATTGTGAGTTCGAATCYTCTTCCCAACATGTTGTACTAAAAAAAATCCAATTATAATTTATGATCTCTACTTAACTTTAATTATATGGTCAGGTCTACATCAATAATGGGTGTCCCTCTCAAACTGCGAACCGTCTATTAAAAGTTCAATCTTTCTGACTAGGAAAAAAAAAGTACAATTAAAACGACAATGTTTTGGAAGAAAAAAAAGAATGGGTCTTCTTAGGAGATTTATTCAGATTTCTAGTTGCAGAGATGATTTAAAAATACATCTTTTTTTTTTCTTTATTAATTCAATCATTCATCAATCAGCTCACTGCTTCAAGGATGTTGACATTACCAACCAAAATATTTATTTATAAAAGCTTTCGTTTATTAAGAAAGGGAAAAGAGAAAAGAAAATAATAATAATAATAAGACAGCTTTCCTATGAACTTTGTCACTATGCAACTTGGGTGGAAGTAAAAGGGTGTATTCCATTGCTTGATATTTTGTTTGGTAGCAAAAAAAAAATAAAGTGGGTGTTTCCTATTCGGATGGCTAGAAATTTGGGAATTTTGGGCTTTAAAATGGTGCAGTCTCGAGGAATATCAAGATTTAGGTGGTCCATCTAAGCTCGTTTGAACTTTTGAACTCTGATACCATATCAACATTCATGAGGTTCCATCTCAAAATCAATTGACAATGAAATGAGTAATCTATGTCTATCATAAACCATTGTTAGATCCATTCTCTTTTCAATGTGAGATCCTTAACAAAAAAAACAAATTTGAATCAAAAATTTTAATTCACTCAAATTTAGTAGTAGAGTTAGTTCGATATCCTTTTGCGTTGTTTATTCTCAAGATACYGTCATCGTTTACCTCCACAAAATATTTACTCCGTCAAATGATTTTATTAAAGTGTAAAATTAAAGGAATATCATTTTTAATTACAAATTGTAAAATAAATAATTTATTATATCTTTCTATCTCAATTTCGAATAGAGGTAAGGGCGGATCATGAAGAGATCRGGTTAAATTTAATATTAAATAATATGTATTATGCAATTTAATTACCAAAGGTATGTTGTATAATTATTTGACAAATATTATACCATTTTTTTTTCAATTTAGCACATTGTTTATCATCATTTTTTTAGCTTCCAAATTTTGGCTATTTTTCAAAAGTATTTTTGTAATAATTTTTTTTTGTGAATTTTTTTTAGAAATAAACATAAGCATTGAACTTAGACCTAAAAAATCAAGCATCATCCAGCATAGTATGATTTTTTTTTTTTTTTGTTAATGTTCCTGCTTAATAAGGCAAGAGTGCAGCTGGATTTAATTTATAATTCAACACTCAAACACCTTTTCCTTTTGAATTTATCATGATTGAAATTGACTTGAATTTCCAACTCTCTTGAATYCAGACAAAAAATGAAGCATCAAAAGTCAACAAAGTTGTACTAAGATTTTCTTTAAAAAAATCCATCAATAATGTAGGAATGAGGTTTTCCTTTTCGCTTTAATTCGCTTTAATTGATATCATAAATCTTSGGACCACTTTGCACGCAACTCGACTGATCTTACGAAATAATCATTAAAAATACATAGAAATTAATTTCTAGGTAGGTGATCATCATGTACTTTAAATTCATTATCTCTATTTTTTTTCTATTTACTCTAGTTTCTTTGGACCAATGAATTACCTACGAGAGTTTATGGAATGGAAATTTTTGAACCTCCAACTTTGTAAAAGATTTATTTTATTTCTTAACGAATTGAGTTAGGATATTTTAGCATCTTAAAAAAATAAATTGAAAATTGATGTTATGCACATAGCTAATAATATTATTTCATGGGTAGGAACACATGATGATTTAATTAATAAATTAAGAGATGGGCCTCTTAGGTTGCTCTAGATATGTTTTTTAAGGGTTAGGTTATTTTTACTTTTTTCTTTTTTGAAAAATAGGTTATTTGTACTTTTAACAGCTGTGTCAATTTAATATATATTTTGTTTATTAATATCCATGGTCCTTGTGGTTAATACTTGGTGTTTAAAAATGTAACGAAAAATTGGCGTGACACTTCTATGGACCAATTTGATGTTAGATGTGTCGTGTGACTCAAGGTTAACGAGGATGAAAAATAAAAAAATATATATTTAGAGGATTAAAAACAACATATTTAGATGTTTAGTGGTTTGTTCAACATTTTTTTATAGGTAAGAAAGAAAAATTCATGAAAATGAGATATTTTTTCTATATATTAAAAAAATAAAGAATTATCAAAATTTTCAATGATCAACAAAAACATAGGTGCATGTCAAAATTAGTATTAATATTGTTTGAGAAGTGATCGTAGGTGCAAAAGGAGGAGTATAAAGTATMTCTCAAAACTTCAATGGTGTCAATTATAGTTATATATCTATATATATATATATTTTGAGATTTTTCGTTTCTTTTAGGAAAATAAAACAATTTTTAGCAAAAAAAAAAAGAAAGAAAGATTGTTTGGTGTCTAACCATTCATGCGAAGTATAGATGGACTTAAAAAGTGAAGAATTGAACTATTGATCTTTTAAATGAAACAAAATGTATCTTATTCACTAATTAGATTTAAACCGGCTAAAAATAGATATGTATATGTTTCTGACAAGCTTTCAAAAAGTAAATTTAGTCACAATTACATCCTGTCAACATTTTTATGATAAAAGTTATTCGATGTTTTCAKTGATATCAATATTAATTCGAAGTCTCTCCGACCAGAGATTTTTTTTTGGACRAAAAATATTTGTTCGACAACTTCATCATACCACAGATCAATTATTTAGGGGGGAAAAAGTTTGTAGGAGAAACCCCACTTGGCACATAAGTTAGTGAATGTAATTATGATATGGACACACTCTTCTAATCCCAACAAGATTTTCTCATAATATTTTATTTAATCCTTTAGGTTTATTCTAATTCTCTAATCCCCACACCGCCGACTACCATTTTATTTAATTCAACCCTTTTTAATTTAAATTACCATAAAGAAATTGTATTTTTCTTTATGCATGTTGGTCYGTGAGATTAGTCGTGAAACTTGAAACGTTATTAATTATTGCAATTTTGGTTTTTCCCCAAACCTTTCCCATATTTACACCAAATGCCCAATCTTCTTTTTATTTATTTCATTAGAGATATATAAATACCATTTTAGACTCTAAATTTTAACGCTTCTTTTAAATTTTCAATATTTTAAAATTTCAATTTTTGAAGTCGTGAAGGAGGATATATAACAACATCAATCATTTTAAACAATATAATTTTAGGATTTCCAAAAGTTTAAATGGTTAAGATTTTGAAATTTGTGAATCAATTAAGAACAAAAGAGGAGTTTTTTCCTCAATTTATCTTACATTAATATAGGACACTTGCATATATGGTAAAATAAGTCTAATAATTAATTGCAAATATAACAAATAGTATTCTAGATTATTGGTAAATATGGCAAAAGAAGAAAGAAAAAAAAAAGAACAACTCTGCCGAAACTCACTCATTAAAAAGACTAAAATAACTTTCAAACATTTATGAGTAAAGAYGTGATCCATGATAGATTTATASAGATACATGAGTGATATGACGTAAAATTATCTAAATAAGTATACGAATAATTTGATTAAAATTACCATATTTACAAATTGTTCTTATATTTGAAAATATTTATAAAAATTATGGTAATGTGAATTGTCATCGAGAGAGATTTTTCATTAATATACGTGTCAACCTTAAACTTTTTAACTAATTTTTTTAAAAAAATTTAAAGTACTTTCTTATTATTATTATTATTATTATTATTWTTTTACTACGAGTCACAAAAGTAAAATATTTATAAAAGAAGAAAGGACTAAACAATAATTGTCTCATGTTGCTTCTACATTTAATTTAGGTTAGTTCAACTCGTAAAACTAAAACTAATTTATTCAAAACAAATAAAAAAACTAAAACTAAGTTAAAATACAATTTTCAATTCGAGTGTTAAGAAAAAAAACTCAATCTTCACTTAATTTTTGTCCAAAAAAAAAAATACAAAACATACTTTTCTTATTATTATTATTATTTTAGAAAAAGAAAACAGCAGTTAGATTAAATGCTGAAAATTATGCCGTTTCTTCAAACTAGCGGGATCAACATTTAATTTTCTCTTATTCTAATTATTTGCTCCTGATTAAGTGAATCATTTCATTATTCTGTTAATTGAATACATATTATTAATTTAGAACCAGTTTCTTTAATATTGTAATAAATGTTACCAAATTCCAATTAACATCATTCTGTGAGTGTGTTGTTCTTCCAAAATCCAAACTAATGTAGAAACTTCAACGYATGGATAACATTGAATGGAGAAAAGAAAAAGTGGTTAAAAGGTCTAATTAAAGTAATAATAAATAATAATATCAAGGAGAAACTTCAACGGCGATTGTGGATTGTGACAGTCTTCTCTGAAATTTCTTTTCTTCGCAATTAAAACCAAAACCACTTCATTATCACTGCCTCTCCACCTCCCCATTTTGCCGTCTCAGGTTTATTTAATTAATTAATACCACTTTATTTTATTTTTGCTAATCCTAATTATCAGGGGGAAAGTGATTTCTACTGACCACGTGACAATCCTTGATAAGAATGAYGAGTCAAGCATAAAGATTCATTTGTGTAAACTCGGATTTCGCTTACAAGACTAAGCTGAACTAATTCTTAATTCGTGCCCCTCAAGAGTAAACTGAGTTGACCTAATATCTCATACGCAGACTAATCTATTAACTACGTCGATCAAAAACACTCCTTCAGATATGGATCGATCATTCACTTACTTGAGCGTATAGTGTTTTCTTTTTTGCAGGTGTCCTATTTGTGAACTCATCAGCTCACCAATTGAGCCAACACCACTTCGAGCAGAGCTTCGCAGACTTTGTCAGATTCCTAATCAAACATTAATGTTTTTTTATGTAGATTTCAATTTAATCCTTAATCTTTTTKAAAATTTTCATCTTATAATTATTTAATCTATAAAAAATTATGTTAAAAACGGTTAGTATAAAGATAGAATATCATTAAATTGTTGTTTTGTTGACATATTTGAAAACATATTCTTTTATAGGTGGATCAGATTTGCTTAGAGCGAGTTGGGTTTCATGTATCTAAATAGTACTTGAATAGCACATCTAAATAAAACAATAATTTATTGATAGATTGACTTTTTTGTTAATAAATTTATAATGGAATGACTTAATTGAAAGTTTTTTTTAGTATAATATGTGGTGGCCACGACTTGGGATGAGAATTGAAAATTTTAAATACATTAAATGTGAAATTGAGAAGTTTAAAAAAGAAGAAGACCAAATTAAAAATTATCTGACACATTAAAAGCTAAAACCATTTGGTATATTTTCCCTTTGCTTTAACTTTTAAGGTCGAATGAGATAATATTAAATTAGACGAATTAAAACCTAAATTTAAATCATTTACGAAACTAATTTGCCGAATTGGCTCATTATTTTAGAAAAATGTATTTTTAGAGATCTGAAGTTATAGTTATCAAACTTTTTTTTTTAATATAATATTTGTATATTTGCTCAATTTTATAGCTACGTTTTATTGGGTATCTATTTAGACTGTTTTGTTGGATGAATTTCATGCGATTAATTTATTTGTTTAAAGAYAAATTTATAATTCAATTTTAAAAATAAGTTAATTTCAAATTCGATTAAATTAAAAATTTAAGACTAAAATTAACCTACTAAACCAACCACATAAARTAAGAAATACCATATTTTATTGAAAAAGTTATTTTGGGCACTCAACCCCTTTCAAATCTTCACTAGATTATATCGAATTAGGTTGATTAATTAACGACAGTATATTTGATTTGATACCATATTTATTTCCAAATATAATGATTTGTGTCGGCTGACATATCCATTTTAACAGAATTTTGCTACACTATAATTTCTTCCTCGATTTCGACCCCAATAAAATCTGCCAAGTCCCCAACAACATTTATTATAAAATAAAGATTATTTGATTTGAAATATGTGGAAATTTCAACAAAAATGAAGAATATTCGTTAGGATTTGGACAGCGAGTTCCATTATATCTGAAATATTTTTTCTGACACAAATTGATATTTACAGACAAACAGAAAGAGAGAGCTTCAAACAGACAACATTGCTCTTCCAATTCCTCTGTCCGATAGAGGAAAATTCGAAAGAAAATCCAATTTTCCGGGAAAATTTCCTAATTCTCGAATTGGGATTCCAATTGGTAAATTTGTAGACACAGAGAATGAATTATTACAATTCCGACAAAGCAGGGGCATGTAGTAGAAAGAGAAACAATCGAAACCTTTTTTTCCGTTCTGTCTCTGTTTCTGTAACGTCCTTTTTCAGATTCTTCTGTTCACTTGTCGGAGCAACTCACGCCCACCGGAACCGTCGCATTTTTTCTGGTCTACCGGCTCTTAATCGGAAATCCACCTGCCGATGTGCAATTTCTGTTCGGCGATGAAGCTCTCCACCGTACGATTAAAATCCTCGATGTCCATCTCGTGCACTGATCGCACAAATCTCGCCGGTTCTTCGCTAGATTCCCGGCGAATCTCCGTCTTCGATCGCCGGAATTTGTTCTCCTCCCGGCGCTCCGCAAATCTCTCCGATTCCGTTCTCCGGTACTGTTTCGTCTCCGGAATGATCTCCTCCGCCGCCTCGGTCACGGAGGTCGAATTSGGAGCGGGAGRGATCGGCGGCGGCGAGGGTGACGGGAACGGCATCTGTTCCGTCGGAAGCTCCGCCGCCGGAGTTGCAGCGATTGCAACTCCGTCCACCGGCGACGTCACAACATTCTTCTCGGCGACGACCAATATCTCGGCGATGGAATCGTCACTCGGAGCCACCAAACTCTCCGGCGACTCTCCGGTGGCGTTTCCGTGAGAATGCGCGGCATCRCTCCTGTTCGAGGCGGGCTTGGTCTCCGTCAAGCCGGAGAGAGAGTAGACGACGAAGAGCATCACGTTAAAGAACATGAAGACGAAGATGTGGCTGTTGAGCACAGCCACGAGCTGCCGGAAAAAGTGGCGGAGGACCGGGACGGCGAAGGAAAACCAAGTGGAGCGGCGAGAAATGAGGAACAAGAACACAGATAATTCAAATAACCACTTGAGCTTCCGGCGGCGAGTGAAATTCCCCATGGGAATGGCCTTGACGGAATCGAATCCATTCAAAACCATTGTCGGGAGGGTGAAGGATTTTGCCGGAAAAGAAATATTGCTGCAGAGAAAGGGGTAAATCCGCCGTCGGTGGAGTCGAATTTTGAAAGGGGAAATTGAATTTTGAGGGCAGGAGCACGMATCGTTGCCTGTTTATATAGAGGGGGGATTTGAATCGTACGGTGTGAGATTAAATTGGTAATAAAATAAGTTTAATTATGAGTGAAAGTGATTAATTAAGTTGGATTATTTTGTGTTTAGTAGGTTGGTTAAGTGGAGAAACAGGATTGGTTGAGGCCTAGCCACGTGGGCCAAGGCTCGGCCCAACCACCGCGACTGGTTCTGGTTCTGGCTCGCTCGTGTGACGGCGTCACGGCATCCTCAAGCGCCTCCGTCCCTTTCCTTTTTGGCTTCCCCGTCTCTCTACTATTTCTATTTTAGTTACTAATAAAACAATTAATAAAGTTCAATAGGTTTAAACTTTACATTTTTTTATATATATATTTTAATTTAAAAACTTATTTGAACATAATTAAAAAAAAAGATAAAATATGTTTTTATTCCCAAGTTTAAGGGATAATATTCTATTTGGATCTTTTAAATTTCAAGAACTAACAATCTATTATCGATCTTTAAAGAATGGTTCTAAAATACACGTAGAGTCAAACTCTTGTTAGTGTTACATGGAAAGCTGACATGAAAATTTGGCAAATTAAGTAGTATTTGCTGACATATTTATTTTAAATGATGTTACATTTAAGTTTAAAACAAAAACAAATAGGAAAAATAAATGAAGCCGAAGCAAAATGATGAAAAAGCTTAAAGATAAAGGAAATGGCAAMCTAAAAAGTCTCCCCCGATTCTTACTCTAATATTCATTTTCCACAAAAAGTTTTGAAAATGTCAATGGACCAAAACAGACATGGATAAAAATGTCGTTTTAATTCACAAATCAAAAAATTGAACTATTCAAAATCAATCTTGTTTGTCCCAAAATTCACCGCACTGCTTCATACCCTGTGATGAGTATGTGATTTTCTTGGAATATGTTATTTGGTAATTCTGAAAGGTTAAGAAGTTGTATATTTACTTGATTTGCTACTCGTTTCTTCATTGTTCGCTGCAAATTTTGTATCTTTGCTCGGAAGTCGACTTGGAATAATGTTTGCACTTGTGAGTGGGTCAAGAAGAACACATATTTCATCTCTTTTAATAAGTTGTATTATTAGATAATTTAACTCAAATTTAATTGCTTGGGCGATTCGTAAAAACATATGTAATAAGCATTTTGATGCTTAAGTTAATTTAGGCGAATTATAAGGTATATGATTTGCAATCAAACTTGTACATTTCTTAGAAGAGAGTTATCTCTGATATCTATAGATGTAGAACGGTAAGAGTAATTGATTAATCACAATGTACGTTCTGCAAAATGACAGCGAGAATCCAGTACTCATGGTATGAGTCGAGAGAGTTGAAAAATAGTTCTGCTTAATCTTGCTTATCGACATTTCCTCATCACCGTTAGGTCGTCCAGTATTGTCAGATCGACACTAGTGCTCTAAACTCTATTAATTCGAAATACGCACAAGACTTCTTACAATACGTGGCACGCAATTACTCATTCTCCAACATTCAAACCGCAAAGTCCTTAAGAAAATTTTAATCGCGTTTCCCAAGTATTGAGTGGTGTTTTAAAAATTGTACATCATTTCCATTTTAGTTTYCAATAAAGTCAGATCTAAGTTTGAATGTTTTGGATACACTTCATTTTGGTTTAGATTTTGAGACTTGAAGAACATATCCATTTATTTTTAGCAATTTTGAYTTATGTAATTGATTTGATTTCTTGTTTTTTCTTCCGAAGGGGAAAACATAGAAATCAAAATAATCTAAATTATTGCATGAAAGATATTAAGTCAACGTTGTAGCTTTACACATCTCTTGACAATGAAAGAAGAAAATGAAAAATATCATACTGTTTTCATTTACACTTCTTAATCCTTGTGAGGATGAACCCGTAAGGAGAGTGTTGGCGGCATTTCATATGGTCTTACTCGATCTTAGTTTGGTATTTGTTTCGAAAAAATTAAAAAAAAAATTCATACATATAACAAATATTTTTTTATTGTATAACGTAATTGACATGTCTCTGACCAATAAATAATAAGTTCAAATTTCCTCACCCCTCGCTGTATTAAAAGAAAAAAAGAAACAAAGATTTAATTAGGCCCCACCTATGAAAAGGATAGGAAGAACATAAGCATAAGAATAACAATTAATAAGGTTGGATTATATCATCAATTAATTTAGATGATAATGAAAAGACAAAGAGATTGATTCTTATAACATATAACAAATCAACACGTCTTTAATTTGATCTTTTACCCAATGATCTTTTAGTAGACATTACATGCCTTAGTTAAGTTAACTTCAGATCGCGAATTGGTTAATATTTTAACAAACTTGCATTGCACAGTATTTTAACATAATTTTATATTCTTAAAATTATTAATTATAGGGTTAAAGTTTAATGGCATATCTTAACATATATTCTTAAATTTTTAAATTTTATTTGAGGACGATTATATTTTAAAATAAATAATTTGAAAATTTTTTAAAAATAGTGAAATAAATTGAGTATAATGTATCATTACAACTTATAAAATCATATAAAAGACAARCAAGTCTAAAAATAATTTTCAAGTATCTCATAATTAAATATAGTAAAGATAATGATAAATTATATTATTGATTAATCTAAGAAATTTTGAATTTTTACATTAATGACATTATTGAAATTATCCATTGAAGAGTTTTTTTAGTAAAACTCGTGCGAGATCAAACTCAAAATATTGACCTAATAATTTATTCCTTAAGTATATTATTTTTATCGAAATTAAGTCTTTCACTTGTGTTTATGCAAGGATATGCACAGTAGTGTATATTAGATTGCAGCTCGAACTTGGCCTCCGGACCGATCTGAATACTTGGGCGGACCTGCACAAAAAGGTGAGCACTCCGACGATCAARTCAGTATAGGTCGGATTCCCAGTTTAGTTCGAGGTCAGAAATCATCGTACCTGATCGTGGAGTGAAGTCCTCTACTTATGGGTGGTAGTCCCGCTAATCTCGCAACGGTTACACTCGGTAATCTCGGGACCGTCGGTTACACCCGGTAATCTCGGGACCGACGGTTATACCCGATAATCACGCCGCTGACAGTAGCTCACATCGGCCCCCACCGAGCTTCCCGGTAGGTCGGACCTCGGCCAGGTTCACCTCGGCCCTCATACTTAGCATCTGTCAACGCTAGTGGTGGTGATCTCGRCCGTCCGAGCTGGGCATGACTCATGAGTCATCTTGGAGYACCAATAGGGGTCCTCCACGTGTCCAGGGTATTCTCTTCCCCAAACAACTTGTGTTATGCTATTAGTAACATTTAACTACTAGAGTGAGTTTTAAATGATTTTTAAGACACTTCAATTGAAGTGAACACTTATTCTAAATGCTTTTTTAAAAATCAATTAAATGATTCTCTTACAAATCAATTTATTTATTATTATTATTATTTTCTTTTTTACTTCCAGGAGGGTTCTTATTTGGATCTTGGGTGTTGACACTCAAATCTCTTGCCACTATGCCAACACCTAGAGTGCCTTTTAAAATCACTTTTGTTATAAGGAAATAAGCGAGATCCAGCTAGGCAACATGAGATCGGAAGAAAGCCAAAAAGTGGGCACAAACCAGGAAATGAGGTCGGCACCTGGCGACCCAAGCTGGCCCCAAGGTCTCAGCGTCGAGCAATYCTCGGTTCCCCGACCGAGAACCCTAACGACTCATCTCGAGCCATCCCGCATTGACTCTCGATTCGATCTTAAGCCCACAATGAAACGAACGGACCCGAAGCAAGCATGAGGCCCACTCCGTYTAGATGTCCTGAGTGCATTAGGATTTAACTTATATAAATCCTAAAGGGAATAGGATTCAAGTTATGCAAATCAGTGAGTAATTACGATTCAATCTCTATAAATAGGAGAGTAAGCTAAACCCTAAAGATATGTTCACAACACCCCAAACTTTATACTCAACTATTCCGATTYTGACTTAAGCATCGGAGCCTGTGTGGCAAGAGTCACACCGGTCTTTAATGCTATTCTGTTTTACAGGTATCGTCGATCCCTTTTATTCTTGAAGATTGGTACGAATTTGACGGAATCTCTAAATTTATGCATCTACAACTTCTAAGGTATGTTTTCAAATGGTAAATTTTGGACATCTTTGAAAAAGAAATATTTTTTTATGCTTCTCTCTTAACAACAATTGTAAGCATTTTTAAGATTCCAATAATTACTTTTGGTTATCTAACCCACCACTATAAAAATTTTGAAAATACTTTTTATGGCTAAAAATGTCTTTTGTTATTTCAAAGTATTCTCAAATTCATCTTAAAACAAAGGTACTAAAATCAAGATTTTAAAAGGGAARTGATAGACTTGAGACAGATGGTAAAATACAATGACGAGAATATAATTTAACCAAATAATAATACTACACTAAATTTTATTTGGTCTAAATACAAAACAAAGCTAATATTATTGCTCCTAAACTATAATTATTTCGTAACAGACCTTTCAAATTTTCTATTATTTCGAAATCACCCTTCATAATAACTCTATAAAATGTTAATATATAGTTTAAGGATTTAATAACAACAAACAACTTATATAGTTGAAGATGAAAATGGCAACTTTTTGTATAGTTAAAAAGCAAAATAGAACCTTGTTAAATAGTTTTGAGACATCTTTCATAAAAAAAAAAAAAGAAGAAGAGAAGAAATAATAAGATTATTCTTTTATTTCACAATTGTTCATTTTGTTATTGTCATTATCATTCGTCCATTTTTTTCATCTTCATTTCTGARGCAACTTCAATAGCTATAAATTATCATTTTACAGTCAATTTTAATTATACCAAAATTTATTAAATGGATTACTTAATAAGTTATTGTGCCTTTTTTAATATTGCATTAGGATGGAGTAGAAATTCAAATTTATATATCTAGCTATTTAAAGTTGGTAATAAATTACCTACTATCTAAATGACGTTAGGCGTACGTATTTTCAAGATATATAGAGTGTTTCTCGTTTGACCTTGATTACTTTACATCTGATTTAGAGTGATGCTTATGCTCGTATTATTACTGACGGGATAGCTTTTGTTCTAGCTCTCGACYAATGATGAGGTTTGCTTAGAATTTATAATTTTCTCGCTTCAGTTGTTTTATTTTGTCTTATTTATAAATATGTGGTTTTTTTTTGCTGGTTGCTTAAGTTGCTTTGTTGATTTTTTGTTTATATTCTTATAGCTTTAATTGATATGTCTCTTTATTCTATCTGTATCTTGATTATTTCAGAGTTTGAGATTCATCTTTTTTCTTGCAATATATTTTTTTTTATCAGATGTAAGAACGAGGGATTAAACTTCCAACCAATAGCAAAATATCTTAACTACTAAATTTTGCTCCTCGGTCTCTTGCAATAAACTTAACCCTTGCGAAATAATAATAATAATAATAATAAAGCATTGGGAAAAAGTATATTATTAGTTCAATACGTCTTTAAACTGCTTTCCTTTGACTAATCTTTAATATAGCGTGGCATTAGACACTTCAGCATCTATATTAAATGATTAAATTACACCTATTTTAAGACTCTTTTTCTAGTATAACTCTTCAAGACTAGTCTCAGTACTATTACGTCTTATTTACTATTCTTAATTTGTAAAACAAAAATTAAGTTGTTGTGTTGGGTGATGAATCACATGTTTAGATCATATTTTAACTATTTTCACTCTTTATTTTGTTCTATTATTTTTTTGAAATATTTTATTTTAATCTCTCAATTTTACATAAAGTTCTAACCGAGATTCATGTTAAATGTAATTTAAAAAAAAAAAAAAGAAACTTAACTAATAGAAATAGAAATGAATTTTCACCATAATTATAAAAGTTAAAATATAATAGAATATACTTAGTTTAATCCATCAATTTTTGTAATGGTATATACTTGGTCCCTCAAATTTAAAAATTTCAAATGACATCTTAGATTTCAATTATGATTATATAATAAATTATGTCAGAACTATTAGTTAAATATTGACGTTATAAAAAAAAAATTGAAGTTTTGACTCAATACAATACAAGATAATAGATCACTTGGATGAAATAAGTTAAAATAAGCAAATGAAAACAAATAAAAGTTTGACAAATGAATATAATGTACTTTAAATAGATTTCGTTGGCTACCCTCCTTTTATTATTTCGACAATCTACTCTGGTATGGCACATCATATCAAATTATCATAAGTTGAATCAATATGTCACGTCAACATTTTACTATTATAATTAATAATAAAATCAAAAGTATAATTTAAAATATTTTTATTGTAAGGTATAATACCGTCCTATCCTCGCAATTTTTTAACTAAGAAAAGACCGTTGATATTTTATTATGTCCTTCAGTAGAAATTAATAAATGTAAAGCAAAAATTTGAAAAAAGAAAAAACGGTGACGTGGCGATGGGGTGGAAAAAGAAAAGAAGGGTAATGGAGGTGGCCCCCACTGACAGTGACAGTCTGACCCAACCGCCACGCAAAACGCCAAACGCCACCAGCTTCCACGGAGGACTTCCATCACAACCGCCGTCTCTGCAGACTTTTTCTTTTTTTCCTTTTTCTTCTTATTTTTTCCAAATTGCAAAAACTACCCTGAACTATATACTTATTACGCTCACGTTTTTTAACTTTCAATTTGATTAATCGTCTCTCTAAATTTGCTTTTTGTAACTAAATTCCTTAGACAGGAACCACTCATGAACTTTATAAAGAATGTTAGTTAAACTCTCAGACTATAGAATTATTAACTTTCGACTTTTTCTAACTCAATAAAATTTGAAGATTATTAACAAAAAAATGATTTCGGTAAGCTACCTTCTCGTCTCTCGATTTAAGAAAAGAAAAAATCAGGGTGAAAAATCTTAATAATCTTAATTTAAGGTTTAATTATAATAATTTGATGAGTTTTTAGATAATCAAATTGAAAGTTTGAGATTGTGGTTGTAAAGGAGGGTTTTTACCGACTTTTCAATATATATATATATATATATATATATTTTGGTTGAAGATCCTCCTGCCATTTCATGTGAATACTATTGTACCCACAACCAAAATAAAACAAATTCCCATGAATTTACACCTTTTTATTAAATCTCAGCCCCTCTCTCTCATCATTTAATATTCAAATAATACTAATATTTCTTCTTCCATTTCCATTCCTCTTAGTAAAGAATCCATTCCTTTTAGTAAAAAATTAAAGTAATTCTTTTAACACATGCGTACGAACAATATTCACAACAAAGACCTAACATGTGATATTTAAATTACGCCCTAATTTTTTGAATAGGAGTGTTCTTTTGAGTCATGTCACTTTTTGGATCAAATTCATCCCGAGACACTTTAACTCAATGACCTATGTCAGTTAATTCTATTCAACCCATTTATACGTTCTACTAATTTGTTACATCCAATCTCTTCAATCTATGTAGTATGTCATTTATTTTTCTTTGTTTTTTCACCTGTCGACTAGTAGCCAAATTTAAAAAGATAAAGGCCGCACATATGATAATGATTTCAATTATAAAAATTATATTGGTTTGCTCGCAATTTTTACCAATTATTTTTTATTTTCAAAATATTTTTGTTAAATTAATTAGATATTATTGTGTGTAATTAAATACATCATGTGATATTTAAATTACGCCATAATTTTTTGGACAAAGAGAGTTCTTTTGAGTCATGTTACTTTTTTGGTCAAATTCATCTCAAGACATTTTAACTCAAATAATATCATGTGAGGTACTTCTATTCAATCCACCTAGTACGTTCTACTAATTTGTTGCATCCAACCTATTCAATCTATGTCATTTACTTTCCGCTAGTAGCCAAATTTAAAAAAATAAAGGCCAATAATGATTTCAATTTCAAAAATTATATTGGTTTGCTTGTAATTTTACCCATTATTTTTAATTTTAAAAATATTTTTGAATTTTAAATTAATTAGATATTATTGTGTAATTAAATGGTCGAGTGGTTGAGGTTGAAACTCGGTCAAATTTGGTTTGTTGAATGTAAACTGAATCCCTCCTGGTAAACGTCAAGATCTAGTCAATGAACTAAAATTCCTTATTTATTTATTTATTATTATCATCTATTATTTTATTTTTTTTTGCAAAGTTAAATTTTGCAAGAAAAAAGATGTACTGTGAGATCAAGCACAAATGGAATAATTAAAAACATAAACAAATAACAAATGGAATACAAAGACACCTACTAATAAACACCATAAAAAAAGTCGTCACAATTAAAACAACACACCCATAAACGAGACAAAACGTAACAATTCATTTATAGAAATAAATCCCACATTCTATCAATAGTTGGGAACTAGAATGAAGGCTACCCTACCAAATATTAACTCGAGCGAAAATATCACTCTGAACTAAAATACACACACAACCTTCTGTTCTACAGATGAGTGGAATTGAATAACCAAATCACTTTAAACTAGTTTCATAAATGTATATTTTCTGTTTTATATAATGTAAACTACCCGAAATATTATGTCAAAGTGAAATCCGTCTGTGGAGCTAAGTTTCTGTCCACCAAATTRTTAACTTTTAAAATTTAGTTCAAAAACTAATTTGATTCGTACTTCAAACTTTGTTTCATTCTAATCCTTATAATTTCAAAATGTTCATTTCAATCTCTATACTRTTAACTTTTTATCATTTCAATTTTTGATGTCTCAAAACATACATTTTGGTCAAAAGTGACAATTTAACCTATTGTAATTATACACAAAATAAACCCTTTAATATGAATTTAGAGCAACATTTTAAAAAATTTAATAGGTAAAATATCATGATAAAATTTTAATGAAAAGAAATGAGATAAAAATGAAGAACCAAAACAATACGTTTTAAAAGTACATGGATTAAAACGAACATTTTGAAGGAAGAAAGATTAAATGAACAAAAATTAAAATTAAAGGACTAAAGTAGACCTTTCAAAAGTAAAACTATAAACCGAAACTATATTCCTAGACATAACTCCCATTGATCTGTGTCACATATCTACACCAATACAATTGAAAATTGTGAATAAGAATGAGAAGAATGTGGATGGAAAATAAATTATACATATTTGTGAGAAGAATGCATAGAAATGAAAATTTAAATCCTGCTAATCAATACTACATCACCTCACTAAATTCCCGAAAACGAAGTTGCAAATAAATCCAACAATATCTATTTAACTCGAACATCTATGATCACAGTCAAAACCGTAACATGTTCCGACTATATATTATATAATAAAACTGAAGCAATTCAAAGCTATCAAGAAGAATAGATGATACATTCAAGAATTCTCTTTGTTTCCCGTCAATCTCCTTTACCACAACAATGGAAACCAAATGGTTTTTGCAGAGGTTAGAAATCAACCCAAGCAGAGATTGTTACTGTCCTAAGGATAACATATATAGTATCAATAACAACAAGATACAATTGATGCCGCAGATGAAAGAAAAACAGTTAACTAGAGAACTGAATACTTTACGGGTACTATGGCATGGCAGAGCTGCTAAAAATTTACATGCTACTCACGCTCCACATCTTCAATTTCTTCATCCTCCGGTACTCCRCGAAGGTAAAGAACATTATTACACCTGCCAGAAAAAASCAGGAAAATAAGTCAGTGTCTAATGAACTTGTGGAAGAGTTATCAGTTGAGCAGAGCCCAAAATTTAAGGGCATGACCGTGTCTAACATGAATCATACAACAACTAGTAAACTACAGATCTGTTCTTAGGGTGAGTTTGGGATACATTTTGAACTGAGGCACGTTTTTTGTAAGCATTTTGGGAAAATAAAAACTAATTCAATGCTTTATGTAAAAACAAGTCATTTTTATCTGTTCTTTTTAATTTCTAGTTACTTACGACCTAACTTGAACAAGATCTATTCTATAGGATTGTTCTATAGATTGTACAACTGTGTCCTCRAGCACTTTTTAGTCCTCCATTGGCACTTTAAAATACATGACAAACACACTCTCACTAGCCCTCGTAAACCAAATGTGTGTACCCGGCCTTATTCTTCATGTTGTGTTTCTGTTACATTCTCATATTTGTGCTTGAGCATTTATTTATATATGAACAGAACCTATGCATTACCACCAACAAATAAGCTTTGATGCACTTGATATTGCAATCTGCAACCACTGGAAGAAGCTTACCTGATCAATATTTCTCCTAGACTCCCAGTAAATTGTCCGTCAATATATTCCTCAGTATTGGCAAGCTGCATTCAAAAAGTTGCATAGTGAAATCAGCCGCTGAAAAATACTGGATTTATTTGGGAACAGTTTTCAAAGCAGTTCCTGCTCTTTGAAACAAAAATTCTATTAAAACCAAAAGCTTTTTCTTGTTATCTTCTAGTTTGCTACCATGGATTAATCAAACAAATGAACTTATTCTTCCTTCCAAAATCTAAGATTTGTATTCAATTTCAATGTGCACGCTAATGTTAATATTTACAAATCATTGCCATCCTATCACGTTTCTTAAAAATGGTTATGAAAACACAAAACTAAAATTCTGTTTCCAAAACTGTTTTCAAAACAAGTTCACTGTAATCAGAAAACAAACTGAACACATCAAATTGGATTCAGAGACAAGGAACTTCGAATCATGTCAGTGCTAYGTTTGAACTTGGGTTCAAGTAAAAAGTTGATTGCACTCAGTTTCCTTCTTAAAGTTCTAATAGTGTCAATTCATTAGAGTAAAAACATCTTACAGACACTAATTTGTAAATTACAGATTCCTGCAGCATACGGAGACTTAAAAACGACAGAGAGATTATTACACTCGCAAAAAATAACTAAAAAAATCGGCATCAACTGGATAGAAAAGCACTGAATTTATTTCAATGTAAGTAGTAACACACCTGTAAGTTCATGTACGAGTCCACTGAGACGAGAAAGCCTAAAACATAGATGAAAGTGAAAGTCAGTAAAAAAAGAGAGGAAAAAGAATTGATAAGAAACAATTTCATTGATGATATAAAATTACAAAAGAGGGAGAAACCCTATCCAAGGAAAGTCAGTAAAAATTCCATAAGGCTAGAAGTAAAAGAGAGAAAAAATGAGGAAAATAAGTGGCAGATAGAAGCAAAACCTTTGTACTCCATCCCCCACTTGAGTTTCACCACCACAGTCTTTCCGGTCAAATTGTTCAAGAATGGCTTCGGGTTAACTGGGATGCTCTGCGATAATCGTATTACAATCGAAAGAACTTAATGTCATTCACGAATCAAAGAAAAATGGGGGGAATTTTGAACAACCGATAATCTATAGACCAGAAGAATTAAAGAAATTAACCAAAGATTTTCGCCAACTATCTAACACTTCAGACGGTACCGAAGTGATGAAAACGGAACAATAACATTTATAAAGACTCGAAAGGCAAGGATAAGGAAAATCTTGTTTACCATGGTTCGGAAATGACCAGAAAGAACTTCTATGGAATCTGTGGAGGCTCAAAAGAACAGGAAGACGAAGAAGATGGGCTCTCCCTAGGGTTTCTTTAGGGTTTGTTTTCCCTCCTTTTTCCCTTTCGCTGAACATCCAGAAGTTTTCCACAGCTGAGCGAATCGGGTAATCCGGGTCGGGTTAATGGATTTGTTGGGGCCCATAATTTGAAGCCCATGGGCTCCTCAAGTGGAGTACTCTGTACCCAATAGCCCTCCTGTTGAATTACAAATTTCTTCCAATTTTTTGTTTCAGATTTAATTCAGTTGAATTATAAATTTGTTAACCATAAAAAAGAAAAGTGAAATTSGATGATTGGCTTTCGAGCCTATTTAATAACTATTTRATTTTATTTTTAATTATTCTTTTTATAAAAATTAAGCCTATAACACSAGGATTCTTATCTACTTTTGGAAATATTTTTAAAAATYTAGGTCAACTTAAAAAACGAAAAAAAAAATATTTTTGTTTTTAGAAGTTACTTAAGAACTCAAATGTGTTTCAAATAAAAATGAAAACGTATTAAATGAAATGAATGTAACATTAACTTCTCAAACACATAAACTAAAAATATATTGTAATTAGTGTAACATTAACTTCTCAAACACCYAAACTAAAAACAAAATGATCATATCCGAACTCGAGTGGCGAGGCCATCCTAGCAAGTAGTCGTTTTGTGGAGAAGAAGCATAGCGTAAAAATTTTGGAGGCATTGGTGATTTTGGAGGATTTGAAGCAATCTCCGGAACATGGTTGTCTACTCGATTCAAGTGGAATCAGATTCTTTAAAAGTAATATCATTGCTACATAATGAAAATGAAGACCTCACAGAATTTTGTGGGTGGTGAATGAAATCCTGTGCATGCAGGAACGTTGAAACATTTTGTCTTTTGTTAAGGTGGATAGAACAACAAATATATGTGCTCATTCCATTGCAAATAGAGCTTGCTATTTATAAGAGAGTGGCATTTGAGATGTAATTATTCCTCATTGGCTTGATACTTTGATCAAGCATGACTCTTGGGTTGGTTAATGAAGTTTCTTTTGTTTAAAAATAAAAAAATAAAAAATGAACATATTGGAAGTCTTTTGAGTTTTTTTTTTTTTAAAAATTTACATCTTTCTAAAAAAAATAATAATTATTATATCTATAAATTTTTACTTCTGATTTACTATAATATATTTTTATGTACTACAGAAAATATATGCTTTCACATTTTTCTATTACATAATTTTTGTAGCATGTCTATTAGACAAATGTGATCTTATTTGATATATTTTAGAAACAGATAACAAAATCACGTTGGTTAGAAGTTCGAATTCAAAAAGGAAAAAATAATAAAAACAAAGTATAATTTATCTGTTGGACAGGCGTGATGTTGTGGAAACATTGAATTTGAGGGCATTAAGTTTAATGTTGTAATAAGTTTATTGAGCATTAATAAGTATATGATCCGATGTCGTCCAGCGGTTAGGATATCTGGCTTTCACCCAGGAGACCCGGGTTCGATTCCCGGCATCGGAATTTTTTCTATTTTTTCTTTGTTTTATATAATAATTACATTATAGTTTAGACTGATCTCGACATGTGTTCCGTTGTCGTCCAGCGGTTAGGATATCTGGCTTTCACCCAGGAGATCCGGGTTCGATTCCCGGCAACGGAAAGTTTTCATTTACTAAGATTTTTATCTGTCAATATTCAAGCCGTTTTACAGGGTAACAAAATCAGTTAGGAAACTTAAATCATATTAAATCATATCCTAAATAATATTATAACGAGAATGTAGTTCATATCTATTATAAACTTTCATAAGTTTCATTTTATTTGTAATGTGGAATCTTTTAACATTGTCTCAGARAAATAGTAAATATCTTACTAATTGTGTTACCATGACTTATAGTTTAAAAACAACCATTTTTGTGTTGGCTTTATCCCTTGCAACTGCTCTCTTTTTCCAAAAAAAAAAAAAAGAAAAGAAAAGAAAAATATTTTTTACGTCCAAAGATTATTTACGTATTTTATTTTAAGTCGCTACAATCAAGGAATTATAAATAATGCTATAATACACGCTCCTATAGCTTATTAAAACAACTTCTATAGTCAATTAATTATTTTCAAAGTTAAAACTAATAAAATAAATTAGTGTTGTAACAAAAATATATTTGAGCACTCAAAAATATATATATATATATATATTTGAGAATTTTTGGTATTGCTAAAAGCTTTTTTTTTTTATGCCAAAAAACACTTTTCTCTAAAAGTTGTCATGTGTTGTATTATTAAAAAGATGTTGTTGGAGAATGTCAAAAACCACTTACAATAATTTTTGGAAAATCACTTAGACAAGGTTTTTTTTTCCCTCAAAGTACTTTGACTAATAAACATTTCAAAAGCAATTTAGAATTAAACATTAAAGATATTTATTATTAATTTGTTTAAATGTTGTTTTATTTATAAATATAAAAATTAATGATTAAACCTTTGACATCAAGGTTTTCTCAAAAAAAAAAAAAAATTGATATTAATTAGGTAATCAGTATCTTATCTATTGAACCATGGATGACAATTTGTTATTAATAACATTTTATTGAAGTATTTTGCTACAAAATATTTATTTTATAAGTACACTCTTAAAGAGGCTCGTCCATCTACATATTTAAAGTCTCTTCCARACGTGAGGAAAACTCTACTCCACCCTTAACTTTCATTTTTAKATACAAAGGCTTTCTTCCTAAAAACTTTGACTTCAGTTCTCAAAATTCCAAGTTAGTCTCCTAATCCCCTTGGTTTTGGGATTTCAACCATGAACTTATTTAGACCAGCTTTCTCCTATCATGTATATAGAAGAAAGGTTATTGATTGAAACACTCTCTAGTCAATGCTACATGAATAAATCATAGAGCAACTCTTATTCCATAGAAATATATAAGAGTACCAACATAAAAAGTGAAATTCATAGTTTAAAATAATGATAGATTCACGGGTTGAGTATTAAAGGGGAAAAAAAATTAGAATATTATGTCCAAATACACTAAAAGAAAATCATATCGAAATTGTATCGGTAGAATACTAAAATTAGTACATCGATAATGACAACTACCYGAAACCAAATGTAGTCGAGGAATTAATTTCCTATGCCTTTCTTTGACAACTAAATATAGTATGGTCACACAATTGTCTAATAAAATTTGGCGAGGTGCACTCACGGATAACAATAATAAATTAAAAAAAAAAACTACCCTATTTTTCAAGATATATGCTAGGGTATTGGGCTTCCAGTATTAGTAACTACGAAAGCCGATGTAGGTTGGGCTTAAGAGATCTCACCTCGATCAAAAGCCCAATTTGAGTCCATGTCTAGGCCCAGTCCACTTCACACTCTCAGCTGCCGATAAGTTGGATATTCAACCAGATTAAAAAAATATAAAAACAAAAAAAAGGGGGAAGAAAATAAATAAATCCGAAATAATAATAGGAGTAAAGTCACCAGAGTATAGAAACTGAGGAAACCCATCGCCAAAAATTGCCTTGGAGAAGACGAAAACCCCTAAATCCTCCATTAATACCACCTCAATCCTCTCTCTTTACCACACTACAGATCGCGACTGTGGCTCTGCGAAACTCTTGAATCGGTTCTGTTGAGCAAAAATGTTTAGGAATCAGTACGACACGGACGTCACCACATGGAGCCCCGCCGGGAGGCTGTTTCAGGTGGAGTACGCGATGGAGGCGGTGAAGCAAGGCTCTGCGGCCATTGGCCTCCGATCCAAGACCCACGTGGTTCTAGCCTGCGTCAATAAGGCCAACTCCGAGCTATCCTCGCACCAGAAGAAGATCTTCAAAGTCGATGATCACATCGGCGTCGCCATTTCCGGCCTTACTGCTGATGGACGCGTTCTTTCCCGCTATATGAGATCTGAGTGTATCAATTACAGCTACACCTATGAATCCCCGCTTCCCGTCGGTCGTCTTGTAGTTCAACTGGCCGATAAGGCTCAGGTTCGTGAATGATGCCCTCATTCTGTTCACAATTTGCTGCTGCTTTGAATTTCTTACGCATTTGTTTGATTTTAGCTGTCTGTGCCGTGGGTTTGCATATGCTTGAATTTGTTTGGTTAGTGGCGGGACTTACGAATTGTTGCTGCCTGACAATTGAAGGGAAACTTTTTTTATTTATTAAGCTCTCTAACATGCGGAGTATCCTTAGTCAGTAACCGAGATTAGGGAACATTTGGCTTGGGGAATGGCACAAGGTCTATGCGTCTTCTTATTTACAGCATTTCGAGCTTTAAATCTAGCCAAAGATTATAGCCTTTATGTCTGTTACTTATCCTATGTTGTTGTATTTGTTAGGTTTATTCTTAACCGTACAGTGGTAGACACGGACTAGGACTTTAAGATCTTTGATTCGTGCGTTTATTTTAATTGTTGAATTAGTTAAAACCCACCTAGCGTTGCTGGTAGTTTGTTCTTTATAAATTATTTCTGCTTAATGGTTTAGGTTTTAGTAGAAGCTGGTAACTAGAGAAATTATTCTGACACAATGTGGCTATCACCAATGCACATATATGTCATATGTGATTGATGGACTTAAGAGTTGTGGACAAGAATTATATGCAGCTGGATAATTGAGGCCATGGTTGCATATTAGGGTTCAACTTTTGGAAAGTTCTCACATATTTTCCTTGCACTGTCACTGTCTTCGATCAATAATCTTAAGGGTCCTCAAAGTTTGAGGAATCGGGTTTAATAATTAATATGTGATGGGATGTTGAGAGGCACGAGGATGAAGCATTTTCTGCCTTCAAATTTAAGCTGGAGAAAATTGCAGTTCTAGAATTTTGTTGCACTGTGGTAGCGTTGTGTTGAATTTGGTTTTAGTAGATCCTTTGTAGCGTTAGATTCTGCTTCAAGTTCTTTGGTCTACCTTGAACTTAAAAAAAAAAAAAAAATTGTTCTTTTGTTTATTTGACCTTTTTTTTTTCCTCTTTTGCTATTCATTTTTACCGGCTCACTCCTAGCTTTGCTAGCAATATAGGGAATAAAATTTTGGTATTTATACCAAAATGCTCGTATTATAGCATAGAAAAAAAATTAATCTTGAATAAACCTTGCTTGCTGTATTTATCTCCATCTTTTTTGATTTTACAAGAGACCATGTATTCAAAACAAGAGTAAAGAAAAAAGTCAAAACAATGTAGATGCTAGAGGCTAGAGGCAAAGAGTAGAGGCCTTGCAAACTAGGTCAATGTAAAATACTGTGTAGTTACCAGACAAATTTATGTGAAGGGCACTCTTAACTAGAGGCTGTATGAATAAAATCACAAAATTTATTATTATTATTATTATTTTTTTTGGGTTAAGAAACTTATAAAAAGACCTTCCAGGACATTGTTGAGACTATAGTTAGTAAAAGGGAGATAAAAACATTTACACTAACCAAAGCTGTGACTGGAACATTATCAAAGAGATAGACGTTGTTGAATATCCTGTTGTTCCTTTCTAGCTAAATTTTCTGGACGAAAGCCCGATTAGTCATACCCATACGATTCCAGCTTCCTTCTTGAACAGGTGACCCACCAAGAGCGCTTGAAGAAAAAGCTTTAATTGAACTTGTACTCATATGGATGGAGTTTTCTTTGTCATGAAAGACTATAGTTTCTTTCTAACCAGATGAGCCACAAAAAAACTCTGATGGCACACCTCCAAATGGCTCTTGCTTTTCCTTTCAGCCACCAGTTGGAAAGAGCGTCAAGGAACCAATCTTCAATGCATTTGGGAAGGCAAACTGAGAAATGATTTTATCCCCCCTCCGACCCCTACTTTTTTTCTGCATTAAGTTAGGTTGCATCAACCTATATGGATCGAAGCCTCAAAGGGGAGATTATAATATCAAACTTCCTCATGGCCTTGCTATTCGGCACCTGATGTAGGTTACTTGATGTTGGTTATCCTATCATGATCTCTGTGGACCACCATTTCGATTCACCCTGTTCTTTCTCTGTGGAGACAGATTTCAACTGCTTTGTGCAACTGCTTTTGATAACTCGGTGAATTCCTTCCCACAATAATATTTTGAAGTATTCAGGATATACCTAATGTTGTTGTATTGGATGTAATTGTTGGTGTCATTAATACTTGCTCGAATCATCTAGATGTCTGTCCCTAGACTATAGGATCCACTCCAGACAGGTAATTAACAACTTCAAAAGCCATGCCTTCTTGGCCTGGTGTAATACTGGGTTTCTAATATTTTCCTTGACTAGAAAGTTTATCCATATTTGCTAGGAGGGGCAAAAGCCACAGACATTAGGTATGGTGAAATAGGAATAACACTAGGTACTTTACTGAGGTATTRTCTCTTATTTGTATTTCCAGGGTTCCAGGCATGGTTGTTTTAATAGGGAAGACCAATTTCACACGTTCATAAACTTATGCCTTTCTCTAATTATCTTGGCCACTGGTTGCAGGTCTGCACCCAGCGCTCGTGGAAACGGCCATATGGAGTCGGTCTGCTGGTAGGTGGTCTGGATGAGTCTGGCGCTCACCTTTATTACAACTGCCCAAGTGGGAACTACTTCGAATATCAAGCTTTTGCCATAGGATCCCGTTCACAGGCTGCCAAGACATACTTGGAACGGAGATTTGATAACTTCAAGGACTCATCTAGAGACAACTTGATCAAAGATGCACTGATCGCTACCAGAGAAACCTTGCAAGGAGAAAAACTGACTTCCTCCATATGCACGGTTGCGATCTTAGGAGTTGGGGAGCCTTTCCATATATTGGATAGGGAAACTGTTCAGAAGTTGATTGATGAGTTTGAGATTGTTAAGGAGGATGATGTTCCTGCTGCGGATCAGGATGTTGCTGCCGAGCAGGGTGATTCTGCCGCCCCTGAACAAGCTGCAGGGACAGACCAAGGCAGTGCCCCAGATCAAGGCGTGGCCCCGATGGATATCTAAGGCCACACCGTGCAGACGTCGCCTCCCCCTTCCCCACTTCCTGGGTGTTTCTGTTAGGTTTGGTTCTTTAGTGCAGACATTTTGATACTTCTCTGTTGTGGCCTCAGATTTCGATTTTACATTTATGAAAGTTGTATCAGACCGTTGAAAAATGTGTTATCACAACTGATTATGTTTTCTATATTATGATTGGGAGAAGAACATTAAGCTGATCCATAATGGCTCTGAGACATATGGAATCAAGTTAGTGTTGATGAAATTTGAGCTGCATATGATATTGAATTCTGTGAAGCGAAATTTGCAGTAAAGAAGATGGACTGATTCCAATATGTGAACCAGTCCAACGCTAGATGATAGAAGATCTTAAAGCCATATAAAATTCACACTTTTTTTTTTTTGGTTGGGTGGATCTGTGCCTATTTTAATAGAATGAGTGCTTTATAAATTTTTTGTGAATCAATTAACATAGAATGTAAATAATTGATTCATCTACAACATTCCAATGTTTGCTTAGTCAATGGAAAATCATGATAACAATTAGTTTTTTTTTTAAATATATACATATATATAACATTATAGATTAGAAGGTAGAAATTAGAACATTTTGACCAAAGGCAATACACTATTATTAATAACTTAATCATTAAACATTGTTCAAGCCAACAATTACCATTTAATTAATTACATCATTTGATACCTCCAAAACTTTAAAAAAAATTAAAAAAATTTAGCACAACAAATAGGGTGGAAGAATCAAACTTATAACCTTTGATCATAGGGTGTCAATTATCTCATATTGGCAAAATAATAATAATAATCTTCCTGATTCATAATTACTTCAATTCGAACTTTTTTTTTAAAGGTATTTAGTACCATCTTTAGAACATATAATATCACTGGTAATATAAAGTCTATCATTTACCAAAATATAAATACATGTGACTTGATATATTATAAATACATGTGACTTGATATATTATAACGCTTATCTAGTGCACATTAATCCAACTTTAAAATATAGTGATAAAAATGTCACTTCACCACTTCATTATTATTTAATCTTAATTGGTGTTGAAGATTCGCTTAAATTTTTTTTTTTGGAAATATTAGTGTATAAAATGTTATCTTATTACTAAAGATAATATTAAGCTATTCATAAAAATAATCCAATTATATGCACAATTACATCCACGAAGATATACACATAGAATGCAAAAATAAGCTTGAAAGCAGAAGAAATCACACTAATGGAAAAAGCAAATTTTTACATCTTGTTTGTGGAGACAAGGAGGAGAAGAAGAGTTACAGTAATAATTAGCATAAAAGTCATAACCCTGAGATTATCAAAGAGGTCCTCCAACTAGCTTCAAATAACTTACCTTTTTCCTTTCCCTCTTTCTGTGGAAAATTTAAAGAAGTCCATCCCAAATGCTTGTGAAAAGAGATGCCTGTTAATTGGAGAAAAATGATGCAAATGGACAGTGGAGCTTGATCATTGAGGGATCTCTGGGAGAGGAAGCCCTTTGATCTGCAAATGCTTGTGCATCCATTGCCAGTTTTCGGGGGTAACCTCGCCCCCGAGGGCACGGATAACAGACCCGCCGCTGCAGGATCCCAACTGGCAGCATTTCTCCAGAGATAATCCCTTCACTAGTCCATACAAGAACCCGCTAGCAAACAAGTCGCCTGCTCCAGTGGCATCGGTCGCCTTTGATTCCCCTATTGCAGGAACTCGGACAATCTGATATGTCAAGGTAAGTTATGTAACAACTTCATAACTAATAGTCCAGAAACACTCAGTTTCACACTCTTTGATCTCTTAATTTTGTATGTTGTTATGGGCCAAACAACTACAAATAAACAAAAAAGCAGAACAAAACAGAAGGATTCCTCAATGCCTGCAACGAGAAACTTTCCCATCCTATTGTGCAAGTAGTTGAAAATTTAAGCAGAAATAATTTGGTTCAAACATCCAAATGTAAGCTTGATGAGGAATCTGGTTAAAGCATCCCTTCACATAGCATCATCATGAGGCGATTATGTTTAAGGGGAAGATAAATCACTAACCTCTTTTCCATGTTTCGCAATACAGCCATTGGCGCCTAATGTCACGACAGCCCATTGACAGTGCTTTGCAAGAAATTCTAGTGCAACTTCAGGATCAGCATCTTTCTCGCCCCTGTAAACGTTACATACAGTATTAAAAATCAATGACATCTAATGGACAATGTTCTGCAATAGAGTTGAAATGTCCTAGAGAAGTAGCACAAATATCAGATTTACAATCAGTCAAGTTCGGAAAATAATAAGATTCGAAGCAATGGCAATCACCCTATCAACTCTTTTGCTTCGTCCTCGTTGGCAAAGCAAAGGTCTATATCCCCAGACTCCAGCAGTTGGAGAAGAGGTAATCTAAAATCCCGAACCATCTGACCAAATATAGAGATGTGAGCTACTTTATTTACCTCTAAACATTTCTATTAAAATGATATAATAGCCTCTTCTTCAAAGCAAAAAGCACACAAATGTCTGCCAAGGAATATACCTCAAAACTGGCCAAATCCAAGGACACAAAAACTTTCTCTTGTTTGGCCATCTTTACAGCCGCTTGAATAACTTCCAAGTTAAAAATACTATATCTCATTACAAGCCACTGCAATAAAGACATGGCAACAACCAAGTTATAAGTCTACCAAAAGCCCCTCCTAAGTCCAAAAGATTTAAAAGAATCGGCCCGTCGACAGGAAAAAAAGAAAAGGCCCCAAAACAAAAACAGTGACAAAGCCCACCTACAAGGAAGGGCTCCACCTTAAAARTGATAATTGATTCATTCAACAGAGTTATAGCAATTGAAAAGGTTTCAATTAGTCTAGGTTACTGAGCAAAACATGACAGGAAGACGCAGAAATGTGATTATGAGGATCAAGAACAGAAAAAGTTACTTTAGGAAAATAATATTTCGCGATCTATTTTCAATTCTGGTCACTCTGACTTTCTTATTATATGCATGACATATATCATACACGTTACCAGAAGATAAACATGTGAGTATGCTAACCTTAGAGCCCTTGAAGTCATCTCTAGTCAGTTCATTCCCCTAGAAGATGAGAAAAGAAACAGAGGGTCAACCTAAAAAGTTATTGAAGTTCATCTGTTTAACATACCAAAGTACCAAATTGAGCAACTTATATCCAAAATGCATGCACTTACAAAAACGGACAACCAAGACAATAATATACCTGAACTTTGACTGCGCTCGAGAGACTGGGTCGCATTGTGCGATTGCCCAATGCATCAACCAGGCAAACACACTGCCGTACAATTTACAATACATTCTCAGAATGTTAAAATACATAAACACACAATGCAAATTTGTACACCCCTCCATGAAGGGAGTGAAGCAGACCTGAGCTGTGGAACCTTTAGTCATCCTCAATCTTGAGAGATTGACCCCATTGGAGCTCATGTTACAGACAAACAATTTTCCTTGCTCATCATCCCCACAGGCGCCAATAATTCCACAGCTGACTCCAAACCCTGCACTCAATCCTCGAATCGTGTTGGCAACGCTTCCCCCCGCTATTGTTTTGACCGGAGTCAGATCATCGGGCGAGGAAAGAATATAGGATTTCACGTCCCTCAGTATATGCTCAAGCTCTTCCATACCCACCTACACCCATATATATATATATATAAAGCAATCAACACAATGCATCTAAAGAAACTCCAAGTATACGCGCCATCCCATAATTAAACAGACGAAAGGCAGCACTTGCATACAAATAAAATGGCGAAAGCATAACCCGAAGAAACACAGAATCACGAAAGGAAAATCCAAACTGCTTCCCTACATGCTGGCCGCAGAGACTCTCAAATCAAAGAAAACGCACATAACTCATAAAACCAGGAGAATGGTCATCCCCACTATAAGGGCCAAGCAAAAATAACAAAAACCGCTCAAAATCCAAGCGTAAACTTGAAGAAGCACAGGCGGGCCTAATCAAAAGATCAATCGACAACACGAAAATGGGGCAATAGCCGCAACAGTGATCCGAAACCCGAGGAACCCCATAACCCAGAATCGAATAAAAGAAAAGAGAATGATGGGTTACCGGAATTGAGCCACCGCGGTCGCCGGGAATTCGATCGAGGAGAGAGGAATCGACGCGGGCAAGGTGGTCGACGAGGGCAGCGGGTTGGAGACCAAGAACAAGAGGGGCGGTTTCGGAGTCATGGTGAGTGTGAAGCTGAAGCAGAGGCTCGGCTCCCATTTTCGTGGCTCAAAGCCCACCTGTGTCTGTGTCTGTGTTTTCCTTTCTCTCTGCCCCTTTCGCCCATTTGCTCTGCCGCTTCCTTATATAGGCCTCCGTCGGGAACGGAATCTCCCACCACACAGAATGGAGAGCCAAAAACCCAACTCAATTATGACTCCCCTTGCCCCAAATTGCCCCTCACCACTTCCAGGACTTTGCTCCATTCTAATGCCCCTTTTGGAATTTTGGTTCAAAAGTAGAACCTTTTCTTTATATATTTAARTGGAATTTTTCTCAACTTTAGGGTGGGTTGTTTTATTTATTTATTTATTTTTATTTTAAGAGAACACCTAGGTGTGGAGATTCGAACTCACCATCTTTTGATCGAAAGTTGATATCTTACATAGTTGAATTTTGCTCATGTTGGCCGGTGTTAAGAGTGGTTTAGTTTGTTTTTGTTTGGTTCATTGATTTCATTTGTTAGTAAAATCTTTTTGGGTTAAAATAAAAATATCATTTTTGTTTGTTACTGAAATTATATTATACTCCAACCCTGAGGTTATGAGTTTGATCATCTACTCTCCTATGTTGTACTAAAAAAAAAAATTCTATTATACTCGATGTATTTTCAAAAGTTCAAAATTTAGTTTATGTGCTTTCAATAAATTTCAATAAATTTTATAATTAGTCTCTCATCCATTTATCGATCTATATATATAATAAACTTAACAAAACTTTTTATATAGGGATTAAATTGTTACCAACTTTAAAATAGAGGGACTAAATTATTATATTTTAACATTCTTTTTCAATTCTGATTTGAAGAGGAATATTATTCTCAATSTTTATTTAGGATTAAAGAAATTAAAATTTTGAGTTTAAATTGGATTTTTTTTTTGTTTTGAAAGGAGTTTAAATTGGACTTATGTAAACGTGTAAAGGTTAATAAATAATTTCTTCCTCTCACTTTATTTTTTATTTTTTTAATTCATGAACTCAAACAACCCATCAAATCCAATGTCAATAGTATATATCTTAATTAGTTAATTTATTTTTCGGGGTGTCGAAATTAATTGTGTTAAACTCAAATTATACTCTAATGTGAGTGGTTTCAATAAAATTGCTACATGCTCCATTGAGAATATTCCGTCAATACAATTAAATTTAATGGTAAAAAATAAATGGAAATATATGTATTATAGATTCCACACATTACAAAAGTGAATAAAAAAACTAAATATGTAATTTAGTATTAAAATCTATATCATTTTTTTAAAAATTTATCCTATAGTATTTCAAAAAATTGAGATATTAAAATTCTTAAATCAAATCTATATTTAGCCAACTACTAAAAGTTCGTAAAATTGAAACTAAATCGACTAATTAAAGACATCATATATTTATTTCAAATTTTTACTCCTATATCGAACACCATTAAAATTGAATAAAAAAATATAATCTATTATGTTAAACATTTTGAATATCTATCTCACCATACTTGAATGAAGTAAAAGAAGATGCCAGCTAATAAAAAAAAAACAATTTTATTTTGTTAAATATTATACCTTTTTCACTCAATTTTGGAGAATTTGTCAAAACAAACTTGATTGAATAATTTTGACGGTCGAATCCAAACCTTTAAAATACCATGGATGTAACAAAAAAAATATATATAACAATTATTATGAGGGACGAATCAAGTTGAACTCACCMTACACCCTACCCATATCCGTAATGAGTCAGCACTCATCGATCTGGCTACAAAATCTGCAGATGGAATATCGGCCTTCATAATCAACCAATTCGTCCTCGTACACCTATAAAAAGAGGAATTGGTAATTCCTACGAGAGTATGTTTGAATCCCTTCTACAAGACACTACACTCATTCTCAACTTAAGCAAAGGAATGCTTACTTTTGTCGTACAGATTACCAAATACACAAGAGGGATAAGCTTAGATGACTTGGATGGATATTTTCGTACACGAACATCTATCTTTATCTTGCAAGTTACCTAATATACAGGAGGGATAAGCCTAATAGTTTGGACAAACAATTTCGTGCACGAATATCAACTTTATCTTGCATTTTGCATGTTATCTAATACACAAGAGGGATAAACCAAACAGCTTGAACCGACATTTCTAGCAACAACAATATTGAACAAATAATAATAGAGCCTAAATGATTTTTTTTTTTTTGAGATACCAAATAATAATATTGAAAAAAAAAAGTTTTGTAATTATGGAGATAATAAAGGACAGGTGTAGGTGGTCCACAAAAAGATTCAGGGCGGGCCGTATAGCGCCATTAACCCACTGGATTTTAGAATCTTTTTCTTTTCTTTTCTTTTTTCCCGCGGATAATTGTCCTGGTCGTGGGGCCCGCTTATTTTGCCATTTTTTAAATGAATATTATACTTTAAAGAAATTATTTAAAAATAATAATAATAATTTGGAAACCTTTCCCAAAGAAAAAGAAAAAAAGAACTTATTAAAAATCATTTTTCATCTGTTGTATTAAAAATAAAATTTTTGACGAGTGTTTCATACTACAATTAATAGGTTTTTGTTATGATTTTAGTTAAAGCTTCAGCCCATTCAAGCAAAAAAAGAAAAAAAAAAAGAAGCTAGATATATGTTTTTATTTTTCTCCTTTAACGGCTTTTAATCCAATTCATATTATTTAAAAGGTTTTTAATTTGTGTTGAAGTGTTACGAGTTTTAATCKAGTAGGTTACATATTTTAAATAATTTCAATTAGGGAGAATGTTATGTTAAGGTTGGTTGATCTTGATAATTAGCTAACATAAAATAACATTCAATGACTTAGCAGAATTTAGATGATAAATTATGCCAGAGAACAATTTTTTTTTTAATTTATCATTCAAATTTATTAAATTTTGACTTTTTTCTCCTGAATTTATATTAATTTACTTAATCTAGTCTCATGTGAGCTTATCATCCATCAATAATAATTGATATYCACTAACAAAAATAGTATAACTATTATTTGTTAACAAACATAAGTTAGTTAATTGAAACTCTCTAAAACAATAGGACAAATTTGAAAAAATTCAAACAATCCTAAAATTAAAACATTTAAGCATCTCGTAAGTATCTTAATTTTAAAAAATATAATATTTACTAAAAACGATTTCGAGGATATGATTTCAAATATTTATTTAGGTAAATATTTATTAATCATATAAATAAGCAAAACAAGACATGTCGTATAAGATTTATGTCAAATAATTTATAAAAAAATAGTTTTTTTTATAGGATTTAAAGATCGAAACAACATGTTTGAAAAATAATAGAGTATTAAAATAGAATAAGCATATACTTCGACCTAAACTTAAATGTTTTTTAAGATAACATTTATTTTCCTTGAAATTTAAATACAATTAAATGCAATTGTTTATTGATCTACACAGGTGTGCACTGCCATGCCTAAGAAAGCAGGCAAGGACAACGCTCTTTTTGACCGATTGGTGACTATTATTGCTCATGCCACCATTTAAGATTTTTGATTAAATTACCGATCATGTCCCACAATTTAAGTTTAATTTCAATCATTGTGATTTTAAAATTTTAAGATTGAGATCTGTTCCACAAGTAAACCATATGACCATACAAAAGTTTATAATAGACATAAACTATTTTTTTCATTGCTAATTGACCTTAAAATAAAATTTCATAAATATTGATATAGTATCAAAATTTAATAAAAAAGTTTAGATGAACATCCAATTGAAAAAGATGTCACTTTTAGAGCTTAAAAGGAAAAAGAGTTTGATTTAACCTATTATTCAAAATTTTGCAGGGGGAGCTCATGTGAGCATAAATAACCTCTCTAAAGAGCGATTTTTTAAGTATGAAAATGTTAAGCATTAATCAAATTTGAGGGGGTTTAAAGCTTAGATATAGGAAATAAGTGTTTAATTTAAGAAAACTATGCGAGAGATGTCCGATTATCTCGAAATTATAGAGTATTCTACGTTTTTATAAAACAAAAATAATAATTTATATACTCTTAGATTCCAACAAAGTCTTAAGCTTAACTCACTCAAACTTTCACCTCAAATATGGGTGGTAGGTCGACCCCACCCATACTCTAATTAAAGAAGCCTATCCAAAATTTTTATTATTGTCTGCAAATAATTATCACCAACGCCAACTCCTTGGAACATTTTTTGGGAAATTGCTTTCGGCAAAAGCCATGCCTACGCCTACACCTGCGCTCCTCTCCCTCCCGATAAGCACCACGTGAAATCATTGCTTATAATGTTTCTATCTTTCTTTTTTTTTTTTTAAATATTTTCAAAATTGTAGAGATGTTGTATCCATGTCTAATTTGTTTCAAAATATTATTTTATCAGTTCTAATTTTTTTCTTAAAAGATCAATACAGAATATTACCAAATGGGGGAAAACACTACCACACAACAATGGTCAATGGGATTTGTTTTCTTAGAAGCCTTTTTCTTTTGTTATTATTACTATTTTTTTTCAGACATTGGCTACCTCAAATCACGGCCATATCATACAAAATATTTGGCTTTTCTAAGATTCCAGCCTCAGGGTTTCTTTTTAAATCTTATGATTTCAACGAGAATCTCATCCACTCCTATTATAATCTTGAGATTCCCAGACAAACTAAAGTTTAGTGGGTTTGTTTTAACACAAATTTTCTGAATTATCAAACTCATCTTTTAGACCAACTCAAATTATTCATGTATTTGGTCTCTTTGTTTGTATTGGATCTAGACATATAATTAGGATAAATTATTTTATTAATTTAAATCTCTCTTTTATTCTCTAATTCATTTTAGACCTTCACGTTTCATCTAATTGTTAGAATGTTAATACACACTTGAAATCACGTTTCAGTGTGTTTAAAGTAAAACAGTGAAAACCAAAACAAAATAATCTTAAAAGTTCAAGAGAACAAGATAAGATTTAAACCTATCTCCGATACTACTCTAATACCATATAATTTCTCGTAATTAACTAATTCTGGTTTGTGGTTTGAACATGAGAAAAGTACACAATTATATATAGTATATATTAACTATTTTAAATCATTAATCCATACTATTATCAATCAATGATTTCTCGCACAAATGTGTTTTATGTAATCTGCTTGATCAAGCTCATTAAATTAAAGCCTCGGGCTGGTACCAAATATTCAGACTCCCAATTTATAATGTAAAAATGATCAAAGAATCCAAGGACTTGAACAAACAGAGTAGATAGCAGTCCTCAGCAGCTTCCACACCACTGTAGGAGTCATTTTTTAACATCAGCAAAATGATTGGGAAAGGAAAATTTTGACCTTCAAATACAGATGAACAAACTTACATTCTACTTTATGAAGTCAGTTTTCATCCTGAGCAGTAAAACCATTTCTAAAAAGCTGCCGGAAGAATAGTCCCAACGGCCAAAATGGAAGCCATGATTCTGCCGTAGAAGATGATCCGATATTATTGTGAAAGTACACAAACTCTTTTACAATGTATTTTTGCATGTGATGCCAAATACTCCTCAGCTAAACTCAAGATTGAATAAAGGGGGTTTATTTCTGCAGAGGCTTGGGATCTTTATCGGGTAAGACGTTATCGGGAAGGATGAGTTCGGGGGGTGTTTCACGGACAACACCAAGCATCGAGTCATATTCCTCATCCCTGCGAGCGAACTTCTTGCGAAGCACTTTCTCAAACTCGATTTCATCGAAAGGCTTTGCATTTTCAGCTGCGTGAACCTGTGCAAGGTTCAAGTAATTGGTAGCAGACTGAGATATGAAAGCTATCTCTTCATCAGTGAGCTTTCGGAGGAATTTTGCAGGATTTCCTCCCCATACCTGCAAATAAACATTGTGGTAAGGCTCACTATCTGTGACCACATAAGGCTGACATATAAGGCTGAGTCTATGCTCAAATGCAAGTTTAGAACAACAGACTGTTCCAACTAAGAGATCGTTGAGAACGCATTCATGTAACAGATGTCATTGGCAAGGGTTCCCTCTATTCTACCCCTGGCCTCTAGCTTGTTTTTTTTTCTCTCCATTTGTTGAATATATGGTCTCTTTTTAAAAAAATAAATAGAGAGAATACAATGAAGCATGTGGAATAGTTATATCATCAGCAATAGCCTGAATTTCAAGACAGCCAATCTGCTGCATACTACAGTTTTAAGAGCAAAATTTACAGAGTCAAATAATCAAGTAGGCAATAAGAAAACATCTTATTACGTGCATCGAACTTATTGACAACGTTTTAGGTTTTAGTAGTGTCATTCCTACTGGCACAAACATAATCCTCAAGTATAGAACAAGAAATAGGAACAGGCCTCTTTCCCTCTTTCCTGTAGCAGTATTGGTGTCGGATAATTAAAATGCAAAACTCAGCCCTTCTCTAGAGAGTTTATGGAGATTTATTCATGACAAACAAGCTTTGCGGAGGTCCACAGCTTCTTCTCAAGTTAATCTTATATAACTTGAAGAGGGGAAGATAATCAGGTGTTGGGAAGATAAATGGATCGATTAAAAGCCTATTTGCCCAAGTATTTCCAGAATCTGCTCAATACCCAATACTAAAGAGTAAAGGGGAATTTATCAATTATCAAAGAGGTAAGGAATTTCAACAGTCGAGATTGGGATCTAAGACTGAATCTTTTTGATAGAGAGGTACAAATTGAATTTTCCCAATAGAGAAGATAGAAACAGTAAGATTTGACCCAACAGATTGAGTAGCTTTTTTCTGATTGGATTCTTAATACCTAACATTGAATTCTTATCTCACTAAACTTATTTTGAATATCAAAGATCCCAAAGCAAATCACATTCATCCTTTGGCCTGTGGCTTACAAGAGTTTAAACACGCATGTTAGAGCTCAGAAACTAAATTCTTATATATCTATTTCGCCTTGTGCTCAAGAAATGAGGAAATGAGGAAGTCATCTTTTTCTTGATTGTGATTTTGTCATGAATGTGTGGCACCTTATTTCTACATCTGGGATGGCTTTTTGTCTAGACATCACAGAGTGGCTAATGAAAAACTTATCGACTGGTGGTTAAACAACAAGGCTAAAGTACTTTGGAATGATACTGTTTGAGCCTCTTTTGTGGTTCATTTGGATAGAAAGAACTGCTACACTGTTTGATGACAAACAAAAATTTTTAAACGTGTCTAGCTTATAGCTTCAAGTCTATTTGTAATTCTAATAATTTTTAGATCAACTTTGATTGGGGTTGCTTTTTGTAACCTTGTTTGGCAAGCGACCTATCCTCCCTTGGCCTTTAAGGTGTATCTCTCTTTTCCTTCGTTTCTTTATACAAACTACCTGTTTCCTTATCTTTTTTTTTTAATTAAAAAAACCTTATTGACAAGTACCTCTCCAGAGGGGATCTTAGTATTCTGCCTCACAAGAGCTCCAGCAGCTACCATGGCATTCTTCTCAACAACGACGCCATCAAGTAATGTTGCACCCATGCCAACAAAAGCCTCATCCTCAATAGTGCAGCCATGTATTACAGCACTATGACCTGTCGAGTTCAAACTTTGTTTAAGTAAGAAAAATTCAAACACGTGCAACCTCAGCATGCTCAACAGCATACATGCAAAAAGAATCAGAAGACAAATATATTATAGGCTATAGCCAATATAACATAGCCAGAATACACAAACCTACGGTGACATTGTCGCCAATGATGGTCGGCAAAACCTTTCCACTTAGATTAGATTTTGCCACGTGCACAAGGGTGTTGTCCTGTATGTTAGTTCCAGATCCCACACTGATGCTGTTCACATCACCTAGTCAAATAGATATTTGAGTTATGGAACAAAACTTACAGAGTGTTCAATATAAAAGTAATGTCACTGGCTAACGTGATATGGATTAAATGTCTACTATAATTCAAGTTTCATGCTATTACTATAATGTTGATTTAATAGGTGATTAATGAATAGAGATCCTTTCTTGTGATTGTTATTATTCCAGACTTTGAAGTTGTTTGACGATTGTGTTTTAAATGATTTTATGCTCTTGCCTCTTGCAAAATGGATAGCTGTTATCCAAAACATGTTTGCAAAGTTTATTTTTCAAATCAATAAAAAAAAATATAAGTAGACAATTTTTTCTTATAAATTACTTTTCATTACAAAAATGAGTAGTAGTACAAGGGAAAATGAGACATCCTCCCAACCTACAAAAGCTAAAGAAGATTACAAAAAAGCCTTTTCCAACTTTCAGAAAAGGAGAATAAGCACAAAAAATATTTGATTTACAGCGCCAAAGGGCACCACTAAATCTCACTAGCTCCTAAAGCTCAGAAAGTTCGGTATTTTTTCCTTTGAACAAATTGGGACTTCCTCTCTAGTCAAAGCCTCAAAAGAGACACCTTCACCACACTATCCCACCCGAAGCATCTTTCCTTTCCTCTAGGAAGGAACCCCTTGAATTAATTGAGCTAAGGAAGAGGGCAAATCTTTCCGAACACATCAATCTAAAGTCTAAACTCAAGACTTCCAAAATTAAACTCCAAATGGAGGAAAAGGCATGCTTGGAGACGTTTGTAGCATAAGTGATGAGACACATCAAGAAGGAGAGAAATTTGGGAAGGTTGAATTAGGAATTCTCTGTGGTCCAAGCATCCTCTTCCTCCCACACCCACGGGCCGCTAGCTCTACTGTTTCTGTCCCACCTAATTTGGGCAAACCAAATTTACAAACTTTTTTGTACCAGAGTGCTTCCTTCTCCTGAGAAAATCTCCACAACCATTCGGCCATTATAAGAGAAGTGTTCTTCATTTTAAGATTACCCACCCCCAAACCTCCACATTCTAACAGTAGACAAATATTTGCCAATTAACCAGGCAGTTTTCACCTTCTCCATTTTCCCACCCCAGATGAAATCTCTAATGAGTTTTCCACCATGTACAACCTTACCCAACATCTTGAAGAAAGAAGCGAAAATAAGGCCCTATGAAAGAAGTGAAATTGGGGAAGATTGAAAAATTGGAAGAATGTTTACCTTTCAAAGGGTGTAGGGCTCTGTCTTGCACAGTCGGTCCTCTCTAATATCCCCTTACTAGAGATGAGGATAAAGCTTTTCTTTTAGGTTTTAATATTTAGCTAGAATTTCAACACGTTTTAAAGAGTGGATTGTTAAACAAAGAAGTTGGTAAACAAGCTTGGAGCTGTTTGAGTACACTTGATTAAAATTGTTTTGTAGATTAACATTTTGAAACTCCTCCATAAATTGTAATTTTATAAAATGTTAGGTAAAATAACTTCTGTTCTTGTAAGTTCATTTATTATTTTCTATTAGTTTAAAATACAACACATTTAACCAAGTTACACTTAAAAAAATAATTAACAATAATATGTGAACAATATATTTTACAAAACATGCTGAGAAATACATGAAACAACAAGGTACTATTTTGTTTTTTTTTTAATGAAAATTATTTTTATAATTAATGCTACCAAACACGTTTTTGACATCAAAATTTTGTTTTTCATTTTTGAAAGCAAAAAACTATTTTAAAGCTTTACTATTCCAAACAGACCCTTAATTTCTAAAACTAAAAAATTAAAAACGAAATTGTTACACCAAATAGGCGGTAGAGGATGGTACTATAGTAGTCACCTACCCAAAATTTAATATCCTATGAGTTTCCTATTCAACCAAATATAGTAGGGTCACCCAGTGTCTCATGAAAAATTTAATATCCTATGAGTTTCCTATGCAACCAAATATAGTAGGGTCAGCCAGTGTATCGTAAAAATAGTCAAGGACACATGGCCCAAACACTCACAGATATTTAAAAAAAAAAAAGGCACCGAAGATGTTTGTAGATTTACCTTCTAAATTTGTTTTCTATTTGTTTTCTTCATTTAAACACGGTTAGAAAATATATCTTTTATTTTAATATTTTAATTTATTTCTTCTCTATAATAATTTTAAAATATAATTCACATAAATGAAATAATTTTATATGAATAATAAATTTGATGAACGTAGAAATCACATGAAACCAGAAAAATATTGATTTGGTTCTGTTGTTTTTAAACTAAAAACTACTTAAAAGTTATCCAACAGAACTGAGTCTTCTACATCTAAAACTATTCTAATTTCTAAAAATAAAAGACCAACTTTAAACGTAATTTCCAGACAGACCCAAGTTATCCAAACATCATTAAATAATAATGGTGAAAATGGACTGCAAGAGTAAGCCAAGAACTAGCAAGTAAAAAGTATGGTAAATGTAAAACATGTGCCGGTAGATATATAATTAACAGGAAAAACCATAGTAACAGATATTTAATGCACCTCTGAGTGCATGAATGAAAGTGAGCCAATGATAATTGAAATGTAAATGGATACAGAGAAAGATTACGAATAAAGTAGCAAATAACTACTTAAGAGAATATATAGAAAATTGTATTAAAAAGAAAAAAAAAATGAATTAAATTTTTACCCTCGAGTTTGACGAGGTGAGTTGATTTTAAACCTAAGCTTTTAATATCATCACAACAATTTCTACTTTGTGTTAGGATTCCATACATCATTAAAAAATATTCTCACTCATTAGATCATAAACAAAAACTAGTATGAAATTGATGGTGCCTCAAAGAAAGTTGGCATTGGGGTTGTATTTTTGTTGAAATTTGTGCGTTTTGGAGATTTATTCAATAATTGATTTGTGCAATGATTTGCTACGACTTAATATTATACATTGACTTGTTAGGGCTTAATTTTTTTGTTGAAATTGTTGGGTTTGGGGAAATTTTAATTTTTTACAATGCTATTTGTTGAAATTAGAAGGTGAATCATGAATGTGAGTATGACTCAAGCCGTAAGGTTTTTGCAACCCTTATCTAAGTGACCAAGTCCGTTCCAAGGTAAAAGTTAATTCATCTTGCCAAGTTTAAGGGTAAAAATTCAATTTTATCCAAATCACCAAAATACCCAACACATCGAACATTGATGAACTGTCACTGCATGAATTTTTTGGAAAAACCTTCATGTTAATTGCAGAAAAAACTAGGAAATAATACAACAGTAAACTAGTCTTTCGCATAGGTTTTACCTCTTAAAACACATCCATACCAAATAGATGATCCACTTCCCACTTGAACGTCCCCAATAATGGATGCACTTGGGGCTACAAATACGTCCTTGTCAACCACAGGAGCCTTATCAAATATGTTCATCAGAGTTCGATGTCTAGACACTGCAGAGAGGTCTCAGACATATTAGGCCATCAAGTATTAAGATTATAGAACAAAGAAGAGGAACTCATAATCTAATCGGGGAACCAGAACAACCAATACATAACAGAAAGTTAAGCAAATCTAACAGCAAATGAGTTACAGAAACAATGCCATTAATAATTACACTTGGAAAGCTCCAAGTGAGTCATTACACTAAAACTATATTTCCTAAAGTACATCTGCATTTGTTATCAAGAATTCCATAATACCCAGTAATTATCGTTTGACCACATTCGACACCCCCTCGTTGGAAATCATTGAAGCATTGTCTCATATACCACAAAATCAACAATTCTAATAGAAATTCCCAAAGAATTCGTGTTACACGTCCGTAAACTCATCACTCGAAAACCCCATCCACCACACAAATTAAGAGTCTACGGGAACCCTCGCGTCGCTGTTCAATTCCGTTGAGATTAAAAAACAAAAACACTGCACGACCCAGAAGCTGATTTTCAGCGACGTACACTCGTGTTCAATCAATCAAATTCACCCAACATCAATTAGCATTTCCGTAAGCTGATCCAGTCAGAATAAGAAGACTACCGAAACATATCCGGGTGGGGAAGTGAAAATTAAGGGGAAAGATCCGAGAGTAGAGTGCTTACGCTGTTCTTGGAAGAAATATCTCCCTTGGAGGCGACAGCCAAGGCGATCGATTGCCTGTCCCGTCTCACGGATCCAAAATCCAACGGTGTAAATGGCTTTCCCCAGAGTCCCCATCTTCTTCTTCTTGTTCCTCCTCTCCGATCTCGCGCTCAACGGAGCCAACCAAAATCACTGGGAGCTTTTGAGCTTCTTCTTGCGTCTGCGTGAAATGGAACGAAGAAGGCAGAGCAGAGCTACGAGGAAATGGGATTGCCGCAGTAGGGTAGAATATCCGGCCACTAACTGAAGGCCAAATTGGGAATAAACCTAACAAAACGGTGCGTTTTATTTGCCTCAGGTGCTGCAATTGCAAATCAAAAAAAAAGAAAAAAAACTCAAACCTATGATTTGCCGGATAATTTGAATTCTGCTCAAGTTAACATTTATTTTAAAATTTTGTTCCACGAGTAAAATATATTGATTAATAAATAATAAACTTGATTAATAAATAATGAACGCTAAATCCTTCTAAAATGAATGAGTAGCAAGGAGTAAAAACCTCTGTTTATGAGTTTCATGTTAAAATCCTTCCTCGCACTTTTTAAACAATAAAATATAGAATATGTCAACTTAAACGTACCTCATGTCGTTGAATTCCAAAAAATGAATTAAAAATAAAATAATATAACATATCTCCTTGCATGATGGCATATAAATATGTTCACATTAGATGACTCTTCGACTAATATAATTTTTTGAAAAATAATATCAAGTTTAAAAAAACACAGTTAATTTATATATTCTTTTCGTATTTGTAATGGAATATGTTTGATCAAGTTTCAATCGCGAATATCGAACTCCAGATATTGGATTTGTAAAACAGAGTTAGCATTACAACGTTCAAGTCTTATATGATCTATACTTGAGAGAGAATATAGTTTCGCATACCTAAAAAGTGAGGCAAGCGACTTCATTTATAGGTGTTGAGCTTCCGATGGTGGTTGAGGAGTGGTTATGACTCTAAAATTTCGAAGTGTAAAAAAAATGAATACTTCGACAAAAGTTATTTCCTACAATATTTGGTATCATCATGGGAGTTGAACTCATTCTCTCTTAATTAATTATAGCTTATTTAGACTAATAAGTCACACGTGATTGATTCTAATGAATTATTAGGAATGAGATATCACCCATCTTAAAATGCTCTTTTGTAGCTCATCCAACCAAGTGACATCAACTTTTAGTTTCTAGTTATGTGCTTATGGAGGAATCCAATTTATTTATACTTGATCGTGCCTCTTAAAGTCTGGATAATTCTAATTTTCTTAAATTTTAGCGTTGTCATGCACACTCATTGACTTTTAATTTGAGCAATTTACTTAAAAGATATCAAAACTGCTCATATTTTTTCCCTAGTGCAAGGGTAAAAAATAAACAAGTAAATTAAGAATATGTCATTTTTCAGTACCATATAGTTTTGTGCATTTTCCTAAATAGATAATACAACCAAGTAAAACAAAAATACCAAACTTAAGTTGGATTCAAACAAATATTTGAGTTGATCGGAGTTCTAATAATTCATAAAAGAAGACTAGCTCCATAAATGTCATGAACTTTTTAAGGACACTATTCTACCTAAATAGTTTCAAAATCCTTCTCCAAGACAAATTTTACGATTGCATTTGTGAGCTATTTGCACAATATCTTAAAGTAGGAGATGATACATCTTCTAATTATTTAGAAATTTATATAGCTTATTCCACTACCATACTCTTTTTATTCATCCAACAATTGCATGTTTCTACCAAGGCAGGTAATAAGAGAAAGTGAGAGTGATTTATCAACTCTAGTTATGTTGGGAATCTTATTAATCCTTAGATAATTTTTTTTTTAAATTGTGCTCAAGTAATGATCACATACATAGGAGATTCAAAACATGGTATGAGCTAAGAATAGCTACGTTACATAATCTTAATAATGTAGGGTAATAAGGTAGGTTATTTTTATTTTTTTCTTTTAGAAAAGATAGAGGTGTATTGTCGTTATGTATGAATATCCGTCCGATGTAATTTAATTAAAAAGTTTTTTTAGTATTATTTGGTAAAATTGCAACCATTCATGTTTCATTTCAATGTAGTTTTTACCATTTTTACTCTATTTCATAAAATTACATATTTACAAATATTTTGAAAATAGTAGCTCCACCCAAAAATTTATTTAATAGCCTTTTTTTTTGTTAATTTCTGAATTAAAAAGATAAAAGGCCGTTAAAGAAGCCCAAGCCCAAGCCCATAATTTTCTAAAACCCTAAAACCGATCTGATGAAGTAAAAATGGAGGACCCTGAAACTGCAGCCAAGCCAACCAATTAACTCTCCTTTCTCGTCTTCCTTCACGTGAAGGGGACCGACCCACCGGAATTTTCCAACCGCAGCGGCAGCGGCAGCGGCGGCGGCGGCCGCTAATCGATCTCTCAGTCTTAGCGGCGAAGAGGCAAAAATTTTCTAACATTTCTTCTCCCTTCCGTCATTCTCTGTTTCACTTGATGCAGAAGAGGAGAGAAACTTAGTCCGACGGAGAACTGAAACAGAGAAAGTATACTATCGGTTATTCCCAAGGGATCGACGATGAGCCTAAAGCGTCTGCTCCTTCGTCAAACGCTCAAGAAATTTTCAGGAATCAGTGGCAGCTTACTACATCGCCAGTCGGCTATCCGAATCAATGCTACTCGCACATTCACCACAACACCTTCATTTTATTTGCTTGATCCTCACTACGGTCGTTCTTCTTCAATCCATGCCCAAAATCTCGAGCTCTGCAAATCGAGTTTAATTTTTAGTAGGTGCATTCACTTCACTGTAACTAAGTTGAGCGACACAGCAATTGAGCCGAAACTCGAGTCTGCGGATGCTGAGGATGATGACGGATCAATGAACGAGTTCTTATCCAGGTTTGTCTGGATAATGCGTGGGAAGATCTCTGAAGCTTTTCCGGACTATGATAAGCAAACAGTTGATGCAATGCTATTGATGATTGTGGAGAGAGTGGTCTCTGAAATGGAAAAGGGGAACATTGGGCAGACGTTGGGGGCTTCAGCAGATAGTGAGGATTGGGACCTAAGTGAGGATTTGTGGAAGACTGTAAGCGAAGTTAGCAACATGGTCTTGGAGGATATGAAGAAGGCTACAAAGAAGGAGAAAATGAAGGGTTTTCTGCTGTCTGAGGAAGTTCAGGAAATGTGTAGGTTTGCTGGGGAAGTTGGTATTCGAGGGGATATGCTGAGAGAATTTAGGTTCAAATGGGCCCGTGAGAAAATGGAGGAAAGCGAATTTTATGAGAGTTTGGAACAGCTCAAAAAAGAGGCCCAAGAAAATGATGTAGAGGGTAATAACAAGGATTCTCCGAGTGGTGCAGAGGCTGGATCCGAGGAGAAATCCGAGGTTGTTTCTCTTCCCAAGAGGCGAGGGAAGATAAAGTACAAGATTTATGGTCTTGATTTATCTGATCCCAAGTGGACTAAAGTTGCAGATAAAATCCACGAGGCAGAGGAAGTACTATGGCCACAGGAACCAAAGCCAATTTCTGGGAAATGCAAACTGGTCACGGAGAGAATTCTTTCATTAAATGAGAACGATGACCCATCTCCATTATTGGCTGAATGGACGGAGCTTCTTCAACCCACTAGGATTGACTGGATCACCTTACTTGATAAATTGAACGAGAAGAATAGATTCTTATACTTAAAGGTAAAAACATCTCTCTTCTCTTCCCTTCTTACCATGTGTCTTGTACAATTTTACTTTGTCAGTTTCACATTTCTATCAGTTACCCTATTTTCCTTGTTGCTCGGTGGAACACATTAAATAGACATTGTTGTCAATGCAAATCATGTACAATCCTATCAAGCTATGTTGCAGGTCGGTATCCTTAATTACAGAAACAGATAACTGGTACTTGTGTAATGATGAAGTATACGTGCTTATTTGAAGCTCTGGAATACATTGTCACAGTGGGATAGCCAAATTGTTTTACTAGAAGTCACTGTTTTCCTTGGAAGATTAGTATATAAACAGGGGAAAAAAATTTTCATTTATCAACTACGATGTATTTTTTGCCTTACCTCTTGTTATTTTTCTTAATTGTTATTGCTTACTGAACTTTGCATGGTGTGAAACTGTATAAGTTTGTATGTCCTGAAAGAAATTTGTTTCCCACATTATTAATATCTCCAAACATATTCATAGTTAGAAGAGCTGTTTGCTTTTCATTTCATGGTTGCTTTTGTTTTTAATGCCATATGTATGGTTTCCTTGGTTTTGAGTTCTCTATGGGCAATAAGTTGTTCTCTGTGATTGTCCCGTGTGATTGGTTGTGATGCATGCAAGCTAGTAGCCTAGTCCAAACACTCACAAATAAAAAGAAAAAAAATTTTAAGTCGTCTTCTGCTCTTTAGATTGCTGGCACAATACATTATGGTGTTTATCAGTGAAACCTTTCTACTCCTTGTTAGAACGACAAAATGTTTCATTGTATGTTTTTTTAAACAAATTATTATATATGTAATGCTGTTGATCTAGATCTTTTTATTCTCTTGAACTTTTTAATAGCTTTTGTTACATATAAATTTGCGATTAGTGAGTCACTAACTAAAATTGGTTGCTTATGATGAATGAAGGTAGCAGAACTTGTTTTGAGTGAAGAGTCTTTTCAGACCAATATCCGTGACTACTCTAAGCTTGTTGATGCCCATGCTAAAGAGAACCGCCTTGAGGATGCTGAGAGGATCCTTAAGAAGATGAATGAGAAGGGCATCACACCAGACATTTTGACAGCCACAGTTTTGGTTCATATGTATAGCAAGGTGGGCAATCTTGATCGTGCAAAGGAAGCATTTGAGACCTTGAGGAGTCACGGCTTCCAACCAGATGAGAAGGTTTACAATTCCATGATAATGGTGTCTGTAAATTCTGGACAACCAAAGTTGGGCGAATCACTGATGAGAGAGATGGAAGCAAGGGACATTAAACCCAGCAAGGATATTTACATGGCAATACTTAGATCATTTTCTCAACGTGGTGATATTAGTGGCGCTGGAAGAATTTCCGCTACTATGCAATTTGCTGGCTTCCCACCAAGTTTGGAGTCTTGTACATTGCTCGTTGAGACATATGGGCAAGCTGGTGATCCTGATCAGGCAAGGAACAATTTTGACTACATGATAAAAATCGGGCACAGGCCTGATGACAGGTGCACTGCAAGTATGGTTGCAGCCTATGAAAAGAAGAATCTGTTGGACAAGGCTTTGAATCTTTTACTACAGCTTGAAAAGGATGGGTTTGAACCTGGGGGTTCGACCTATGCGGTTCTTATAGATTGGTTGGGCAAGTTGCAGCTGGTTGATGAAGCTGAGCAGATATTAGGCAAGATTGGCGCGCAGGGTGAGGCTCTACCTTTTAAGGTTCATATTAGCCTCTGTGATATGTACTCAAGGGCTGGGATAGAGAAAAAGGCGCTGCAAGCTCTGGGGGTATTGGAAGCTAGAAAGGAGCAGTTGGGACATGGTGATTATGGGAGGATCATAAACGGGCTTATAGCAGGTGGCTTTGTGCAGGATGCTAAAAGAGTGCAGGGTCTTATGGAGGCCCAGGGTTTTACTGCATCCGAACCACTTCAGATGGCTCTAAGGACATCTCAAGCTCTTCGTGGCAGAAGACTGCCTTGAGATGATTTCTTCACCAGTCCTAAATGAATCGACAACCCATTGATGCTGCCAAAAATGTGAATATTTATCATCAACTAGGAATCGATGACAAAGCTAGTGGCTGGAAAGATTTTGTTCGATGGAATCTTCGGCATCTCAGCATTTCTTTGTGAGACTGTTGTTTTCTTCCCCCACTCGAATATAGGTTCATCCCATCCCTGGCTCTATTTATCCATCCATCTTTAACCACACTATATTTTTTTTGTGTTTTAATTTAGAAGGTAGATTAATGTTTTATTTGGATTTACCTTCGTTTTTCTTCTCCTATATGTTTCTGCCCCTAACATGTCATGTATTCTATTGTTACATTCATCTATTTTATGTTCAATGTCATCTATGCCTGAGCATAACAAACTATCATTTTCCTATTTTCATGTTGTTCATAAGATATATATGCAAATATCAGGATTTTTGCAATATGCTCTAATGACAAGAAGTTCATTTCATTTCATTTCTTATTTGCTTTACATGGTATCTCCATTGTTTTGTTATCTGCCTCTGAATAGAGCATCATGCTTTCTGTTACAGTAATGCTGAATCATCACGTGTCCTCTTTAGTTTGATTTTTAATAGTATTCTCCCTTTATATACTCGTTTAGTCGCTTGAGTTCCCCATTTTGCTGCTCTACCACAGCTCTGACAACATCTACTATAGAAATCACGCCAACTATTTTGCCATCTATCACAGGAACATGTCTTATGCGATTCTCTGCAAATGCCAAGAGCTTCAACTGGTTTATTCTCCTCTTAGATGGCTGTGTGATGCAGCTGGAGAAGGAGCTGACTCCCATTTTTATGGTAATTTAAGAATATAAATGACAGTGTATTTAGTATTTACCCGTCATAAGCTGCATTGCTTTAAGGATGTTTGTGTCAGACGTTACAGTTACTAGTTTGTCCTGTTCATGAAAAATAAAAATGTATGAGTGAGAAACTGTCGATTTGTAATCTGGTTTTGTAGCTGAAAGAAGACAGAAAAATTACCTCACGAGTCATTATTTCCCCAACTTTTGTGTACATGGGAGATCTCCCATCTGCTATTATTTTCTTCAGGTAGTCTGCTTAGGATCCATCAGAAAACAGCCATTACCAAGACAATATGTATGGATTGGAGCACAAATGAGAAACAACTCCCTTTCTCCATATATATTTGCTCATTAAATTTTTGGTTGAATTTCATTTTTAGTCCATTTGCTTTTAACCGTTTCAGTAATTAGTTTCCTATATTTAAAATTTTTGTAATTAGGATGTTTATCCTGACATGGCAAGTTATTCTTTGGTGTGACAATGAGTTCTGTAATGTAATTTTTTGGGGCTAAATTATTCAAAATGCTCCAACCAAATTTTTATATCTGGATGGTTTAAAAGTTCACCTCTAATATTGCCCTTTAAAATTGATTCAAATATGTTCTCGATGAATTTTATGCTAAAAATAAATGATTTTTTTTTTATATTCGTGTGTCCGGGTCTGCTTGTGTGCAACTCGACTATTCACGGGTCAATCGTTTGACCCTACTACAATTATCGTTGAGTTATGTTCGCTTTGGTCCATTGTCTAGTTGTTATCGGTTTTTTTATTATTTTCGGAAGTCAGTCTACTACTATTTTACAACTTTGTATTCATGTTTGATAGGAGTGTAATTGAAATTATTTAAAATAATTTCAAAATTACATTGGGTTTGGGTTTATAGTTGATCAGATTTGAATGAGTAATTGATGTTGATGTTTAATCCGCGATCATGAAGTTTGAATTGAATTACCTCGTTCTGTGACGATTCCAGCAATGTGTTGGCCTTCAGGCTTCATAACCACCAACGATCCACTGTTGTTTCTAGCCATCTGCAACAAACAAACAAACAAACAATCAAAATCCTCATCTTTCCAAATCTGAAACCCTAACCAACGAAACTGATCTCGCTACATTTTGCACAGCATCAATGGCGGCATCGTCCTCTCGGCACCACAACCAGGAGCCAATACTTTCGTCTCCCCCTCGCTTTCTCGAAACTATGATCTCCGCGACGCTAATATTCTCCAAACCTTTCCAACCTCCTTCCACAATAACCTTCTCCGTTCCATTCGTTTCTCTCCGGCACGTCCTCTGCCAGATCGCCGTCTTCACCGCCTCCCGCCACCATCGTGCTGCTCTCACCATCCCCTGCATTTTGTATCTGTTCATCGAAAGGTTAATTAATTCATTCTTCATCTCGTTTCGTTCGATCGCTTCTGTTGCAATAACAAGCGTATGAAGAATTTCAATTCGCAGAAACGGACCTTGGATTGTACTTGGACTGTGATGGGAAGCTCCGATCCGTTGATGATGAACATCAAGGTACGCCGTCCTTCTATAATCCATTCTGATTTGAAGTTGAATAAACAAGAATAACTTGCAATCATCATTCATCTCATTACCAAACCAACTTTAACTTTTCTTCTTTGCTTAACAAGAATGTCTTGAATTGAAATCATCATTCGTGATTCATCTCGTCACGAAACTGATTAAGTTATTATAATTATGATTACTGAACATGCTTTCCTTCAATGATCAAATTAAGGAAGGGAAATCCTTGTCAGTTGTTCTTGATGGTTGATGTTGAGTTCGTTTGGTTATTCCAATCTCATTGCATTCACATGGTTACCAGATTCCATTTAGGGACGATGCAGCCCTTTCCTTTATGTTTCCCAACTAATCAATATAGCAGGTTCATTTATTTATTTATTCTTGATTTTTAGTATCAAATATATTTAATCGAAAAAGTTTTAAATTTTTATTATATTTTTAAGTTCTGCCTGTCTCATCCCTCCACGTGGCGAGAGAGGAAATGTCAGAAGAAAACGGATGAGATAAAAGATCTCCATGACCTCGAACGTAGTTTGACTACTATTGACTTGAATGTTATAGCATGATTTTTCCTTTTTGCAGGTTCCACAGTCATTTCGAATCACTCGTCTAAATAGTAGACCATAAGATATTCAATTTTCATGCTAGAATAGATTAAAATAAATTTAAGTTGAATTTAGATGTCGTGGCACGGTTGAATAGATATTTAGCATTCCCTAATAAAGGATTAAATATAAACATTATTTAAATTTCAAGATAGAAACTTAACAATATTAAGGGACTAATAGACAAAAAAATGTTCGAAGTTTGGGGATTGAATTTAATAACTTAGTGTGGGTAGTGCTAATATCAACCAATTGAGCCGATTCAAATTGATTTCTCATATGACTTTTTCATACTAAACCTAATGTGCATGGTTGCATTTATGGTTCATTAGTTAAAAAAATATTTCGGAATCTTGGGGCAAATTTGAAACAACAAGAAGAAAGTTTTATTTTCAAAACAGTTAAATTATTAGCAAATAAACTATTAAAAAAACAATTAGTGTTAAATTATTTAATTTCCATTTATTCATCTAAAAGTGATCCAACCGCCAACGAGTATAAGACACCTATCTCAATCCCCACTCTACATGTTGTACTAAAAAAAGCGATCCAATTCATGTTAAGATTGAATTTGTTAAGATTTTTGGTAAGATTTCCACTCCTTAAAATTGTCATTTCTCAAATCGATATCATCTAATATGGAATATATTCTTGTGCCATCTAAAGTGATATAAGAGTTATTTTTTCTGTTGCATTCTCAAAACTTCCATCAGAGCTTCCCAATGTCAATAAAATTCTCTTTTCTTTTGAGCACAAAGGCTTCCTAACAAATTCCTTCTACATTTCACTTTAAAGATATTCCTTCTTTTCTTGGGAGGGGAGGCAAAGAAAGAAAGAGCTCTAGGGGTGGCAATGGCAAGGTTTTCGGGCAATACCCGTCATGAACAGAATGGGAAGTCTTTGGTTTAATTGGGAATGTGTTCAGGTTTGCCTTGTCTCGATGCCATCTCTATGCAGTTGAAAATCAAAAGTAAAGGAAACTCTAGGATGGACGATGCTGTTGTTCAATAAAGAAGGAAATATCTTACTTCAGAAGGCAAGAACATCCCATATTCTTTGTCCAACAGAAAGGCAAAGAAAGCTGAAGATGGAACTCTTAGGCAAAAGCTAGTCCAAAAGTTGAGCATGTTTCCAAAGTATCAAATACCAAGTTATATATTCTTTAGGACAGGATAACTTCCATGACAAACCCGGCATTATCTTTTTCTTACTTATATGTCGTACACACAATTTCGCTTTTGATTTTCTTAGCAATCTCTTTTCTTTGTATGCTTAACTACGACCATTTGTTCTATCCAATGGGATAGATACACGACCTTTAGACTCAACGATTAAGTTCGACTCTGGTCTCAGACACCCAATAAAAGGCTGATTCAATTACAAAGCGGGCATATATACAAGATGAAGCACACCCGAGAACAAGGAAGAAGCCCAAACTTCTGCTTCAGCAGCTGATACTGTGTCAACTATTCGGCATCAACCAGTCCAGTCTCCTAAGATAAAATCAGAATACTCCTCTAGTAGCAGCTGTGAAACTATGCCACCTTCTCAGTCTAAGAAGGAATCTCAAGTTCATTCTCATTCACCATCATATTCCCGAGCCAAAAACCAACCCCGAATCGCTTCGAAGTCTCCATCACTGTTGAAAGCGAGCCCTACAGTTGCTTCCAACAAGTCTCCATCGTCACCAGCATCAGGCAAAGCCTCTCCATCTAAGGATGCTTCAAAGCCTTCATCACCCGCAGTTGCAGCTCCTCGACCCAGAATTTCTTCAGTGCCACCCTCTCCATCTCAAACATCCAGTCGAAACCATCTAAATCCAAAACCAACATCAAAACAATCAAAACTAAAAGCTGATTCTCAACCTTCGTCATCTTCACGGTCAGCGTTTCGACCTCAAGCTTCTTCCACGGCACGGTCGCCATCTCAAGCAAATTCCAAGCAACAACCATCGAAAAAGACTACTGCCCAATCAACATCACTACAGCATACTGCATTTTCTGCAGCCACTGAAGATCAAACAACAAATGGAGTTACATCTCATTCCGCAAATAAATCGTCACAAGCAAGACCAAAAGGCAGGGAAAGTCAGTCACAGACCAAATCAAAGCAGTCTCCAAAATCCAAAGCATCAAAAAATCAGCCTCAAATCAAGGAAGAGCTCACATCTAAGAACACTTCCAATCCCCAGTCAAACCAGAACTCTTCCGAAAACCCGACACGATCCGATCAAAGCATTGAAAATGGCCAAGATCCCTCTCTAGAATCACAGGCAGAATCAAAAGAAGATGAGGAAACTAAGGAAAAGGCAACCAATGCATCTGCTACAAGCACATTAATCTCATCTTCTGAAAGCTCGTCGCCGTATGAAGAACCAGAGGATAGAGATTCGCAGAAGAAAGAACTCATGGGTGAGGGAGACATTTCAAAAGCTTTTCCGAAGCTGAAGATAAACTATTCAGGTGAAGAAAATCCAAAGAGTTTCATAACACTCATCGGCGATAACAAAGGGACGTCAATGAACTTACTCTCCGGTAAAGGCAACAGAGAAAGCTCAATCCACATCCGCCGTGAGTACCAGAGCAATCCAGATCAGAGCCCTAAAAGTTCCACAGAAATCGAAGGAAATTTCAATCACAAAACGACCGAAGATTCAAGAACAGTAGAGGATCCACCCCTGAGATTATACATAAACAACAATACACAAGGTATCAATAACTCAATCCTGTCTAATAGCTCATTTACCGAGAGAAATCCTGGAGCTAGGTTGAAATTCTTTCGAGAACCAACAAAATCCGAAGAGATTTCAGAGTCTCTCAGTACTCAGAAGGCTAAGTATATAGCGAAACCTGCCGAGAGGCTCACCTACAAACCGACGGTAAGACGAAGATGCCTGAGGGGACTGTTCATGGAATCGAGTGATTCTGAGCCCGAAAATCCAGAAAAGCCCCGACGCCATGGCTGCCGCTACAGTAATTGCAAAGGAAAAGACGGCGAAATTATGTGACGGAAGTTGCAGAACAATGGCGAGAACTAAGAATTGAATTATGATTCAATTCAACACAGAGAAGAAATTTTAGAATGTGTGTGTGAAGAATTTTTTTCTTACGGTGTGCGAGTGTGTGTGAAGAATTTGAAACCTGCGTGCGATATATAAAAATTATGTGAGCTTTGATTGGTTGTGATAATCCAGATTTTCCATGAAAAAGCACCTTCAAACTTTCCAAAATGTTTGATCAACTGGCGACTGTTCGTCTATGAATTTCAAATTATCAAAGCAATTTGGTTGAGGAAAATGGAGGCTACACACAGAATTGAAAGGAAAAAAAAATGTCTAATCAAGTTTTTGATTTTCAAATTTCTGTCTGATAGATGTTAAAATTAAAAAAGAAAAAGTTTAGCAAATAGGATTTGTTATTCTTATTAAATGCTTTTTTTTTTAGTTTAGGTAAAAATATATTAAAAAAATTACGAAGAAGGGAAACAATCATAATTTTTAAAAAGAAGTGAAAAACGAAACCGTTATAAATGTGAGAGGATTGAACCTTGGACCTTAGATAGGATATAGTAACTAAGACTTATTTGATAACGTTATTGTTTTCGTTTTTCATTTTAGATAGGATATAGTAACTAAGGCATATTTTATAATGTTATTGTTTTACTTATAAAATGTAGAATAAATAAATTTTGAATATTTAATATGAAAATATAATATATTTTTTTAATTAAAAAATTCAGAGAATGAAAAATAAAAAATGTTATTAAATTTATTTTTATTTTTTTTTCCAATAAAGAAGAAAGAACAAGAAAATTGTTACGAAACGTTAGTCCATTTTTACTTAATTTAAAAAAGAAAAAACGTAAAACGTGAAACAAGTTCTTAAGATTACTGGGCCATAAATTGGGTTGGATCAGGCCCAACATAAATGAGTCCAAAGTGTAAGGGCCCAAATTAGCATTGCAAGCAAACGGCGCCGGCAGAAAACTCGAAATTAAAGGATTACCAAATCAACATTGAAAAACAAAAACAAAAAATAATTTAAAAAGAAGGAAGAAGAAGAGAATTAGAAACATAAAATCATTAAATTAAAACATAAAGTCAGGGTGTTGCTGCTGTTTGACTCAAATATAAAATGTCAAATCAATTTCGATTAGTTTTCAGTTCTCTCTCTTTGTTTAATCCAATCCATTCACCTCTAGCTCTAGTTAGTTTAACCACAGAGACTTTTTTTTTTTTTTTAATTTTATAAATATTTTATGTTTCAATTCAAGAAATTTACGTTACCTCTGGTCCTCTAGTTAGTTTAACCACAAAGAATATTTTTTAATAAATATTTTATGGTTCAATTCAACAAAATTACGCTACCATTGAGTTTTAATTTTGTACTTGAAAGTGGGTGTAGAAAATTTGGAAGATTTTGTTTTTTAGTACAATATAGAGGATGGAGATTCGAATTTACAACATTTTGGTCAAAAAAGAGATCCTATGTTGATTATTTTCTAATTTTTCTAAAATATAAATAAGACATCATTTTATCATTTTCGACTTATAAATGCTTAATAAAATATTTTAAAAATAAATATAGTATAAAATATTTTAAAAATAAATATAGTATAAAAGATTTTAATATTTAATAAAAAGAATTAATTTTCATATATAAATTAATTTTTTTAATTTAAAATTTGAGAGAACCACAAATAATAATAGATCATGTTTATCAAAAAAAAAAAAACTATCAAACGTAATTCCGGTTCTATTTATTAGAAAGTATTAAAGGAGAAAAAAAACAATAAATGAAAAATGAAAACAGAGAGATAAGAAACAAAAAATTACCAAAGGGTTCTATAATTTTTGTTTTCAAATCTTATTAGATTTTTTACTAATTCCTTCTTGTTATATCTTAATTAAATTGTCATTTTTGAGTTGGGAAGTAAAACTAAAAAAATATGAGACTAACTCGATCAGTTAAGACATGTATCTCTAACCAAAAGATCAAAAGTTTGAATATGTACTCGTTGTACTTAATTAGAATTAAAATTTCAAACTTTGAAATTAAACTTCGAAAAAATATGACTCGCTCTAGTTCATTTTATTACAAAATAATAAATCGTTGAATTTAATTTAAATACTTATTTTAAAAATAGAAACGAATCCAATCTCACTCAAAGATATATTTTTAAAAGTGGAAAGGAGTTTTTCTTTTGTTAAAAGATAATTACCATATTTTAAAAAAACATGCTTACATTTTCTTAATGGGAGATTAGAAAAATATAGCAATTTTTTTTTTCTTGTTAAAGAGATACCATCTCTACTTGCATAACTCATTTTCACCTATTCTTATAAGACATATTAATGGATTAATTCTATCCATTAAATAAAACACAAAATTTAAAATACACTTTTAAATGTTTTTCTTTAACCAAATTCATCCATAAATGATTTTACGCATTAGTAAAACTTTTCATAAACCTACAAGTTATAAAGTCTAAGGCTTCAAAATTATTTAACTATATTACCGTACTAAATGTGCAATGTAGAAGATTTTTTTTTTAATAAATAAAAAAAGAGATAGGATTAATTGGTTGAGTTCTGTTCAATATAGCCACTGCCATAAAATAAATTACGTGTAAGAAAATAAATTTATAAATATTTGTCATGCTAAATATTTAGGGAAGTATACTTAACTTCTGCAATGTTGTAGATTTATACTACCCACTTATGTTAGATGAAAAACATGTAAGTGAAAGGACGCATGTGTCCTTTTAGCCATATGAGGAGAAATTTAAGATTTGGAAATAAAATTATGACTAAATTATAAAAAATACTTTTCAACATTTTCCTTCCTTTGGAAAATATCCCATTCATTTCCAAAAGTTTCAATACTATTATTAATAATCTATAAATATTTCAAATATATATTCTAAACAAACATCTTTTAATATTTTTAATAAAAAGTTAATGCGATAGAATCTAAAACCACGTGATAATTAACCATCCATTTTTGCTCTAAAAAGTATTTTATCTCTAATTTCAAGAGAGCTTGCTTCTTCATTGTCTACTAAAATCTACCCTAATTTTCTTTAAAAAATGATAGCTTCTCTCTTTAAACTCAATTCAAACAAGTCTTCCATATCAATTGCTACATTGTTTCAGATGTTGTCACGTTAACTTTTTTTTTTTATGTTTAATTAAAGGATAACATTGGAAATTTGAAAATGCTTTTTTTTTTTAGAAATAACAAAGTTTAGGAGTATCTTAATTTTTATATAAGCTAACTCCATGTTGCCCGTTCATGTGGCCGCCATTAGCCATTTGTATATAAATAAGAAAAGTATTTATGTTATATGTGTTAGTATCTATATTTTTATCACTCTCTAATATTTGTCACAAATTTAATGGTGATCGGTAGAAGATAAATGCACATAAGTATTCTTTTTTAATAAATAATCTATGAACTCTAACTATCATGGATTGACTCATAGGTCTCAAGAGTCAAGTGTAAGACTCATTATCTATTTAGGAATTAAATAGATTTATTGTGTATCCCCTTAACAAAATAATTAAAAAAGATAAACAATCCATATTTTCTTACGTGCTTCATTGATTTGCTCCTTGTTTTTCATTTCTCATTTTTAAAAAATTGTGCTATGTTTAAATATTTTTAAATATTACAATTTTAATTAAATTAAACGAATAATGTTAAAAGAATAACAAACCAGGTATGGAATGGCACTGCCTTGGCTCATATCATCTCGGAATCGTGTACGTCACACGTGAAATTTCAACCTCTCTATAATCACGCAGTTGACCATTTTACCCTTAAATATTATACGAATTTCCTCCTGAATACCCCGAACTCACTCTTCCCTCTCTGTTTTTCAAACCACTTACTTCCACTTCCAATTGCGTCGCCGCGAAGTTCAAAATCGCACTCCGCCGGCGCCGCTGCTTCCATCAACGGCAACTCCCTTCCACCTCCGTCAATTTTCCACGCGTTTACCATCCAAAAAATCTCTTATAAAACCGCTCCAACTCATCATCGTCACAGTCAATAATCTTCAGCTTCCGTAGAAATCAAAATCTGCAGTTAATCTGAATTCGTCTCAACCGCAGCATCGGAATCCGTTCAAATCAGCATCCTCTCCGTCCGATTCCTCTTCGACCGAGCCTTCGGAAATGTCTCGTCGGAGCGATTTCCCGCGGATTACGACGATCGCGCTGATCAGCGTTTTCGTGGCGGTCTTCGTGGCGGAGATTACGAAGGCGGCGGCGACCGCGGCGATTCTGATCACCGTCGATCAATCCGGTAGAGGAAATTTTACGAAGATTCAAGACGCAATCGACGCGGTGCCGGTTAATAACGTAGAACAGGTGTTTATCGCCGTGAAGCCGGGGATTTACAGAGAGAAGGTGATCGTTCCGGCGAACAAACCGTTTATCACGATCAGCGGAAGAAGAGCAGTTGATACGATCGTGACTTGGAACGATAGCAGAATCACTTATAATTCTGCAACTCTCGCCGTTTTGGCTTCCGATTTCGTCGGACGATACCTCACAATTCAGGTTCTTACTTTAGACGGGAATTTTTTTTTTTAAGTTATATATATGTGTGTGTATATTTTAGGTTTAAATATGGATTTCTTCTCTGTTTTGTTTTTGACTCTTTAAATTCTAACATTTTTAGTTCAAATATTTTGGCTCTTTGAATTCTTACATTTTGATTTCTATGGCTTCATTTACTAAACTTTATTTTCGGTATTTATCTTCTTTATCAACCCTTTCTCTCTCTCTCTAAAAAAAATTTGTTCTATTTTTACAGTGGTTCATTTTCTATCTTATATTTTTATAACCTTCTTAGTTTAGATTCTATTTTAGTAATCTAAATCTAAAAAATTCATTTTGATCTTATAATTTTAACTAAATTGATCATTTCATTAAAAGTATAGAAATTAAAATAGATGCTTTCTAGGTATAAAAACAAAAAATAACAAAAAAAAAATTATTAAAATAATATATAAATATATTTTCTTTAATTTAACGAATATTTTTAAAACGTTCCTTCTTTTTAAGTATTACAAGGCAAAAGAAAATGTCATCGTATGAGTAAGATTTTTCAGCCCTCGTCAGCTGATTAAAACATATTTGTCAGAGGTTGGAGATTTAATTTTTTCTCTCATATTTGTTTAGTAAAAAGCAAGAATTTTCAAAATAGAAAACAAAGGCGAAAAACATTATTTATCATCGTTTGGTTTTTGTCTTATTTTATAATGATTTAATTTTTAATTTTAAATTTTAAAAAACAAAGTTTGTTCCTAACAGCCTCTTTGTCCCGGGCATTTTTCACTTTTTGAAAACTCCTTTCACGCCTTAACAAAATTCCAAAAATTGAGAACATGTAACGAAAGTTATTATTTTTAGTTTTTAAAATATACTACAAATGGAAAAAAAAAGTATTTCTTCATAAGCCTAATACCAAAAAATGATAAGCTAAAGGTAAAAAAGAAAAATAATTCCAATAGTCCTAAATTTTTATTCACTTCAATTTGCTAGGTCAAAATTAGACTTTACTCATTAATAAGAATATAACATATGTATTGTTTTTTTTTTTAGAAATAACATATGTATTGTTATTACATAAACAAAATTTTAAAAAAATGCATTCATTTTCATTTTTTTTTATAAATTAAGAAAATTCACTAAAAAAGTCTCTATTTAAAGATAATGTTATTTATTTATTTATTGATATAAAGAATAATTTGATTGACTTTGTTTGTCGGGTTATTGAAGAACGGGTTCGGGCCGGGTGCGCAAGCGGTGGCGCTACGGGTATCCGGAGACAGGGTGTCGTTCAATGCGTGCAGGTTTTTGGGGCATCAGGACACCCTTCTGGACGACATCGGCCGCCATTACTACAAGAGCTGTTACATCGAAGGAGCCACCGATTTCATTTGCGGAAACGCAGCTTCCCTCTTCGAGGTTCATTTCGTTTCATCTCCTTGTTGGGCCTATTGGGCTGGGATGGAGTTTTAACGTTATTGGGCTTTCTTTTTGTTTTGGGCTTCTACAGAATTGCCATCTGCATTCGGTGTCGGACGCGGTGGGGACCATCACGGCCCAACGGAGGGAGTCCCCGTCGGAGACTACGGGGTTCAGTTTCATGGGGTGCAAGATTACGGGCATAAACTCCGCCGTTTTGGGAAGGCCGTGGGGGGCCTACTCTAGGGTCGTGTTTGGATACACGTATATGTCTGATCTTATTCTGCCCCAGGGCTGGGATGACTGGCAAGACCCATCCAAACACAGGTTCCTTTTTTAGTTTTGTAAATAATTAAAATTAAAAGTTAATTCATCAACTAATTAAACTTGTGAAATTGGGCAGCACGGTGTACTATGGGCAATACAGATGTTATGGGAAAGGAGCCAATCCGTCCAGAAGGGTACCATGGTCATTAACCAACATGACCAGCCAAGAAGCTGCACCATTCTTCAACAAGAGCTTCATCGGCGCCGCCGATTGGCTCCGGCCGCTCCCAACCACTTTCAAGAGAGCCTTCTCTTCCAAACCTTAACCAAAAATAATTTAAAACAAATTAAATTCCCCCCCTTTTTTTACATACATATATTCACAATTCAATCTCAATACTCCAACGTAAACTTAATAAATCAATAAATATTACATCATTCTTTCCTACCTTATTGGCTCTAGTTCTTGTCAAAGTCAACAATATCCTAAGTACTCTATATAACTCTATGATATTTTTCGAATTTTACTTTTGATTTCACTCCAAAGTGTTAAGCATCCCACATTGAAAAGAAAAGGGACCTAACAAACAATGATTTATAATAGACATAAGCTACTGCTCTCATTGCCAATTGATTTTGAGATGAAACCTTATTAATATTGATGTAAAGATATTGTACTCATGACCAATGAATATATTGTCCCTCACTTATATACCTGTAAGTCTTCTCATTATTTAGTCAATATTAGACTTTGGTTGAAACAGTTCTCCTTGTCTATCTTTTATTGCTCTAGTTCTCTGCAGAACTAACCATTGAAAATAAGAAGATTTGAACAACCCTCAAATATTGGGTTCTTTGTAATTGGGCTGTTTTGGTTGGACATTTTGATCTAGTTATTTTAGGTGTGGTTGTTGTCTGGGTATAATGCAACCAGATGATTGGAATTTAGAATTCTTGAAAGGGTATATAATGATATCCAAGAAATTTTTTTATATTGGTCTACACCCAATTTTGCTCATAGTGCCATGCATGCAATATGGGTTAGCTAGTGGGTGGAGATATTTGAATATGGTATTTTGTAATTGTTGTCTTTTTCAGCCCTCATGTGCTGCTTGAGATTTTTCATGGGTGGGAATAGTAGAGTTTGAATTACGATCAAGCGTTTGGAATCAATTTAACATATGTATGATAGGACATTTTTAGTGATATGATGTGTGATTATTATTATAAAGATTTAATTTGTTGAAAATTTATGATGATAATAATTTAAATCATAACGTTTTATCTAATATTCGTATCTAGGGTTGAAAATTTTCCGTTCTACCTATGTCTTGTAAAAGAACAGGATTGCATAAATAGATCCGATAAGTATGCATGTATACGAGTTTGTATATTTATTTAGTTTACTTTCAAATTTAGGGACATGGAGAGAAGACAAGTGATTTCTAGGCAAGCAAATTTGTCAACATTGTCCTATTTAGGTCCACGAGATGTTGATAATAAACCAAGCATACTTTTTGGATTTCAATTTGGTGAACTATTCACTCTTTCACACGTCTTTTCTTGTACGTCAACAAGTTCTTTTTTTCCCTTTTACAGTTTCAAATTTGAGCAAAAAAAAAAAATACATATATTGTTTTAGACTTCAAATAGATTAAAAAAATTAACTTTTTTTCTTCCTGAAGAATCCTTTGCATGAAAAACCCTTTTCAAAATAATCGTGAACAAATACATTATTGAATGTCATTTTTAATCGTGCGAGGAGTATGTTGTGACGTAATATGATTAAATCATCAATAAATCAAAAAAACATAAGTTGATATGTTACCATTTTAAATATAATTAAATTACCAATGAACCAAATAGATTAGGATATAAATTTAATCATATATAGGATATCTAATAAAAAATAAAAAATGAGCCGTTATTATAATTGCATATTTGAATTTTTAATTTCACTATTATTTTCCCTCGATAAACTTATAAAATCATTGCAAATAAATCTTCTTATAATTTTGTTAATTTCAAGTTACAAGTGTGCAAAAATCATGCCTAAATTGCAAGCTAAGATGTCAGTTCTAATTACCATTTAAATTCTACATTCTAAACCTTAACCATACCATGAGAGTGTTACATTTATATCTTCAAATTTATAAAGCTAACTACTTGTAATGATAGAATTTAATTATGATGATTTTATAATCTTTATGGGATGTTAAACCGAGTATAGTTCAACGATAATTGACATATACTTCCAACAAGAGATTGTGAGTTCGAATCTCCTCCTTGATATATTGTACTAAAAAAAACCTTTATAGACTTAATTGTTCAAATTGATAATCAAGAGGGATGATCATATATAATAACCAGAATGGTTTTGTAGTGTGTTTGATATATACCTGAATAGAATCTATTTATACCCTTTGAACTTTTTAGACTAATCAATTAAAATTCTAAATTAAAAAAAAAACTAAAATGAAATTCTAATCTAATAATTAAATCAATTAAAACCACTTTTATAAGTGGATCAATATACACCATTTATTTAACTTTAACAGTTCTGATGTAGCCAAATTTCAAACAAAAGACAAAGATTTATTAATTTTAGGATAATATTTCCCTACTAATTAAATATATATAGACACACACGATGGATGGATGGATATATATATATATATAGTTTTTTTTAAATCAGTGTATACCTGCAAAATTTATAGATATATATATTTTTAAATATCCAAACTTTGTAGAATCCTAAACTAGTAATTATATCAATTACGATCTTAAACATTTATAAATTGATCAATATACTTTTTCTATCTAAATTATTATGTTTAGATTTGTTACAAACTAAGAAATTTAATGGAACTAATTTCAAACTTTGTGACAAGATTGATTAACTTGAGGATAATATAAAGTTCCCTACTAATTGGGCAGGTGGGTACTTTTTTGGGGAAAAAAAAGAAAAAAAAAAACTCTCCCCACTCTTCCTCTATGATGCCCTCCCCCATTCTATCAATGTGGATGGGTAGAAATTTCTACTTTCCATCAGTGTAGTTCTTTAACAATGGCAGAAAGGAGAATCATAATTGACTTTGAAATAATAAGTTCTTAATTTTATGTCATAGTTTTTGGATAACTTTTATTCTCTCTCTACAACATTTTTCCTTTTCGATGCTCTCTCGGACAAAATTATTTAATGGTAGTCGTCACAAGTAGTCACAATGCGACTATCCACTAATAATCGTTTGACACAATTCAAGATCTATCTCTAATTATATACTATTTATTGTAGGTTCAATTATTATATTATTGTTGTGAAATTTATTGGAACAATAATATACGAAAAGTGATTATAGGAGAAAAAATGCATGACTTTCTTGTTTTTCTCTCATTGATTGTCACCACGCGCATGGACTTTTATAGAGTAAGTGAGCTTGGCCATCAAGCATCGTACAAAGATCTAATGATCTTAATTAACAAGTAATTTGAGCAACAAGTAATATGGACATATGGACATATCGACTACCTGTCCCAACAGAAGAAATTCAAGAATAATATTTCCCTACGCAATCATTTATAATAATTGTTAATTTTTTAGATCCTATACTTTCAACTCTCCTCTCTCATTAATTATCTATCCATAATTCAATTAATTAAGATATATATTTCTAATAAAAAAGATGGGAGTTCGAGTCTATATTGAAATATTTATGCTTAAAAAAATAAAAAATAAAAGTTTGTCCCTCCCTTTGAAGGTGACAGGCTGGAAAAAATTGGAATGTAATAAAGAGCAGCGGCTGCCGCCGAAACTTTGATGCGCAACAAAAGAGAATCTCACACCACCTAATCACGCCCGCCGCATCATCAATCTCGACGGGACCTACGTTCTGTACACGTGGCAATCACCACACAACCGATTTTCTCCACACGTACTATCGAGTAGTGAGGAATTCATCGCCGTACAATTTTATCTTTTAAATCAATTTATATTACACATTTACCCTTAACGATAATCTCAATTTAATTTATTTTCTTTTGAAACAATTAATTTAATGTTATTTGGTTTAAATAGAAAAAAAGGGAAATAGAACTGTGTCTTAGCAAATTTAATGGAAATAGTTATTATGAAATTACTGCTAGAGGGTTTTTTTTAATGACAAATTGGAAATTTAAAATTACAAATCTTTTCATATATATAAAAGGTTGAATCATACAAAATATTCATAGACTTTAGGAGAAGTTTTAATAATTATTTTACTCAAATTTTAAAGTAGGTTTAAATTATGCTATTATCATTTGAAAAGTTGTAATGTGTTAGTTAGTGTTAAAATTTTCACTTTATATTAAAAAAAAGGAACAAAAAGAAAGAGAAAAAAGAAATTCAAATGGTTACAACTTTTTAAAAAAATTTCTATTTGTAAATCCCTCTTTATTTAATGAACAGGGACCATAAAGGAATATGATTTATAATTGTGGCAAAAATTTAACCTATTCTCTTCCTTTCTTGGATTAAATTGACAGAAGACCGACTCTCATTTCCATAAAATATAATAAATAAATATTAAAAGATAAGAACAATGTAAAATAAATAAAATAAAAGATAAAGGGCCCCACACGCAGCACGCATTTTGTAAGGCTATATAAGGAGGGCCTAATGTTCGAAAGGAACTTCACGTAAAAGCCTTCCTTCGCTCCTTTTCTGAGAAGCGCTGAAACTTCAGTAGCAGAGATGGGTTCTCTAATGGCCGGATGGAACTCTCCCGTCCAAGATCCTAAATCAGGTATTTGAAATGAATTTCTGTTCGTATTTTAACCGATTCATGAACTATTCATCGCATTGTTGTTTGCTTATCGCGATGGATGTTGATCGTGTGTGTAATTACCGCGAATTTTCAGTCAAGTTCAAGAGGAATCGATCGCTTACCAAAGAGGAAATCGAAGCTTACTGGAGATCGAAGAGGAAGTTGGAGGAAGAGCATCTCAGAGCGATTTCTATGCCGGTGGATCCTCATGTTGATCGCGATGTGGTCGGAATAGATTACAAAAGATCGAGTTCGTTTCCGCCTGCGAACGGCACGGCGGAAGAAGTATTTGTGAATCGGAGCGATTTCGAGAGGAAAAACCTAGAGAAATTGAAGCCAAATGACTGGTAAATTTAAGTCGTGTACCACTCGATCGTCGATTTTAGTGTTTGAAATTCAGGAACGAAATTAATAATAATAATTAAACCAGAGGTCATGTGCGGTTTAATTTCTGTTTTTTGTGCAGGTGGACGAGGAGCAACTCGGCTTTTCTGAATGAACCGCCGGTCCTCGACGGCGCTGCCAAAGCTTACGCGGCCTCGTTCAAGTTGAATCACAGTAACGGAATCGGTGCTTGACACACCTTTGATTGCACTCACGAAAGAGAGAAGAGAAGTTAAATTAAATACTAGTAATTAATGTAAAATTAAATTACATACATACATATATTATAAATATAATATTATAATTATTGTAAGATTTTGATTTCATTTCAGTTTGGTGTGTAATTTAGGATGTGAAGCTCTGAATTATGGTCAGAATCCAGACGTGTAGTGGCTCTTTGTAATTTGATCTTCTTCTCGGAGTTCTATAATATTTGGTATTATCTCTCTCGCCGTATTCCTTTCTTTTCTTTTCTTTTCCCAACTGTAACAATAATCTCTCTCTCTCTTGAGATTCATGCTTCTCCACGACAATATAATTTTTGTCACATTTTGGTGGTTTCTTTTATTATTGTAATTTAAATATGGAGGTGGTAATTTGAAAGCCGTGATAATAATAGTAAAATAAATAAATGGATAAAAATTGGACCATAATCGCTGTATGACTTTTGGGATTTCTTTCTTTCTTTTGCACTAATTTTTATGGTGTAACGATGTATATCAATATAATCATATCATTTATTTTTATGTGATAAATATACTTTTTTTTTATGTGGTAATTAAAGTGTCTCAAATTTTTAAATGTGTATTTTCATTACATTCTAGAAACTATTTTATTATTATTATTATTCTTAGATAAAAATACTATTTATTTTACCATGATAATTAATATCTTTTCTATTAATTAGCTTGAGATTTTAGATTTTTTTAATTTTTATTTTTTTGCATGTGAACTGAAGAGTGGTATTTATTGGTTTGTTTCCTTGACAATTGTAAATGGCAAAGCAATACGATCCATTGTCAATTTTGGGTAATTAAGGGAGAGTTGGAATGATATTAGTCCATTTCAAAAAAAAGAAAGGTTTCTAACTAGGTTTTTTTTAATAAATTTTAATTATGAATATAATATTTTTTAAAAGATAATTATAAATATGAGATGAATTTTGTTCATCATTGATTGAATTTAATGATAATAGTCAATATGTTTTTACTTTATGCATCATTAATTTATATAATCGATTTAGATATTGATTAATAATAATCATAAATGTGAAAACGAGCATAGCTCAGCAGTAATTGTCATATATCTCCAACCAGTAAATTGTGTGTTCGATCTCCACCCCTACATGTTGTACTAAAAAAATAATTATAATAATATTATTAATTAATCTAGTTATTATTTACCGACTGATAATTTATTTACGTGTTTTGTATTTGTAATGAGCTCATTTGAGTCTCTTCCTTGAATATTTTATCTCATTATACTAGATCTATGCACTTTTTTTTTAAATGAACTTTTGTTAGATATGATTTATCTTCCAATTTTACATTGATATAAACGTGTGAAGATTAAGTCTTTAATGATGGAAAAAATAAATGACATTCAATGAGCCATTTACCTTTAATGGTCTAGTTTTATTATTGAATAAGTACTTTCAATTACAATTTTAAATAAATATGTATTCTTTTGCTAATACAATGATGGCATATATTCATCTAATTATTAAAATTTTAATTTCAATTTTGGTGTCCAACACATTATTTATAATTATATAAAAGATTATTTGATTGAATTCGCCAAATTAAGTGTACCCGCAGATCACTCTCCTATATATGATGGAGTCAAAGTCTTCTCAAAGGTATGCAAATTGTTGCACCCAATCTCTTACTCTCCAACTTTGCTCTTCCGACCTGAATCCTAAATTAAGATTCAAAATATATTTGGCAAAGCACCACACAAGTGTTAAGTTTTGACGCTTCAGTGATTCCAGGGAAGGAGATAATCACTTCATTTTAGTTTGGTTCGACCAGGTAGTTCAGCTAACCTAGATCGCCACGTCGCCTTGTTCTAAAATTTACCATCAACACTTTTAATTTTCAATAGATACATAAGTAAAATCTAATAGAAACCTATTAGACACTCATTTTAAAATTCAAAAATTTATTAGAGAATAGAGATATCTATAAAGCTTAGAGAATTTGTAATTAAATATTTTTAGTACATTCTAGTATTATTTGGTTAAAGAGAGATCATCTCTCTTTCTTTTAGCTTACATGCGTTTGTCTCGAAGAGCTCGTCTCTTTTTGAAACTAAAATTTTGAGCTTATACCTTCTCATATTCCTTTTTTTTTTGGTTAATTCAATAATGAGCGGAGAGATTCAAATTTCTCACCTTGAGATACAGCAATGTATTTTGACCAATTATGTCATGCTTAAGTAACTTTCATACTCTTTATTTGTATTCTTATGATAAAGCGCATACATAACCAAAACGAACATAGTTTAGTGGTAATTGACATATATCTCCAATCAAGAGATTGTGAGTTCGATCCTCATCCTTTCATATTATATTAAAAAAAAAAAGCACATAAAGTTCAGTTTACTGGAGTAGAATTTACCATGTCAATTTTATCTCAAAGTATCCGGAGATTTTTGTGATTGTTCTTACAAGTTACAAGTCAACTCTTTTTATTTTCTTGCAATATTATAACCGTAATATTATAACCATTACATTTAGTGGCATGCTATTCAATTATATTTAGTTTCTTTACAAATTTAATTAGTAGTTTTTTAGGTTAAATATACCTATTGATTTTTAATCTTTAAGTAATATCAACTTGGTTTTTGATATTTTTAAATTTCTCAAATTTAGCCAAATGTATAAAAGATTCCGAATTAGGTCTTTCCTACCCAATCGTTAAATAAGATTTGTTAACAAAAAGTTAATGTATCATTAAATTATTGTTTTATTGATATATTTAAACATATGAATACGCCACTGGAATGATAGACATATAAAACAAACTCTCGGTACTTATCAAGAAAGTCCCTTTTTTTCTTGAAGTTGCATGACCACAAATATATTAACAAAATAATAATTTAATAATTCTATTATCTTTCCATTAACAAATTTTAACCCATTTTTTTATGGAAAACTTAATTAAAACTTTAAAGTATATTAAAGATAGTACTAAAATAAAAAAGTATACTAAAGATAAAATTAAAAATTTTAAAATATTAATGACTATATTGTAAAAAGTAATTAAATAAATAAAAAGATTAAAGACTATTTTGATATATTTATGCATCTGAGATGTAATGATGCACAATTGGAAACGGATGGGGTAAAGGTGGGGTCTATTTGTTGGACTTTATTTAAACATGTAAAGTAAACCCACGCTTTAGAAAATTGTAAATGGGCCTGGTGGGCCCAGCTTTGAACGGCTAGGCCCACTCACTAGTGCCTATTTTAGTCGTGGTCATGGTCTTGTCAACCTTAGTTTCTCCTCTATTTATTTTTTCATTTTATTTTTCAAAGAAGATTCGCGAATGTTACATTATATTTATTTTTTTAATAAAATAATATTTTTATTTGTATTTTGAAAAAATTGAAAACATGAAACATGTTGAATTTCTACACAACCATGAAAAATAGGAATAGTAGCAAACACTTAAAAGGTTTTTTTTTAATAATGCTATTTTCGAAAGTAATTACGAAAATATGCCACTTCCCAAACTATTTTAAAAAATAATGTTTTAGAAATAGCAGGTCTCTTCCTCAAGAGACGACCTGAAGTGGCAAACGCTGGTCGTCTCTAGCTAACGTGGCGCTTTAAATTTTTTTTAAAAAATAAGGCACATGTTTGGCGGGATTTCGAAAATCCTGCTTGATTAAGGCAAAAACAAAAAACCTATTATATATATATAACTCAACGTTTTAAAACAAAATGTATGTTGTTGTGCAATGGATAATAGACTGCCTCGTAAGTAAAAAGTCACAAGGTCGAATGATAATGTTGGTGTTTTTTTTTCCTGTGTTGGTAATATTAAACTTACCAAATGGTCTCTTATCACTGCGCCACAAAACATTATTTTTTGAAATAGTTTGGTGAGTGGCATATTTTCGTAATTATTTCCGAAAATAACATTATAAAAAAAATCCCGTGATTCTAAAAAATTGCATAAGAAAAAAGAAACAAAATAAAAAAAGCGTTATCACTCCCAAAAAGGTATATTTTAGGCTATAAACTTTTGAAAAACCATTTTTTTATCGGTCAATGTATTACATGTTTCTAAAATTTAATGACAAAAATCGATATGACTATATTTTTAAGTGGACTAACATGAAACCTTGAAGTTTTTAGGTGGTTTTTTTATACCCATTTTAGTCAGCTTAACTATTGTTTTTTTTTTCCTCATGAGTTAAAAGAAAGGCTTATAAACACCATTTCTATTAATTTTTTTTTCTTTTTTTGGTGTTACTTCTTAAATATATTGTCATAATCTAAAGTAAAATTTGTGAATAAAAAATAATAGTTTTTAAATTTAGCCAAAAAGTTAGATGCATTTTTAAGAAACGTAAAGAAAAAATATAAAAAAAAATCAGAAACAAAAAAACATAATTTTTCTAAATCAGTGAACTCAAAATAATGTGATTATTGTGCTTTCACAGACTGATATGATAAATTTGCTAAATTTTGTAGTAGATAAAATAGGTAAAATAATCCATACAATTTTATAAATTCAAATTCATACCATCATATCCATTTATTTATAATAGGATGAAGAAAACTAAAGCAACTAATATCTTAATCAAATAAATTTAGATACTTAAACCAAGGAATTAGAAATCTAATTCATATCCTAAATTATATCCAAATCTTAATCAGACATGATACAAAAGAAACCAATAATTCAAATTATATCAAATCATATCCACCTTCGTTCTTCTATTTTTAGTTTTTAATTTTTAATTTGGAAAATTAAGAGTTGTTTGAGAGTTTTCAACTTTTGAAAAACCTTTTTTCTCTTTTAAATGGTGAGTAAACTTCTTTTTAAAAGTAATTTTTTAAACACATTTCTATTTTTCAAAATCTATTTTTTTTTTTGCATTTGTTTTTCTAACAAATTAATCTTTCTCTAACTTTTGCCTCTTAAAATATTTTCCTCTCGCTAAATTTATTTCTCTAAATTTTCATATCTCTATTATTTTTATATTCTTTTTTCTTTTAATATTTTTCTCCAATCAATATGAACTTAACTGAGTAGTAATTGACATTTATATTTAATAAGAGGTCATGACTTTGAATCCCAATACTAAAAAATATTTTTCTTCTCTATTATCATCAATTGTCCTAAAATATTATGTTATAGTGATATTTTAATTAATATTTAAAATCAGCTATTTTTTAAATAAAGTAATTATTACTAAAAAACAAACTGATTATAATTATAAAACAAATCAAGAACTAATATTTCGAAATAAAACCTATATTCTAAACTAATTTTATAAAAAGCTGTCTGTTTATAAATAATTTATAAGGGACAAACCAGACTACCGGCACAATTTGTTTTTATCATTATTTTTAATAAATTATAATCGAGACCGATCATAAATTTATTTATGTCTTCAAATTAATTTTAAAATTGATTGTATCTTTCTCACAACTGTGTCATGACTTAGCCAATTAAATCAACTCACGTGAAGATATGACCCAAACCCATGTAATTTTGAGAAGAAGATTCATATCAGATATAAAAGATTCGAGGATGTCGTCTCTCATCCGTTAAAGTCATCAAGAAATCAGAGGATAAAGGATTGTTTAAAGAGATTGAAGACTCTCTTTAGAGTTGAGGTCCTTAAAAAAAAAACCTGAAGAAATTTCACAAATAACAATCCGACTTCAACAAGCTATTAGCCGAAAATTTTGCTTAAATTTCATGAAGCAATAATTAAGTTGAACACTTCATCAAGCTATCAAGCCAAAGATCTCAAAAGATCTTCAACAAACTCAAATCTGTTAAAAATATAAAAGATCTTTCAATAAGTTAAAAGTTGGGAAAAACATGAGAAGATTTGTTTTTTCTTTATTATTATTTTGTTTTAAGAAAACCATGAGAAATTTATATATTAGAGATTGTAATACACATGTATAAATACAAATCAAGTTAATTAGATTCAAATTTCTCTTCTCATAAATTCTTCACGAACACTTTTGAATATTATTTTTTACTCTTTAAATTTTGTATAAAAAATTATTAATTTTTCATGTAATTCGTTGACTACCTCATTCTCTTATTTGCTAAACCCAGTCAACCAGCTGAATGGTTTGGATTAGTTGGTTAGAAAAAGAAAGACTCTAAAATTTAATTTGTAGATTCCTCTTCTTCTTCAAGCATTCTTCCTAAAAAATAGCAGGAAGTTACAGCTTGAGAGAGAGCAAAGTTGAGTGAGAAATCTTGTTGGGAGTGTGCTATTTAGGTATGGGTAAGGCATACTGAGGCCGAGAGAAGAATATTGAAGAGCTTTCATTGTGTTTTTGTGCTGGTAAAGCTGAGGGTGAGTTCAGTAATGTTTTCTCAGTAATTAATTCTGATTTAGTGAAGTGACTAAAGTGGATGTAGATCAATTTTATGATCGAACCACTACAAATCACTGTGTTCTTCTTTCTCTCTTCTATCCGTTATTTTTACTTCATTGTTGGCTCATTGGGAATTGGTTCTTCTGATATATTGGTTTATCGATTTGCTACATGTGATAACCTGTACTTGAAGCATTGAGTATTACATTTCATTAATTATTTAACAAAATCTAGCTAAGGAAATTTGACATTTAACCTACTGCCCTTTGATTTCAAACACCTCATATAGACACATTTATTGATGAGGTGTTTTACTTAAATATTAATTTGTCATGCGCATACATTAAAATGGTTAATCTTTTCAAATTTCAAACACTAAAATAAAATATTTAAAAGTTTAGAAAATAAAAAGAGCACAAAAATTAGAGAGAATTTTAAAAATTTGACTACTCTCCTCTCCTTAAATGATGGATTAGAAAAACGTCACAGAGTATAGCTTAGCAAGTTAAAGCATATGTATCCCCTAAAAAAATGAATTAATCTGCCCCTGAAAAAATGAATTTTAAGAATGAAAGTAAAATATAAAAGAAAAATTTATGTATTTATTACTTATTGAAAAATTATACGAAAAAGGACAGAATACCAAAAGAAAACTTTCTTTCATAATTATTTTCATTTTTCAATCCCTTTTCTCTCCTACTAAAAGGAAATTGATTATTGGGCATGGTCATGCTATCTTATTCTTTACTTCACAATAATTGTTTTCTTTATCGTTAAGCAATATTTAATTTTCTTCATTTAAGGAAAAAAACAGAAGGAATGATGCTAGGCTACTTATTGAACTTGCTTTATTTTCTCCTATTATTTTCTGTCTTACTTTTATTAATTATATTGGA